CGTGAATGAGTTTCGAGCGATCATAGGAGACGAAAACGTCGTAATTGACGAAGGGCTGGCCAACTTCCGCGACCCATATCCCTTATTCGAAGAGGGATTTGAGGCGTCTGCTGGACTCTGGTAAGACCTTTGATTTGTACTATTGCGACCTTGCTCACACGACTGCAGTCCGTCGACTGTTGAAGAGATCCAGGCGATTCTCAAGATAGCCAACCAACACCGTATTCCGTTGTGGACATGCTCGCAAGGAAAGAATTTTGGGTATGCTTGAGGCAGATTCCGTCATGTCAAAAGCATTTCAGCTAATTCCTTCATAGATACGGGGGACCCGCTCCTCGGGTCTCGGGATCCATGGTGCTTTCTCTCCATCGAATGAACCGTATTCTGGAAGTGAATGAGAAACTTTCCTACATTGTAGTTGAGCCCGGCGTCACTTTCTTTGACGTCTTCAACTACATTGCGGAGAACAAGCTTGATCTATGGGTGTCTGTCCCGGCTTTGGGATGGGGAAGCGTCGTGGGAAACGTACGTCAATCTTAGGGTCTCCATCGCAGCAGCTTTACTGACGGGTCGTTAGACTCTGGACCGTGGCCACGGTTACACTACCTCTGGTGACCGTCAGCACTTCATTGGCAGTCTAGAAGTTCTTTTGGCCTCAGGAGAACTCCTCCGTACAGGACAATGGGCCGTGCCTAATTCCCCTAGCGCACATGCTTGTCCCAATAGCTTCGGCCCTCAAATTGATGGCCTCTTCTTGCAGAGCAATCTGGGCATCGTGACCAAGATGGCTGTGGCTCTCGACGTGGCGCCTCCGTCTTTCATGGATGTCAAAGTTCATTGTCCCGAGGTTGAAGACATCGCGCCCCTCATTGACACCCTCCAGCAGCTGAACCGTGAGGGCATCACCCAAAGCCACCACATGATCACCAACATCAATCATTTTGCCTCGCACGATGCCCCCAAGCACCAGCAGCAAAGCGTGCCAGGGCCTTTAACACCTGAGAGTATAGCTGCGTTGAAGAAAAAGTACAATACCGGGTACTGGCGATGCTCGGTGTCTTTCTATGGGCCTAGACAAATGGTTCTGGCCCGTTGGAGTAGATTGCAAGAGGTCGTCGCCCTAAGAGTTCCCAACGCTTGGATTGAGAACACGCTCTTCGAGGGCAAGGATGGCAAGCCGGTAGACAACATCCAGATTGGAACGCTCGCTGCGGGTATTCCCTCAATGGGCGCCGTCAAGCTCGCAGAGTATAATCTTCCAGCGGATGGTACAGGGGCGGGAGCTCATATCGACACTACACTCATCCTTCCTTGCGAGGGTGATACAGTCCTGAAATGGTTCCGCAAGGCAAGGGCTATTATGGAGGAGCAAGGAGTCGATCCTTTTATAGGCTGTCACGTCTTCTCAAAGTATATACTGTTTGTTCAGGAATATGTCTTTGACAAGTCTAACAAAAACGCACGTGAAGGTGGGCGCAAGGTAGTCAAAGCCTTGCTTGCTGAGGCAAAATTAAATGGGTTCGCCAACTATAGATCTCATGTTCAACACATGGGTGAGTACGGTTTCAAGACTCCGCATACATGTCACTAACAATTCCAGATGCTGTTCAAAATTTATATTCGTACAACGGCCACATTTATAGGAGATTCGTCGAGACTCTAAAGGTACGTCGGCGGCCAATCATCTATCTACCGTGTTACCGATTCTAACCTTCCACTGCCAGGCTGCCGTAGACCCCAATGGAATCTTGTCGCCTGGTAAGCAGGGAATATGGCCTCTCAATAATTTGGTTCATTTACCATCTCGTGGCGTCTGAGTTGAGTAGATTGCTTAGAATGGAGATACCATATACAGGACTTGTTCATGCACTCATGAAGTATATATAACAATTAAGTAAACTATCTAAACACCACGGTTTATCTTATAAGGCTTTTGAGCAATTGTGAAAGCGGAATCATCTACCAGATGTGTTGATTTCAGAGGTAAGACACAGTCAAAATGCCGGTATTTTCATCTATATGAATCACCTTAGTTTATGGTATTTGCAGGATATTTAACGCCGAGTGATAATACGGCAACATATAAGCTCTAAAGAGAAAAACGACTGATGTGAATAAATGTTTTTTATGGCTATCTATATCTGTGTCAATAGCTCAATAGCTCAATAGATCAATAGGTAATTGTGCCATCAACTACTTTAACATTCTTGTCAAGCTTAACAGCCGACTTTACTGCGTCTTCATGCCGTAACGCTCCAACCTCGACATCTGAAACCAGTGAGAAGTCATATTTAAGCAGCTTTGTGGTTCCCGGTACGCTGTATCTCTCTGAGAGTCCGGATACATCCGAAACAGTTCCTAGATCCACAATGAGAGACTCCTTGACACCAAAGACAGCATCGGAAGTCTCATACGGGTCACCGCGAATATAGAGCGCCCTTCCCAGGTCAGCATGATAGTCTCAATTGGTTCATTAGTGTGGCTTACGTTATTAAAGGATCATATCCGTCCTTGTTGAATTTGAAGTGCATATGGCTTGGGCGGTAAATATGTCGATTCAAGGCCTTCAAAAGATCTCCGACAGGCCCGTCGCCGGGTATTGGGTAAGGGACGGGGACAATAGCTTTGAAGTTGAAGTTTCCTTCACTGTCGCTGCGTAGTATAGCTCTGTTATCGAAGCCTTTCCGGTCTGCATACTGCACATCATAGAAGCCCTTGGAGTCGGTCTCCCAGACATCGACCTCGACGTCTTCTAGCGGGTTGCCTTGAGAGTCTCGTACTGTACATACCACCAAGAGTGGTTCGCCCTCTGGATCATGAGAAATGGTATCACCAGAAGCCACGTTCTCAGCACCGTGTGCATGGAAGGGACCAAGAACAGTCCCCTCGGTAGATGTAGGTGGCTTGGGGTGATCAATTGAATCAACTAGAAGTGACAGTCCGAGTACATCAGACAAGAGAATGAATTCTTGTCTGGTGTCGCTGCAAATCTTTCCAGTTCTGGTTAGGAACTGAACAGCTTTCTCCCATTCTGCCGTGCTGAGACGAGTCTCACGCGCAAAGTCGTGGAGATGTTGAACTAGCCTCTCAAAAATGAAACGTGTTCGTGGATCTGGGCAGTTGGAGTTGATCGCCACGACATTTTCAGTAATGTTATCAGTTGTGAGATCCTTGAGAAGGGGAATGCCTGGCTGAGTGTGTGCCATGGTGAACAGAGGCGCGATGGCGAATACTGGATATGATTGAGATGAGACTGTACAAGGACCCTGTGTTTGTTAATCATTGCATGTTCCAGATTTGGCGGCACGGTCACGGATGTCTTTAGAGGCCGTTCCCACCGAGACGTACCCGTGAAGTGCCGACGGCGGTGGGGCCGGTGGGCACGGAAAAGCCGGGTGGCTCGAAGTTCGGTGGCTAGGTGCGTCTCGCAGATCGGGAACCGGAACTGAGATAAAGCAAAGGAATTTACTTTGACAGAATAGCATGAGATTGTTCTCAAATCATATCCCCAAGAAGAGACACGGATATTCAAGATGGAGCCCTTTGTGTACAGCCCTCTCCCCCACAAGATCATCTTTGGACGAGGTTCAATCCGTCAACTTCCGCAATGCCTGCAACAACTTGGCTTCCGACGGGCCCTCGTCCTATCAACCCCCCACCAGATTGACCAAGCAAAGCAAATCACCGAAATTCTTCAGTCGTACGTGGAAGCCAGCTGGATCTTCTCCGAGGCCGCCATGCACACTCCCTTGAATGTTACAGAGAAGGCCCTCAGATTTTGCCAGCAGAACAACCCCGACGTTCTGGTGTCTGTTGGGGGCGGTAGTACCACGGGACTTGGCAAAGCCATCAACTTTCGCAAAGGGATATACCACATCTCTATTCCTACAACATATGCTGGTAGTGAGGTGACTCCAATTCTCGGAGAAACCGTCGATGGCATCAAAACGACCAAGACGCAGATTGAAATCTTGCCTAAAACCGTTATATACGATGTCGATTTGACCCTCACGCTTCCTCTTCCCATGTCGCTCACCAGCATCATCAACGCTATCGCCCATGGTGTCGAGGCTCTCTACGCCCCCAACACGAACCCTATCGTCAGTCTAATGGCCGCTGAAGGTGTACGGTCTCTCGCAAACGGATCACTTGAGCTACTCGACGATCCCGATTCCATCGTCGCTCGATCGATTTGCCAATATGGAGCTTGGCTCTGCGGAACATGCTTAGGTAGCGTTGGGATGTCTTTGCATCACAAGCTATGCCATACATTAGGTGGCTCTTTCAACTTGCCCCATGCCGAGACACACACGATTGTTCTCCCGCACGCCTTGGCGTACAATGCTCCCAAGGTTCCCCAGGCGATGAAGGTTCTGGCTGGGGTGCTTCCGGACAGCCAAGGGGATGCTCTACGGGGCCTGAACACGTTACTTAACAAGCTTGGTGTTCCACGAAGCTTGAAGTCCATTGGATTTAAGGAGGAAGATATTGACAAGGCGGCTGATATTGCCGTTAGTAAGTCTTATGCCAACCCAAGGGAAATTGATAGAGATCTCATACGGGAGGTCATCAGGAGAGCATGGGCTGGCGAGGATGCAAAGGTAGATTTGTAACGCAGACCTGATAGGAGCTGATAAAATATAATGATCCTCTCAAGCCTCTTTTTCGACTCATGTGGTATTCGGATGCGGTGTCCCTGTAGCTTGCATACGACGGTATGATTACAGGGTATCCAGTCACCAGACCGATATTCACTTTATTGAACTAACCTACCGTCTGGCAACGCAGCAAGTCATGACTTTCACACACATTCTAGCTCTTAAAGGTATACTTGACGAAGATGAAATCAGTGCCAAGAGCTGTCATTCAATAAGTTTTCTGTATTGCGCAACGTTGAATGACATAAGATGCGTCTAATTCTCAATCGTCTATCTGCATAAGACTGCCTTCACCCCTGTTGACTCAGTTCCAAGACTCAATAGCTACGACGACTCGCTTACTCAAAAGTTCGCTGCCTCTGCGCATTCTGCCTTGATCAATGTCGCATGAGCTTGACTTCTAACGCTGATCCTGACCTCGTAAGGCTTCTCTATCCCGATCTCGAACGGCTTTCCAACTGGAATTGGATGGCCTGGAACTTCATGGAAGTCAAAGCAGTACAGTAGGCGCGCGATCAACAGGTGGAGACTGTTACTAGCAATGACCCATCCGGGGCACACTCGGCGGCCTAGTTGGTTAACTCTTTAGTCGCGTAATGTTTGAATGTATGCGTAGCTTGACTCACCTGCTCCAAATGCTAGATGTCCCTTGATGGGCTTGTCAAGGTCCTCGTTCATAAATCTCTCGGGCCAGAAGGTCTCCGGATTCTCGTACTCAGAGTTATCCATGTGAACGCCCCAGCTGTTCCAGATCACGTTAGTCCCCGCTGGAATGTTGTACCCTTCAAAGGAGTCATCCTCAATCAAGGAATGGGCAATTTCTGGCAACGAAATGCTAACTACTTGTCAGTCTATCACACAAGAACGATGCAGAACCGCACTGTGATGTTTTTTCTTTACTTACTTCCATCGAAGAACTTCTTTGCCAATAGCTTTGATGTAGGGCAAACTTGCAATATCGCTCGCGACCGGAAGTCTCTGCGCATCTGCACCACAAACCTTGTCCAAGTCCTGACGTGCGCGCTGTACAAAGTCTGGAAACAATGCTGCACCAGCTACAAGCTGGTTCAAAGCCACGCGAGTGGTATCAGATCCCGCCTCGATGAGAGATCCGGCGAGAAAAACTGTTGACTCGTGGTCAAGCACCTGATCTCGTCCAAGCCTTTTAAACTCGGAGACGAAGCACGTCACGTTCTTTCCTTGCTGTTCTCGAGCATTAAGAGTCTCAAATTCTTCAGAAAAGTTCCTAGATTGAAGTCAGTGGCGGCCAGATATCACGAGTGTGGAGGGAATAGACTTCTTAGATTGTTCAAAGACGCTGTCGCCCCACCATCTCCATGGCTGAATGGCTTTCGGGAGAGGAATGTATGCCAAGAAAGGAAATGAGTCGATCAAGCTGGAGCCAGGCTCAAACATCTTCATGATCTCGTTGTTGGTCTCGATGATTCTGTCAACGTTGGCGTCTCCCATCTTTGTCCTTCGCCCAAACACCATGCTCATGATGAGAGAGCTGGCATATCGAGCATTTGCTTGGTTCCACAGATCAGGCTCCGTGAGGTAGTCGTACAGCAGTGTTCGTGACTCGACATCCTGGAGGGGAGCGAAGACGTTGCGGTTTCCAGGGCCGATGATCTCGTGTATGAGCTTGCGCTCCCACTTCCAGAGGTTGCCGTACGGCATAAATACGACGCGTTTTCCACCCGAGGCAACGTCTCCAGGCATCGGCAGATTCTGCCGCGAGATATAGCGTGCCCCGCGCTTGTCGAGAAGCTCATTGGCGATGCGCTGCGAGTTCATGAATATCCAATAATTGGAGCCTACCTTGAGAGTGAACCTGTTGGATTAGATTTTGAAAGTGCTTGGTCTTAGTGCGATTCTATTTGTGACACGTACATTTCGCCATATTTCCTGGCCAGTTTATGGAGGTACAGACGTCGCCCAGCTGTATCGGTTGGGATCTGTAGCATGTTCCTAAACAGAGGTACACCGGGCACGAGGTTAGGAAACTTGTACTTTCGATGGAACCTGAGCCATAGCACAGTACGATATAGGATCCATAACAGTATCAGAGCGATACCCAACGGTATCACTTGAATATGTCGCCCAGCCATTTTCATGACGGTATTGACTAGTAATGATGGACTTCGGAAATTTACACTCGGTGGTCCCAATTCTTACAGTGGATTACCAAGCGAATACGTTCCTCGAGAAAACGAAATTAAATATAGACAACTTATAATGACAACAACGGAACTACCAGGCGATGCAATTCCAGTTTCTCATCACCCACCTACTGCGAAAGAGTTTGGTGGGCAAACGCCCCACCGCTCACCTCCCCACCCTATACTATCCCCGATTACACAGCATTTGGGTGGCATAGTGCTCAGCAGAGGTTAAACAGTGTATCCCGAGAAATTATGGATCTATAATTGTGCCATCAGCTAACCGCTCAAGTAATGTGCTGACTCGCTATCTGGAAATGGGCTCGGGTTTACCCTATTTTCGTGCAAGAGCCTCGGTGGAGTAAAAACAGTGCTCAAACGCGTTGTCAACGTGATCAACAGTCGTAGCCATCCAGCTTCAGTGAGCTTATATAAAGGAATATTTAAATACCAGAAAGACTAGCTATGATACACCTAGACTGACACTTAATTCCAAAGAATCTCTTCTTGACTCCTCTTATCTATCTATCGATGACAATGAGCTCAGGTGATAACACAAACGGTTGGTCAACCATACCATTTATCATCAATGGGAAAGATGTTACCTCGAAAGCATCATTTCCTGTAAATAACCCTGCCAGCTCTGAAAAGCTCTGGAGTGGTTCATCTGCCTCAATCAGCGATGCAACTGGGGCCGTCGAGGTAGCTCAAGCGGCTTTCGCGTTGTGGTCTCAGACAAAGCCGAGTTTCAGGAGAGACATTCTGTTCCGGGCCGCAGATCTCTTCATTAGCAGAAAAGAGGAATTGTTCGCCTATCAAGCCCAGGAGACGGGTGCGGGGCGGCAATTTATGGAGATCAATATCCAGGCCACGGCGCAGATACTGAGAGATATCGGAGGGAGAATTGAGGCGGCACTTGAAGGTTCGGTTCCAGCGACGGCCGAGCAGGGCTCCCATGCCATTGTAGTCAAGGAACCGTATGGCGTTGTTCTCGCAATTGCACCGTGGTATGTAATGAAAACTAGTCGCATTCGGACCGAGAACTGACGATCTTTTCTTTCCTTCCACCGCAGGAATGCCCCATACGTGCTCGGAGCACGATCAGTTGCGTTTGCCCTCGCAACGGGAAACACAACGGTTCTCAAGGGTTCCGAGCTGAGCCCGCGTGTGTTCTGGGCAATCGGCGATGTTTTTCGACAGGCTGGCCTGCCGGACGGTTGCCTCAACGTAATTTACCACCGAACTGCAGATGCCGCTGCGGTGACGGACGCGTTGATTGCGCATCCGGCGATCAAGAAGATCAACTTTACTGGCAGCACTCTCGTCGGAAGCATCATCGCCAGTTTGGCGGGGAAGCACGTCAAGCCGCTTTTACTTGAGCTTGGCGGGAAAGCGAGTGCAATTGTCCTAAAGGACGCCGACGTGAAAAAGGCCGCGACAAGTTGCGCCGTGGGCGCATTCATCCACGTGAGTTTGGCCGTGAAGTATTTGTGTTGAATCGATATGTACTCATCATATCTAGGGCGGTCAGGTGTGCATGTCGACGGAGCGCATTCTCGTGCACCGATCGATCAGTGATGAGTTCAGCGCGGCACTCAAAGAGGCCACGCAGGGACTATTCGGGCCCGAGAAACCGCCGTTCGTGCTAGTGAATTCAGCGGCGGTGCAGAAAAACAAGGGTCTCATCGCCGACGCGGTCGCCAAGGGCGCGACGACCCTCCTGGGCGACGCCGATGCTGCAGAGGACCAACCCACCAAGATGAGACCCGTCATCGTCTCCAACGTGTCCAAAGAAATGAACATCTACCATACCGAGTCTTTCGGGCCTACCGTTTCTTTGCTGACTTTTGACACGGAGGAGGAAGCTCTCGCAATCGCCAATGACACCGACTACGGGCTCTCGGGGGCTGTATTCTCCGAGGACCTGAAGGCCGCTATGAGGGTCGCTAGGAAGTACGAAACTGGGGCCGTCCACATCAACTCCATGACCGTGCACGACGAGGCGGCGCTGGTGCACGGCGGGGCTAAGAAGAGTGGCTACGGGAGGTTCAATGCCAGCCAAGGACTGGCTGAGTTTCTGAGGTACAAGACCATCACTTGGAGGGAGTAAAGTGGCGGAGGCGTCCAATGATACGAGCCTTGTTCATCAGCCGGTAAATAGCGTGCTCTTTTGTGCGCAGCCGAGAGTACCATGGAGTATAGACAAATCTGCCTACGTTGATGTAGGGTACGCGGACACCGAGTAATGCCCGAAACTCTAGCTACAGACACTGCTCTTAATCTTAACCCTCCATACTGGGCTAGTCTCACGATCTTTCCCCGCAATCTTATCCCCCACATTTTCGGGAATAGATTTGTCAACCCCAGGATCCTTCTTCAGTCCAAACCCAACCTGGGGGCACTTGTAATTCCTTTCATCTCCCTCATACCCACTTTCCATTAGCTCACTCGAAATGTCTTGTCAAACCAACACCTCCACGCAGCAAGTCACTGGTGAAAATGTCGACAAACCATCCAACCGACAAAGTTGCGGCTTCTCCTGCGATCAATGTCACGCCAGCTTTAATCGCCTAGCTCATCTACGACGTCACGAGCTCACGCGCAAGTCGCTTCTTTTTGCTATGTCTCAGAGGACTGTCCACCACTGACTATCTGCAGATGGAAGCGAGAAGCCGTACAACTGCATGTATTGCTCCCTAACATCTTCCAGAAAAGATGTCATTGTCCGGCATACCAGAAACTTCCATCACGGCCTTGGTAATAGAAAGTCTTCTGGCTTTCGGGGCAGGCGTCGCACCAATTCACATCCCGGAGCTTCTCGCCCAAGAGGCTCAAAGAATGGTTCTGCGCGAGCATCGCCTGCCACGACGACGGCTCGGGGACAGCAAAATCGCCATTCAGAGGGACTTGACCATGTGATCGAGGAGCGCGACGAGTCGCCGACAAACAATGAAGTAGACGGATCTCAAAGCAGCCAGGCTAATTCTCTGGACATTGCCATGCCCTCGCAGCCCGACATGTTTCCCCCCTATATTTCAGGGAGTCCCTTAGAATTCAATGCTTCATTCATGGACCCCGAGCTCATCAACACAAATCTTTCGGCCATGTTCGACCTCGACGCGCTCCTGGCTGATGCCCAAGGACTTTTTGGCCAGGTCTCAAACTGCAATCCCCCAGAGATACCGATCCTAGCCCTGGAACCGCCGATACCCAACAGACCGGCCATTCTCGACCAGTCAGACAACCCTCCTAGCCCGCGCAATCTTGTGCCAAACGACGATAAATGCGAGAATGCTTGGGCCAACCTCACCAAATATCCGGTCCACATACTCGCTTCGCTTCGCTTTCCTTCAAAATATGCAGTGAGACGGTTCGTCAAGGCTTTTTTTAAGCATATTTCTCCTCATATACCCATAATACACGAACCGACCTTTGACATCGCAACGACGCCATGTAACCAATATCTCATCTTGAGTGATGCAATAGAGGTGCTAAAAGTGATACAGCTCCCCTCCTGCTTGCTCTAATGGCCTGCAGCGCTGTGTATCTTGGTGAATACTCCAGAGCTACATCGATGCATACCATCTCTGTACAGCTTGTCTTCGAGGTAGGACAGTCCTCCGAGTACTCAAATGATGAAACCTAGTTAACAGAGGAACCAGCATGAACGGATGGTTGCTTTCAACAAGGCTGATCCCGAGACTCTGACGTGGATGCTGCAGACATATTTACTCCTCGCCTATTTTGAGATTCACTGCGGCTCAGAGGACAAAAGAGGCCATGCGTTCCCTCACTGCGTCAAGGTTAATCCTAACTACAGAACATTTCGCCTAGCTAGGGCTAACTCTTACGATTTCAGCTTGTACAAGAAGCACTCAGCGACCTGCAGGCGAGCCCGCCAGCCACGTACAAAGATTGGGTACGCTGGGAGAGTCTAAACAGGTATTTACACTTACTCCATATGCCCGTTATGATTGTTCACAGTATGATAGGTGCATCTCGTCTACGATTCTTATAGGTGGCACTGTCTGCTCCAAAGAACAAGAAGCGTGGATTCCAACCCCTATGGTCGAAGCCAGATTCGCTCTGCCGTCAAGCAACGCAGAGTGGCTAAAAGAAGAGTCCAGCTGGGGCACGCCGACCGAAGTTCTATACAGCAACGATGCACTGGATAGCATCATCGGCGGTCAAACACCATCCATGCCAGTGAGCGAATTTGGTCTCGTAACCATTGCAGCTGCCCTTCTCTACAGGATATGCTCATTTGAGCTACTAACAGGCTCACGCGACGGGGAACTCTACGCAGAATTCGGCAAGAAGATGGAGCAGTCGTTGAAAGTTCTCGATGCGATTCTCAAAGCTCGTATGGTCCAATATGAAGGCGGACTGGCACCGAATCCCACTGTTCACTGCGCCAGATCATTACTGAACTCAGCTTTCTACCATCTCTACGCTAGTGTTCCGCTGTCTGTCATGAAGAAGATACTCTGGTCGCCCGCCAGCCTCGATGATCCAGAAATCAGGAACGTTTTAAACGTGGCCATCTCGCCTGAACTCTACCAGGCACTCCTGAATGCCGCGGATCAGCTACAATTCGACTGCCGGGTGGGTTTATCTTACATCAAAAAATTAGCACCCATAATCTTCGGGCCTGAAAGTGCGGTCGGCGCCTTAGAGGGCTGTAAGTCTCCCATACCTTACTTGACCTCCGTTCGGCAGCTAACTTGTACGCAGGCCTCCTTCTGTGTTGGTACCTTCAATTCGCGCAATCTCGTGTATCGGAGAACGGGTCACGCGATATTCTTAATGCATCAATAAATGAGAGCTTTGCAGAGGTTGTGGACCTGCAACTGGAGGATCATGGCCTACAATCAGTCTTACCGCTTGCCGTGTCAGCAGAGCTTCTCTCGGATGGCTCCGTGTGGAAATGTAAGCTTGAGCCCCTGTAGTCAGTGCTTCTAAGAAGATGCTAATATGCGCAGGGCCTCCTGCCGTGTCGCAAAAGCTGAAATCATTGATTAAGAAATTAGAGGATTCAGACAATACCATACATGTTGCAACGGCTAACCCACTATAGCGACAGTTCAGGGAGCACAATGCTCCCGTAAACATAATTTCAATGTAATAAAAACCCTCGTCGCCGAATTGGCCATCTTAAACTATTTCCAGTCATTCCGTACATAGAGAACAGTGGTGGTCAAGAGGATGAAATCTGATCCAAGTGAAGTGGACGAAATATTTCTAAGACATGAAGAAAGAAACACTCGATATATTATACATATCATCATATCCTTTCTCCCCCGTTGCCATTCGCAAAACCGCTTCATTCATCGACTTTATCGTGACAAGTGGGCCAGTATGGGTGGGTAGCTTCTGGGTGGGACATTGGTGGTACATGGCCGAACGATTGACCTTCTTATATGCTACCTATTTTGAATTCATTGATCTACGGCGGGCCACTAGCGACTCTCCTTCGGGCGCGAAACAAAATTGATCTTAAGTAGTAGAAAAGGCTAGAGTTGATATGTACTGCAGGTTTGAACACTAGCAGAATGACAACTCGCAAAGAATATGTCTTCAAAGTCATTAATGGCATCCCAATAGCTGCAGATGTATACTTCAGGAAGACCATGACCGCTTCGAAGCTTCCAATAGGTGCGCAAACTGTCCAGCCTAGTTTCTGCAAGACATCTAACACGTTGAGCTACAGCATTACATTTCCACGGCGGGAATTTCACGGTCGGCTCGAAACAAATGCTTTCGAGGGACCAGTCAGAAAAGCTGTTGGACTTGGGTTTTGTGGTTGTATCTGCCAACTACCGACTGGCTCCCACGGTTACGGTCTTTGACGGACCAGTCAAAGATGCACTGGACGCATATGAATGGTCACAGACCAAGTTACCTGGACTCCTCCTTGAAGATGCGCATATAAAAGCCGATGGATCTCGGATTGTGACCTGGGGTCATTCTTGCGGCGGCACCTTGGCCCTTCTGACGGTGAGTAAATACCAATGAGCTCTGCCTCGTGTATATGTTGCTGATGCACGACGCTCTAGGCCAGTTCAATCGCACCGCCTCGCGCGATCCTCGACATCTACGGTATCAAGTACCTCGCGGACTCGGCATTCCATACACCTCTACCTGCACCTCCAGGCGCCCCTCAGATCGATCAAGACTTCGCAAGCCAGATCTGGAAGGATGACCAGCCTCCCACTTCAGCACCTCCTCCTGTTGGGCCGAAAGGGCCCAACCTGGGCAACTACCGTGTTGCCTGGATGTTTGATCAGCTTGGTAAGGGAACCCACTTGAAGACGGTCGTGGGAGATGGCGAATACGGCCGTGTAGATCCCGCTTCACTGTTTTCCAAGGGACAATTCCCTCCCACATTCTTTATCCATGGCACTGAAGATAGGTTGGTGCCGGCGAGGCTATCACAGCGGGCACACGATGAGCTCAAAAGTAACGGTATCGAGATGGAATTGTTCCTAGTGGAAGGAGGACAGCATGGCTTTGATGACATCGGGAAGCCCGAGAATGCACTTGAGCTTTTGGGAAAGGGTTTTGAGTTCCTCAAGGCCCATGTCTAATATGATACTGTATTGGAGGGAATAGGTTTCGAGAGGACAGATCTGAATAGGCACTCAATTACTTAAATTTGACTACATCTGCATTGTATAATCGTGCATGCATGTCTTACAGCAGCCTGGCCTGAGCCGACCTAATATATCTCCGTTTGAAATGCTGCTGGCTAGCGTAACACCCCACTACTGCCCATAATTGATTAAATTAATGACCTCGCGTGGTATTTAGTGGTATGAGACAGCACTATTACAGCACCTTGTCTGCTGGACGGGGCAGGTGGATCGACTAACAACAGTCTCAGTTACCCACCGTAAGTGGGAATTACAATTTATGTAGGAGATATTTCAGCCATCTGCAAGTGTCAAACCATCCACTACTTTTGACCTCTAGAGCAGATACGCATAAAGCTTCAGAAGCTAGACCGTTCGTCTCACCACCGCCGTTACAATCACAATGGATTCACCCACCAAACCCAAACGCACAAGAGTCAACAAACACAAGCGCGTCTCAAGAGCCTGCAATTACTGCCGTGCTCGTAAGCACAGATGTGATGGCAGCCACCCAACCTGCTCGCGATGCTCTGCCATCCACTACCCATGCAGCTATGGCCCCGAAACTAAAAAGCGCGGACTGACGACTGGCTATGCGAGGGCTCTGGAACTACTATGGGCCCTGGTATTCACCGTAGTACCGAATAGCAAGGCCGTGATCCAAGAGCTATTGCCAGATGTGCAGTTTGCGCTCGATTCGAGGTCTAGATTGCTGTTGAATACCAGGCTTGTCAAAGATTACGAAACCCTCAGACAGGCCTGGGACGGGAGTGACGTACAAGAAGAATTGGATCGGCTGTTGGCGAATATTCAGCAAGAAAAGGACTCTGGTGCAAGTTCTGTGGCATCCATAAAGGGTGAAGTTTCAACCCCCGACCTCCCACCTTGTACCACCGCATTTGAAGTTGTCAAGACCACAACGTCAACTAATGAAGCCCGACAAGTTTCAGATCACATGGCTACTGACAGGGCCAATAAATATTCCTCTCATGACCCGTCCATTTCCCCATCAGATCCATGGGACGATGTATCATCCTCTGCATCTGCTCAGCAGGTACAACGTCTGATCGACATATACTTTGCCCATACCAATTGTTGGCTTCCTGTGGTCCAAAAGCACAAGATGCTAGAGCTACTTTATTCACCGTCAAGAGATTATTCAGCCGAAGAAGGAAACGTGGCCACCCTATGGGCTGTGGTTGCTTATGCCTCACTCCAATATACCCGCAACCCTACCGGAGCCTCTGATAGACGAGCCGATCTTCCTCCGCCTGACGTAATATATTCCAATGCAAGAAAACGAATACCGAACGAAGACGCGAGACGGCCAGGCTATGTTCAAGCGTTGCTTATACTGGCTCTTTTCAAGATGGATCAGGAGGATCTGGTGACTTCTTGGCACTTGATCGGCCAAGCGGTGAGGATCTGTCTTCATCTTGGTGCCGCCCCTTGTACCAGCAACGACCCCAGTGCCGCAACTTTCGACGATGACGATCAGAAACGGCTTCTCCTAAGTTGCTTTATACTTGATACTCTCGTATCATGTCGCTTGCGTAAGCCACCGCATCTTAGGACAGGAGATTTATGTTTCTCCCTAAAGATCGCAGCAACAGGTCCGAATGAATGGGAACCACAAAATATTGTACCCGCAGGTTCTGGAAACACGAACAACATGCATCAGCCTTCGCGAGTATTAAGTATTTTCAACTGCTACGTAGGCTTGATAAGCATATTCAACGACGCCATGTCATATCAAAGATCGACAAACAGACCTTGCATTAAAGGCCTACTAGCTTTGAATCGCTGGTATGATGGACTTCCAGAACATTGTCAAATTCCACCATTGAGTGGTAAGGGCCAGCCGGGATCGTCACCCCACCTAACACCGCAACTGTACAACCTTCACCTCGCTTTTGCAAGCATCGATATGCACCTCAGGTCGCATATTGCCACCACCAACGTGATATCGAGCACACAAACCACAGGTCTAACAGGCCTGTCTATGGGATATCTCATGGCGTCTTTTGTAAAAGAGTTCGGTGCATCTAACATGCCAGCTATATTCAAGGTTTACCAAGACCTTGCACGCAGAAGAGTCTTTAGGCCTGAGAGACAGGGTCCCCCCGTTGGCTCGCTGATCTCGGTATTGAGCAGTGAGCCATCTCCTGATCTACTGCCAACACCTCCGGAGCTCACTGAATCCGTCTCTACCATTCCCAGTCGAGCAAATTTGCTTCACGTCACGGCACGGCCTTGCGAAACAGAGGGTAAGTCATTGCTAATGCCTGCACGGTCCTGACTGACACTATAGAGAAATTAATTCTACTACCCAATCACATGCATTGACATCAGGTGTAGTCCCTGAATACGATATGGAAACTTTGAGCAAGATATTTGGTACTTCCGAGTTAAGTGAAGCAGGCTTTTCAATCGAGCAAGACATGGAGGGTTTAGACTACTTGAATGGCATGACATGGTAATATAAGGAGAATTTTTAGAGCCAGACATCTGATATCACTATTTTGACTGGGTTTTCCTACTCTCATCGAGCTCTGAAGTGCTGTAATAATACTGGGTCGGCGCCAGTATAGATTTCCGCAATGTAGTAATTGACGGAATATGGCGATCCTTGGACATCCCATCCGCTCTCATTTGCTCCTCCTAATCTAACCTTTGCCAATATAGTCGAAGACCTTTCCAAGGTGGTGCTGATGGGTTGCCAACATGGGTGGAGATCACCCATCGGGTGGGAATCAACTCCACTTGCGTTTTGGTGAGGCTGGCTCTAAGGTATTGGTAATGGTCGCTCATGAGGTAACTGGTCTTGAGCTCCCAGGGACTAGCCAAACATTCGTATTTAGCTATCAACCGCAACTTTACAGATTTTGTTTCTCTGCCATCATCTTCCCTGTGTAATTCCACTAAACCTACCCCAATATGAGTCCCAGCGTTCCAACTACGAATCGTGCCTTATGGCTCTCCGCGTTCGAAAAGCCTCTAGAGCTCGTTGAACTGCCCGTTCCTGACGCAACACCTGGCTCAGCTGTCATACAAGTTCTGAACACGGTGATATTCCCTTATGCCGAAGATATTCACACAGGCAAGCTACCAGTTTTCAACTTGAGCCTCCCCTTGGTACCTCATCCAAGCCATATTGGCCGGGTACAGGCTGTCGGGTCGGATGCCGTATTCGCCAAGCCCGGTGATCTGGTCTTTTTCTCAGCTGCCATTTATGCGCGAGACGACCCCAGCGTGAATATCATCCAGGGCCACCACGGCGGAGAGGGGACCAAAGGCCGCAAGCTCATGCAGGGAGAATGGCGCGACGGCGCTCTCCAGCAGTATCAAAAAGTTCCCCTCGAGAACATATTTGTGTTAGACGAGGACCGACTATGCAAGAAACTTGGATACACGCCGGCGGACCTTCACGAGATCTCGTTCTACAGTATCTCTGCTGGAGCTTTATTGGAGGGTGCCAACCTACTTGCGGGCGAGACGATTGTACTTGGACCAGCCACTGGAACTTACGGAGGTATCACCTCTGATATAGCACTGGCTCTAGGCGCTAACGTCATTGCCATTGGTCGCAGCGAGACAAAGCTCGCCTACTTGAGGCAACAGCTTGGTAACCACGAGCGATTCAGCTATGTTGTCATGACAGGAGATGACAAGACGGACGCAGCCGCAATTCGAAAGTCAAGCCCAGATGGACGCGGTGTCGAAGTATACAACGATTGGGCATCGGGGAGCTTGAACGGCTCTCCGTACTTCTCGGCCGCCATACAGGCTGTGCTACCAGAAGGCAGGGTTGTTCTTAGCGGAGCGCCTTCCGGGTCTATTTCGGTCCCGTATACGCTCGTGATGCACCAAAATATCAAGATTATTGGCAAGGTCATGGTATCACGAGCAGGAATTGAGTCGACTATCAAGATGGTGAACTCGGGGGTTCTCAAGCTCGGTAAGCGCGGGGGCTCGAGTCATAAGGTATACGGCTTGGAGGAACATCACGAGGCTTTCGAGGATGCGAAGCAGAATAGTGGCTTTAGAGTCTACACAGATATTGCCCCCAATTCGTGGTAGAATTGGGCATGCTTTCCAGCTACCATCATATAGCCAAATGCATTGCCGTCAACGACTCAAGTCGGAAATTGCGATCGTGACGGTATCATATATGAAGCAACAAGCGTGTTGATTCATGCTGGTGCCACCCGACAGGACTTTATTGCCGGTGGGTGCTAGACCAGACCCTTTGCTACCGTTTTGGTGGGGATGCCCACCGGGTCGGATGTTCGGAACCCCACACGGGAAACAGGCAGGTCTCAACTAAGCTTGATAAAGTGCAATCCTCACCAATTGACATTTTGTTCGGTATCTCTAGTTAGTCAAACTTGAACAAGTGACTAGCCCTCTTCTTGTCCTTCAAATCCAGCCTTGAACTATCGAGCAGAATGCCGTGCGCTGGCTGTTACACGGGGCACGACCATCCTGGTCCTGTCTATGGCCGCGAGACCAAACTTCATGGCCATGATGTTTACGTTACAGAACCTCATACCAAAGTGTTTTCCACAAAAGGACTAATAGTCGTTATGTCGGATGCGTTTGGGTGGAACACGACCAACCTACGTGGTGTAGCAGACAGATATGCGGAGCGGACTGGCTACAGAGTATACGTTCCCGATTTCATGCATGGTGGGTTCATGGGTGCTTTACGTATCCTCGGAACTTGGAGGTTAATATGTCTGTTCTCAGGCACTTCTGCACCCGCGTCAATCAAGCCCGTCATTGACAGTGTTCTTAATGACGGAGGTTTCTGGGGATGGCTAGTAAAGCCGTAAGTCCAGCCTGTACCCAGCGGCAGCGTATTCCTGACGCAGAGAATCAGATGGAATTTATTGAAGGCGGTGTTCGTCATGGTCCCCTTCAATATTCGTAACAAGCCCCAGAAGCGCTACTCTGGTATTCGACAGTTCATGGACGACCTACGTTGCAACGAAGCAGCTAATCTCAAAGTTGGCGTGGTTGGCTTCTGCTGGGGCGCATACGGCATCACGCATCTAGCCCACGGCGAGGTAGCGGCGAATGGTAAGACGATCATCGACGCAGCTTTCACTGCTCACCCGAGCGAAATCGAGGTTCTCAGAGATATCGAACCTGTGAAGCTGCCCTACAGCTTAGTCATTGGTGATGTTGACTTTGCTTTGCCTTTGAAGGAGGTGCACAAAGCAGCGGAGATTTTGGAAGCAAAGAAGGATGTAGACACTGAGGTCGTGATTATTCCTAATGCAAAGCACGGCTTTGCTGTTAGGGGCAACCCGGATAACAAAGAGGAGAGATATATGGCTGATCAGGCAGAAGATCAGGTAGTCAGATGGTTTACTAAGTACCTAGTTTAATGGATGTGGAAATAATAACCATTGGATCTATTTACAAACCATTCCTAAAAGTTTTATTTATCCCGAATATCCGGCAGTGCTCCCTTTGCCAACATTCTCTCCAGTTTCCTGCTAAACCGTTAGTTGACCCCCCGCTCGTGACAAGCTCGCCGTTATAAATTCGCTGAGGACTCACGCTCGTCAGGTTTATCCCGCGCCCCTGTAGGCCTTTCATCGCTTTATGATTTTAATATAGGATAAAAGCTGTCAGATATAAAATTTCATACCTACTGCTGTAGGAGAAAGGGCACCAGTACCTCAGACAGACCTTCTGAATCCTCTTCAGGAATAAAGTGCCCGCACTTCAACGCCTTGCCACACACATCGTGGGCATACTTCTTCCAGATTTCAAGGGGCCCTTCTGACTTGTTTTGCAAAGACTCGGCAGATACTCCCATGTTTCCCCAAACCGACAACATTGGAGCCTGTATCTTATTTCCCTCCTGCACATCCTTTTCATCGTAGACTTTGTCCAGGAACGCTCCAGCTCTGTAATCCTCACAGGTACTATGGATTCTTGTTTCGTTGCAGTACGCCTTTCTATACTCCTCGAGCGCCCTCTCGTCAAAGTCCTCAAGTGTCTTTTTCCTCGTCCAACTCGCTAGGGTATGTTCCAAGTAGTGCTTGCCATTGTCGGTGCCTTGAATCATGTTTTCGGGAAATGGGTCTGGTTGAGCGAGGAAAAGCCAGTGATAGGCTTTCAGCCCCGCCGTCACATCCCCAAACCCTTGGAACATTGCTGCGGTCGGGATGATGTCGATTACGACCACCTTTGAGACTGCCTCAGGATGATCAAATGCTAGGCGGTACGCTACTCTGGCGCCGCGATCATGTCCAACGAGGAGGAATTTGTTGTATCCGAGATGGGACATGACGGAGATACAATCGTTGGCCATCAGCCGCTTGGAATAGCCGGATCCGTTGGTACTAGGGACGATGGCTGACTCGCCATATCCACGGAGATCTAAAAGAATAATACTAAAGTGAGGGATTAGGGAGGGTATGACACGGTGATACTCGACGTGTGTCTGGGGGAAACCGTGGAGGAGGAGAAGCGGGGGCTTTGTAGACTCGATCTTGGTTCGGACGAAGATGGAAACACCATCTGAGGTCTCAATAAATTGGCGAGTGAAGCCTGGCAAAAGGTCAGAGGCCATTGCTGATTAAGACAATTTCTCAATACTGGGTAAATAGGATAAAGTCAATTGTGAGTCAGTCATGAGCTCATGACCTGTTCATTATATACGCTAGGCTGTTCGGGAATATCCGAGGACCTCGGTCGTATTGGAGTGGCCCGATCAAACCCCCGTATTAGTAGTAATCCCGCGCGCGATGATTAACCTCCAAGTTCTTAAAAAAGAGATATGCCATTCTCTTAGTCTCTAGAAGCAAATGGATGAATGGCCAGTGTCCTATCTTTCCCATTATATTATAGGTGGGGTCTTAAAACCTATAAGGTAATTTTGCGTTCTCCATAAGCCAAGAGCTTTCCGGGTAATAGACTCCCAGCCGTGCTTGTAGTGACTAGTCAATTTGAGGCCGCCTGATCATTGGTTATGATATCATGGCAGGTACTTTTAATGAGTGTATGTATTTCTCATCCTGGGTTCTTTTATCCATATTCGACCGACGTTCCTCAAGTTCCACTCTGCAATAAACATCGGTCTGCTCTATCATTTTGCGTTGGTCCAGCCTCTTGCCGTTCGACATGATAGGCAACTACTGCTAACTTTAGAGCCGTATTATAGTATGGATAATATGTGCTTAAAAACCCTTTTCAAGAGTAAAACCAAAAACAAGAGATAATAATAGAGTTCATGCCTTCTTCCACAGCCAGACGGTAAGTTCGCAGTTAGAACACCTGGCTGACTAACTCAATTGATACCATGATAGTTTGCAAGACGTTGGAGATTCTTGAAAATCTTTGGAACGCTTTCTGAGTGCCATCTGCTAGGTATCCATCATTTCAGATCGTTAGCCGTAGCCTGGATGGGACGACAGCTGCTGGTTTGGCTACCGGTCAGATCATATAACCGGGATCGCTGTCAGTGGCAACCAGAATAACAAGGAGAAGGGCATGGCTGGTCAGGCAAAAGATCAATTAGATGGATAGCTTGCTAACTATTCGTCTTCAAAGGAGTTGAATATCATTTTCATAACTACATCCTAGCTATTCTTATGACATTTACAGATCTCGGCTATCCTTCTATATCTATTAAGTTGTTATAACGGAGGAACTTTGAAAATCAAGAGAAATAACATGGGTCCACTACTTGGCACCCCAGGGAAGCGTCCCTTTTGCCAGCACTTCCTTAAGCTCCTCGTCGGAAAGAAAATCACTGTCAAACCGTTGGGCAACTTCCCGTTCCTGACGAGCTCGTCGTTCTGCATGTGCTGAAGATTCAGCCTCGTCAGACTCGTCCACCGCCCCCATTGGCCTTTTTCCTCTTCGTCGCTCTGACATAGTAGAGGGATTCGCACGGCCGTCGTCGTCTTGAGTGTTGCCTGGGTCTTGCACTGTTCCTTCACGTGTTGATATGTGTATTGATTCAGTCGTTCTCTCCGATGGCCCGGGTGTTCTCGCTGTAGCACCATTCGCCTGCTCGACCCCGGAGTAGAAGGGCGTTGAAGACAATCCGTCATACTCACCTTCTTCCTCTTTGAGTAATGTGCTACTCAACGGGGCTTGGTATAAATGCCTTATAAAAGGTCGATTTGAGGTAGAGTCCAGAGATCCAGTATTCTGACCCTTGGCCCAACCCGTGGTTACATTCTTCCACTTAGACAGCAATCCAAACCCCCTATACTGCCTTAGCTGTCGTTTGAAGTTCTGAAAGTGATCCGTGAGACGACTGATGTCGTCTGAAGTATGAATAGCAAAGTTTCAACCTTTTCTGAACTCATCTTCTGGGGAAAGCGAGGTTCCCCACCGACCAATGTCGCTGGGATCCTCGTCAAAGTTGAACATGAGCACGTGAAACTCGGGTGGACAAGAGAATAGAGCTTGTGGAATACCTCGTTGCGCCAGTGATGAATCGAGGATAAATACGCACATAGCCGCTTGGAAATACGTGACCACAGCGGTCCTCGTGACAACGATCAACTCCCTATTCAATATTTTCATTGTTTTCAACCCCCTATCGTCTGTCCATGGCCATTCAGTCCGTTCCAAGAGATTCGGTCGAAGTTTCAAATCCTCCCGACTGGCTAGTTGATCCAAGGTTGATGATACACGGATAAATGAAACATCTGCTTCATTCCTCCCAATCTTGTATATGGAATGCAGCTTACGCACAAATTTCCTTGTGTTGGGCTGTGCACATGCCTGCAAGACTCGGCCATGTAGCTTCGGGTCAGCATCGTCCGATGCAACTGTCTGTAAGGTCTTCCAAACGTAGTTGATTTCCGAACGTTGTGCTCTGTTTGGCGTATCAGTCCGAAGGCAAAAGTTATAAAGACAAGCATTCAAATTATCCTCGGCCGACATATGGAGAAGGCCGCGGAATGATTCCAGGTCTTCAACTAGCGGCGCCTCATCCAGTTGTCTGATGCGCGAAAGGGGTCCAGCTGGGTGCCGCATGGAGTCTTGAACAAGCTTCTTCGAGATCGCTAGATAAGTCAATTCTCTCGTCGGCTTCCATCCTGGACTGAGATAGAATTTCGCTACCACAACAACATAGAAAACCTCTTCTGGATTGAGTATCTCAGTCAAGTTGCGATCAGTATCTGTCCACATGAGCTCCAAATCATTCAGTACTTGGCCCTTCACAAGACAGGGACGCTCTAAACTGTCCATAAGAGCCGATATTAGATCTCTTGTCTCCAAGTCCGTGGTGGCTGTCCGTAGAAAGTATTCGACATTGTGGTGGGTGATAACTAGACCGATGCACTGGGACTCAACAAATCTAGCGTCTCGGAAGACCCCAAGGGCGCAGTCGAATTCGCATAGAGGGTCTCGCACTGGCTGGGCTTTTGCGTCATGGCTCTTTCCAAAAATACTGGAAATCCATGATCTGACATTTCCAGCCTTGGACAAGATATCGTCATCGCGCCTCAAGCTTTCTGAGTCGATGGGTGCCAACTTCCGAAGGCTATGTGCAATACCCTCGCGGTAGATGTCCCGCGCCCAATCAGCGATATAGTCGATGATGAGAAGTAGCTGAAGCGCACCATTCAGGGAGTCGACTTCGCCACTCCAAAGGCGAACTACTCGCTGTAGAAATGTTAGACTATAAGTTTGTTTCATGTGCTCTGTACTTACGTAAGATATCCCATCATGGGTAGTGTGGATGTAGGCGGCGAATACTCTCCACTCCTCGCCTCTGTAGGATAGAAACCACACAAGTGGACCTCCATCCCATTCCCTCCCTTCATTAGTAGCCTGTGCTAGTTCGTGTTGTATAGACAGGAGCTCTCGAATAGCGAAGGCAGTCTGAACCTGGTTATTGGCGAAACCATCAGTGCTCTTCTCGGATTTGGCCTCAATGACGAGAAATGGAAACACAAGAGGGTCCCCGTCAATTCTGAACGGGCTACTCCTGATATCCTCGGCATAGTGTAGTAGCCGAGAGAACCTTTCGGTGACTTGGAGTCCATAAACACGATCAGGGCGGTGTTCCCGTCTCGGGAGCTCGGTCCGCAGTTCACTAGAGTAGATTATTGCTTCTTCAGCTCTATCGTCGAACAAAGGGCTAATTCCTTGCTCTGGTCTATGGAGATGAACTTAGTTCAGACTTGGCAAGGATACACAATACACTTACATATCTCGTGACAAGTCATTGGGATTACATGTGCAGGGCTGGCGTCTTCTTTGCCGAGCCCTGAGAGAATTGGCATCGCCCTCCTCAGCCGGTTCAGTGCTTGGTTCGACTTCTTGCTCAGAGCGCCAAAGCCGGCCGCGGCAATTCCGACTTATGCAATGATCAGCAATCTTGGCAAGAATGAAGAGCTCCAAGAGACTTACCACGCAATCTCTACAGAGAATCGGGCCATGACTTCGGATTCGAGTGCTAGCCGCCATCCGCTTTCATTCTTCCTGCTCCCCAAGCAGCGTTTGGCGCTCTCTGCAATGCGCTTTGCGCGCCGCTGAACCTGGTGTCTCCATGGGAACCGCGTGAAGTCTGCGGATATGCTCCCACGGTATTCTGAGTAGTCGGTTCTACCAAGTTGCCGAATGTGGTCAAAGATAGTGTTGCAATTGTTTGGCCACTGAGGATTGGGGATTGAGTCAATTGGCCCATCAAAAATGATGTTGTACTTTTTCATCAGCTGTCGCTGAATCTCCCGTTGATTGGGTGGCATTGTGAATTCAGAAGCGCCGTGGATTGTAAAATAAAATTGCAGTTGTTTGTGTGTAACTGTTGTTTGATGTTTGTATGGATTTTGGCGTAGCTAAGTACAATGTGTTGGGTCTGGAATTACGGCCGGCTGAAATGCTTCGCCATGTTGGTGTTTCACTTGTCGCGCGCGTAGACGTGCATATGCAGTTGGTTGTGCAAGTAAATGGAATAAGCCAGGATAATTACTCAGTCAAGGCAGAAACAGCATTTATTTTGCTTCCGAACAGGGAACGGAAACAGGCAGAAACTCAATTTAGTTGGCGTTGGCCAGGCTGAACGACACAGCCATGGTCGCGGCCATGGGTGATTGTCACATTAACAAGGCGTACTCGGAGCTCCCCAGTAAATGTTTCGTCAATTCATTGCCATAAAAACAAGTCGCTATCTGATGTAACTGTTGCCCGTTTCCACTTTCGTATTCCCACTGCCTCTTACGTCATTCCCCTGTCTCATTTGTTCATTTGTCGTGTTGTTGTTGCGTGTCGCGTGACTGTCGTCAATTGACGCACGACGCATTTAGGGGACGGGGGTGTAGTCAGAGTTGCGCATGTGAGACTTGCGGTTGGAGAAGAGGTAATAGACGATCATTCCGACGATGGGGAAGAGGAAGACAACGAGGCACCAGAGGATCTTGTGCGAAACGGGGCGGTTCGACTGGAGGACCTCGACTGTACCATTGTTAGCACCATTAAAAACATGAGGGAGATATGGGCATACGTACTCCAGACAAGGATATCGAGAACCAAAACGATGAAACCGATAATTCCACCACCAGTTCCGTAGTGCCAGGGCTCAGCGCCAGTGACGGTGACCTCGTCAGCGATAGGCGCAGCAAAGGCGAGCGTAGCAAGCCAGAGCTGGAGGAAAGCGAAGACAGCGTTGTTGAGCATTTTGGTAACCTTTTACAGTGTTATTTGATGATCTGATTGAGAGAGAGCGTTGGTACAGAAGAAGAGGCGAAAGGAAGAGGAGAGAAGCCTTTTTGAGAGGAATCAAGCTTACGACGAGACCGGGCACATGATACACTCACATTGACGTCATTGATAGCAGCGGCAGCCTAAAACGTCAGATTCATTTTCAACCAATCAATCGCCGATCAAATCATTAGATCGACGATCGACGATGCTTGTTTTGATTACTAACAGCTCTTATCTTATCTCAACATTCCAGTCATTATTCCTTCTCCTCAACATCGGTCTTTTCCAACGCAACAGCCTGAGATGGCACTGCATCTTCACCATCAAAGATAACCGCCATTTGCTCCAACGTGTGTCCACGCGTCTCGGGATATGTAAAGTAGACAACGAAAATGAAGATGAACAGAATCACGGCGAACACAATGTAGTACCTCCATTGAATCGCGTCGAGAGCAATGGCGTTGACGAAGCTGTTGAAGAAGATTGACGCGACGGTTGTGCACCAAGCAACCGTGAGGCCTCGAGATCGGAGAGAAAATTGCCAGATCTCGCAAGGATAAGCGACAAGGAACGGTGTTCTAAATATGTTAGCTGTGACAGTGTCGAGACATGAGTGAAACTTACAGTCCAACGTCATATCCTGCGAAGAAGAGGAATAAGAACGGCACAACAGCCAATCCCACTGATGAAGCACCAGACTTGGCAAAAGATGCGCTGAGTGCAGTGACGACAACGAATGACAAGAACATGACAGTCGCTGAAGTCAGGAACAGGAATCGTCGACCAAGACGATCAACACTGACTGCTGCGGCAGTAGCCCAAAGAAGATTCCAAACGTTGAGGCATGCAGAGATCAGGGTCTGCTCAGTTGTAGTCTTGAGACCAACCGAGGTCAAAACAAGGGGCAGATAATACGAAACAACTCCATTGCCCGCCCACTGCGCAACAAAACCAAGCGTGACCGAAATGAACAAGCGATGTCGGTTTCCCTTGGTCTTGAACATATCGAGATAAGACGCACTCTTAGCAGCATCCTTCTCAGCCGTGATAGCAGCCTCAATCTCCATCATCTGCGTGCTCACTATGGGATCGTCCCTATTGCCGCCAGCATGATACTTCGCAATGACATCCGTCGCTTCTTCCAATCGTCCAACACTGACGTACCATCTCGGACTCTCCGGCGCCATCAGAAAGCCCGGCAGTGCACAGAGTGGGAGGAAAATCTGTAGTAGGACAGGGATGCGCCAGGACCAATCATTAGGAATAACACGACACGCAAAAGTAACCCATCCACAGATCGTGCCACCGACATACCATCCACACATAAACAACGCACTCGCAATAGATCTATGCGAAGGATACGCGATCTCATTGATAAGCACAGGCGCAGAATTTCCCAAGAAGCCAGCGGCGAAACCGATGAAGAGTCGAGCGTACGTGAAGGCTTTCTCGTTGGGCGCACCAGCTTGCATGCCCACGCCGATTATGAGGAAGAAGTAGCCTGCGTAGAGACCTGGTTTGCGGCCGTAGCGGTTGGAGCACCATGCTGCGAGGGGCGTGCTGAGGCCGTTGCCGAGCCAGTAGATTGCCGTCATCCAGCCGAGATATGCGCCGGTGGGGTGGTGCATGAATGTGTTCCAGGTGTTGAGGGCGAGGATGGAGCCCATGAGGCCGCCGTCGTAGCCGTTTGCCGAAGCTGTGAAGAAGTGGATTAGTGGGAGATTTGGGGTGTTTGTGCTGAGGACTTACAGAAGAGGACGAGTGATAGGATGATTGAGTTGAGCTTGATCAAGTGGCTTGTCTTCCACCACGGTTGATGGGATGGCCCATGGCCAACTTCAGCGACGGTGCCCATATCGGCTGCGTATAGTGATGACCACTTTAACTCTCGTAGGCGAAATGGAATAAAAAAAGATATTGAAAGTCAGCCCCAAGAGATAATTGAACACTTGAAGTCAAAGGCCTGTGCCGATCATTTACCTCGTATCTTGGTGAGGATATTCAGGAGTCTATATACTCCTCCCAAACGCGTCTCTGACGAACGAAAAAAAAACCCACCAAAATACTCCACGCCATTAAAGTATCACATGGCACACTAAGCTCTGTCAAACCCCAGAGTAAATTCTGCCCATGGGGAATCAGACGTTTTCGCGTCTCCCCATACCGCTAGAAAATTGCATGGGCGATGTCGCATTGCGGAGATTTGCTGGTGGGGACTTCACGTCACGAATTTGGAGAAGTCTGTTGTGAAGCGGAGAATTGAGCTTTTGCTGAGAGCTTAGTCTGCTTAGCTTGGTTGTTTGGTGGGGGGGTATTTCTCCGCCCCTTGTCACGGACGCGGCAGATGATTTCGGAGGGAATTCGGGAGGGAGAATCGACGCATCATGCAAGAAATTCTTCGAAATGCGGGTAATTCGCGTGCTCCTGTACCGTGACCACCAAGGCAGTCTTGGATGAAATGTGGACTGCCTGAAACTCTGGCGGAGAATTAGGTCTCATGATGGAGCATGAGGATGAGAATGCTAGATCACGATCATGCTCATGGACTATATAGCTCACTGACATATTTGGTTAGTAAATAGCACTTCTATTCGAGCTAAAGTCCCTTTCCTTGTCAATCATCAATCACATCATCAGTCTGTCCCCCGTGAGCAATTAAGATGAGGTATCCCAGAATGGATGTCGAGGCCCTCATACAGCAATTGACCCTCGAGGAAAAGGTTCAACTCACAGCCGGTAAGTCATCAAGAAGTTATATCGCAATGGCTAAGAACAATACTAACTCTATATCAAGGAGTCGGATGGTGGCACACCGCATCAATTGAACGTCTCTCAATACCCCCAATCCGCCTCTCAGACGGCCCCAACGGTGTGCGAGGAACTCACTTCTTCGACAGCACCCCATCATCATGTCTCCCCTGCGGCACCGCCCTTGGTGCAACATGGCACACTGATCTAATCCACCGTCTTGGACAATTACTTTCTGACGAAGCTCATGCCAAAGGTGCACATGTCCTTCTTGGTCCTACAGTCAATATCCAGAGAGGACCGTTAGGCGGAAGAGGCTTCGAGTCTTTCTCTGAAGATCCTATACTCTCAGGTATCTTGGCGGGGCATTATGTGCGCGGTGTGCAGAAGAACGGCGTTTCTGCTACGATGAAGCATTTTGCTTGTAATGATATGGAAAGCGCGAGAATGGCTGTTGATGTACAAGTCACGGAACGGGCGTTGAGGGAGGTATATCTTCTTCCGTTTATGATTGCTGTGGAGATGGCAAGTCCCAGGGTTTTCATGACGGCGTATAACAAGGTCAATGGCACCCATGCACCAGATAATCATCACCTCCTGCAGGATATCCTTCGCGATGAGTGGAAGTGGGAGGGATTAGTTGTCAGCGACTGGTTCGGCACGTACAGTACAACTGAGGCCATCAACGCGGGACAAGATCTCGAAATGCCGGGTCCTACAAGATGGCGCGGTGAGACTTTGGTGCACGCTGTTACATCAAACAAGGTAAAGAGATCGACGTTGGACGAGCGTGTGAGGAATGTTTTGAAGTTGGTTAAGCATTCTATCGAGAACACAAGCATACCTCCAAACGCGCCCGAGACTCAACTCCAGAATGAGGAGAACACTCATCTTCTTCGAGAAGCTACTGCAGAGTCTGTGGTACTGCTCAAGAATGAGAGGGCAGTGTTGCCTCTGGATCCCGCGAAGAAAGTGGCAGTGATTGGACCCAATGCCGATATCAGCACTTATTGTGGTGGTGGAAGTGCGAGTCTTCGGGCGTACCATACTGTTTCTCCATTGGAGGGTATCAAGGGTATTGCGAAGGATGTTTCCTTCACCAAGGGTCTTTATGGTCATCGATCACTGCCGCAAATTGGCAAGCTGTTGAAGACGGTGGACGAAGAGCGCCAGGGATTCACTCTTCGCATATACAATGATCCGCCTCCCAGGTCCGTACCAGATACACGCAAGGTCCTGGAGACAAGGATCTTGGATGATGCGAACGTCTGGTTTGTGGACTACGAGCATCCAGCACTAGAACAGATCTGGTACGCTGAGATGGAGGGTGTCTTGACTCCTGAGAGATCTGGGGAATGGGACTTTGGTCTTTGTGTCCATGGAACTGGCGAGCTCTTTATTGATGGCCAACTGGTCGTCTCAAATGTGACTGATCAAAAGCCAGGCAGTTCATTCCTTGGTTGCGGCACTGTCGAGAAAACAGGAAGCAAGATGCTCGATGGCGGCAAGAGTTACAACGTCGTCGTGCGCTGGGGCTGCGACAAGACATCCGATCTCAAAGTCTCTGGAGTCGTCGACTTTGGCCAAGGCGGTATGCGTCTCGGAGGCTGTCCCAGACTCGAACCGCGACAGGCACTCCAAGACGCTGTTGAGATGGCCAAGAGCGTTGATCAAGTCGTTCTTTGCGTTGGGACGAGTGGAGAGTGGGAGAGTGAAGGTCAAGATCGCACAAACATGTCTCTCCCCCCTGGCAGCGATGATCTAATCTCCGCAGTTTTGCAAGCAAATCCTAATACGGTGGTACTAATACAGAGTGGCACGCCTGTTTCGATGCCTTGGGTGGACCAAGCTAGCACTATCGCGCAAGCGTGGTTCGGAGGTAATGAGGCTGGTAATGGAATCGCTGATGTGCTATTCGGTGCTGTGAACCCTGTAAGTCAAACCCAGTCACATAATGTTTGTTTTTGCTAACGGTTCTAGTCCGGCAAACTACCAATCACGATGCCCCGACGCGTGGCAGACAACCCCAGTGCTTTGAGCTTCCGATCAGAGGGAGGTCGCGTTCTGTACAGCGAAGACGTGCATGTCGGCTATCGCTGGTACGACACACTTGATATTGAACCCTTGTTCCCTTTCGGACATGGTTTGTCTTATACTACCTTTGAGCTTTCTGATCTTCGCGTCGAAAAGCATGGGGAGCCTGAGAGCAAGAAGTTGACAGTGAGTGTGAACGTGAGCAACACTGGCTCGCGCTCCGGCGCTGCTGTCGTGCAAGTCTATGTCAAGCCGCCCCATCCCACACCGCTTACTGCGTCTGCTCTTGACACGATCACGAGGTCTAGCAAAGAGCTCAAAGGCTTTGCCAAGATCAATCTGGACCTAGGAGCGAGTGGTGTCGCAACGATTGAGCTAGACGTGCTACGTGCGACGAGTTATTGGAGTGAGAGGGAGGATTATTGGTGTAGTGACGCCGGGGATTATACGGTGTTAGTGGGTATGAGCAGCAGATGTGAGTTTCTGGAGAGGGCGTTTACGGTTCAGAGCGCGACAACGTGGCGGGGACTTCGGACATGACAAAGGTCAACTACCCTACACTCTACGAATACAGTTTTAATTCTGCGTTTTGTCAGTGATTAATCCCTTAATGCCACCTACTGTTCAACATTCGTTTAATTATTGCTATTTTGAGCTCCAATGTAGTAATATTTCATATCTGTTAAAGGATCTGCTGCATGAAGGTCGTCGATGGTCTCACTATGTTCAAAAGGTACCTGATGAGGATATCCTGGCCAAGTGAATGATGGCTTCACAGCATACAACTTGGATTGTAGCGGAGTATTCCAAAAATTCAAACTTTGATAGTTTCTTAATAGTTCAAGCTTACACCAAGCCGAATCAATGCACATCGATTAATCTGCTCGGAAGACATCGTCCTTTTACCGAATCCTCGGAAGTTCTCCACCAACTTATGCGTAGAATTGCGGCTCCGACAAAAACGAACCAACGAAAAAGTCCAAGCGGCACATGACGCCCACAGACCATTCCAGCGGGCCATGGTTAACTCCGCAGTCTGTATTTCTCCGCCTCATCAACCCCAGAAACTGACCCGACTGAGCGGTTACCTATCATGGCAGACCCCAGCACGTCACTGCTATCGACTGACAATGAAGGTGATGAGTCTATCACAGCTCGCGGAGAAAAGTTGAGGCAATTGAGTACCAGGGCATGTGATGCGTGTCGTGCTCGGCGGAGGAAGTGCGTGTTTCCGAGGGATGGTGTAGGAATAGCGTCACATTGCGTTGGATGCTCGAGGTTGCATATTCAGTGTAGCTTTGACATACCGACAAGGCCTCGAGGGCCGAAAAGAAGAAGGTAGTCGTATTGCCATTGGTATGGTCACGTCACATGAAGGCCTGGCTAACAATTATCAGGACTCAGCTACCAGCAGTTATTTCTCCAGAGTTACACGTCGAGAGCCCGACTCACTATGAAGAAGAAGAAGACACGCTCCCGGCAGAAGTGCCGACACCTCTGGGCAATTCCCATTTAACCCTGGCATTTGGATCATCGCCAAATGCGCCATCACCAAGCCGTCCTCCGATTCACAACCATGTCGCGCCCTTCAACCAGCCTCAAAATGTCGAGTTATTCGAGCATCAGTTCCAGACGGATGAAATATGCCCCCGGAGCTTGTTCATGACCATCATGACTGATTATATCGACCATCTATACCCTCTCGTTCCTGTTGTTCACCTTCCCACGTTCCGCGCCGACTTGGCGACGAATAAAGATGCCACCGACCTCGACACTCTACTGCTCTTCGTATCAATAGTCTCGTTGACTGTAGGCTTGCTGCCATCGAAATTTGACAGTTACCACGCTCTAGCAGCTCGCTTTGGTACACGGACGGCTATGATCAGCCACTGCTCACAGATGTGCATCCGTCTTCGGCCAGCTGATTACTGGGACCATATCAGCCATCGGAAATGGGCTACTGCATATTGTCTCTCGATCGGAGCGTTTCAAGTTGGACAGATCAACCAAAGCCGGATGTTCGAAGCAGAGTCAATGCAGCTTGCGCGACTACTGGGTATGCATCTTGTGTCTGAATATGAGGGATTGAATCCGATTGAGACTCAACTGCGGAAGAAGTCATTCTGGCTACAACTTTACACATTCGCGTAAGTAGATTACTTCGAAGCGCTCTAATCGACTAACGCGATGTCAGGCATTCCAAAATCCAACCAGGTAGATGCAATTACCTAACGTACCTCGACAACTATACCATTCGAGATGTCAACTTTGCCGCATTGGAGCCTCTCAACATCGTCGACGAGAACATAACCGAGACAGGAATTGTCGGCCAGCTTCCATCAACACCATCCGTTGGGCTACCGAACAACGCCGACTCAGCAGAGGATGCACCTTTTCACTCCACAACCGTCTTCATCATGGCATCTCGCGCGTTCCTATTGGGCATGCGGGAGGCCATGGTCAATGACGGTTGCAACTGCGGGTTCGGTAGATCCCCAGAGGAGCGCCTGTCCAAGCTGAAAGATCTCCTTGATCAACTCAGATACATCCTGGACGGGCTGCCAACGCACATGCGTCAATGGGGACCAGGTGACAACTATCAACCTTTCAACAGTAGTGATCGGCGGCAAGGTGCTTTTAGTGAGGCTCATGTCGAGCATTTGCAGAATGAGAGTACTAGAGCCAACTTACACGTCAGCCATTTATGGCTACAGAACTTTCTGCTTGATAAAATGGATGTCGCTTTGCAAGAGATGAAGGACCGCGAGGGAGATGATGCGTACATCACAACGCAACTGAAGCAAAACTGGAGGGACCGCGAAGATGTAGCCCGCCAACTCCTTCACATCCTTCACAGCATTCCCCACGCTTACCTGGAGCCCAATGGTCTATATCTCGTAAGTCTTACTCATCTTTTCATCACCACGTACTGAACCCTTCTGTAGATCTACAAAGTCCGCAGCATTGCCAGTTCGTTGTTGAACTGCCCGTTTGAGATGGATAGGCAGCTTTCCCGTCGGGTGTCGGAGTACATCCAGGAGTTCACAAAAGTGCTGTCGTACCTGGACCGGAGCGAGATTGTCAACACGGACGGCTTGAGGAGTTGGATAGATGAGGGGCAGCATATGAATCATGACACCTAGGATATGACGATCTCCTTCGGGTGTTGGTGAAACTAAGTTTTGCCTGCAGGAATAAGCTCTCAGCCACAAGTCTCAACCGCAAATGACATATCTAGATAACGATACCTCGCAATCTGAGACAGAGGCTGCACAGGGCCCGGAGATTTCTGTTGCAATCGCTGTTTTTGGGTAACAATAGGCATGACAATCCGGCAAGTTGTCATTTTAACTTCAATCAAAGGGTCTCGATTTCTGCCATCTCAAGACCGGATAAACTACACTAAAACTCCCGGCAGCCCAATGTAGACGCGTTAGGCATTCTTCTCCTGTCTAGGTATCGTCTGTCGCACATATGGCGATCGCACAAAGGTCCGTTGGGAGCGTGATGCTACACCAAGGCGATATCTAAATCCTCCGGAGCGACATATGCATTTCTTTCATAAGTACACTATACAGCCAGACGCTTTGTGCTCAAGACATTCATGACTCATTCAGTGCAGAATCTTTATGTAACTGAGAACTGATTCCTGGTTACGACCGAATCTCCAACAAGCGTCTCCGCACGCCTCCAGTCCGTCTATCCTCACAGGCATCTCGCCTAGTGATCATCTTCACGCCATTCAACTCTAGCTGTTCAGCCAAAAGTAAGATCTCAGGCAACAGTGAGGGCATGGAGTATATTTATTGGTGTTGTTTACCTTTGTGGCCTGGAGGCTGAAGCCTCATTGACCCCTCAACCTTATCACAGTACAACCGGACCAAACGAACCCCGCTGACACAGCTATATATAGATACCCGTGCATCTGCAACCATTGTCTAGGATGGATGCCATTGCATTCTGCGCATTATCATCTCTCTAGTTCAAACAAAGCAACCCTTTCAAGTCTGTCAGCATGAAGCCCTTGACTCTCCTCATCGCCGTCATCGGTCTATCAATCAACCCCGTCTCAGCACAATGCTACTTGTCCGGCCCCAAATGGGAGAATCGCACCGCTGCACGTGAGCACGCCGTCCAGGCTTGCAAAGGCAACGGCACCCACATTGGCTTTTCCCAATTCACGTTTGACTATTACAAAGATTACAACACGTGCATTCAGTACTCTCCCACGCAGAGGATTGTGTTCACTATTTGCAACATCGATCTTGGCATGCCCAAGACTCTTTTTGAGGAGACCTGCATCAACAATCTTCACGATATGATCAATCGCTGTGCTCGAGGCGGGACAGCACACAACCAAATGTTTACTTTTAGGTGAGTCATACCTGGTCCTGGATTGAGACTTGACTGATAGGGTGCTAGATCCGACCCAAATAAGGGCATCTGCAAAGAATATCACTACATCACCAATGATGGGATGTGGCAGGGTAAAAAAGAGGGTTAAAAGAGCCTTAATTTCTATCTTTAGATAGGGGGAGAGGAGATACTTATATATATAGAGAGCACCTAATATCCTATTATAGAGGCCAGATCAAGCAGGGCTACCCTAGCTTTTGATATCTGTTTGGGTCGTGAAGTTGGTATTTGGAACTTAGTGTATCGTCATAAGTTTGGCTTGGGTTATGTCTTGTTTAGATTGTCCGACATCCCCGAGATCTTGGAAGTTTGGGTGCTTAATTACCAGGCTTTATCTAAGCTTATCCGATAAGCACGCTCACTTTAACATCAGTGCAGATACATGACGTTTTTGACGAGTCTATCTAGCAGATGAATCATCGACTGGTCTAAATGTCTTGTTAAGCTGATGCCAGCATCCATTGTGTATGCTCCTATCACAGGTCGGATCCTACAGAGAGTTGCAGTGAGCGGTCACAACAGCAGAGATCCAGCCGCTAACTAAAACTCAAGTCACAACCCATTGCGGTACCGCCGTCTCCTGCGGCACAATTTTTATCGTCAGAGTCAGAGTCACCATTATCGAGCCATTTATACTTATATACCTCCCATTCGCTGATCGAAAAGCCACCCATCTCTCGCATCCAAGTGATGTATTCCGCGTGACCTCGGCCTGTGCTTTGTAGACCTACAGGCATCTTCAGCCCATCGGCTTGGCCGCACTTAGCGCTGTTAATCCCATTGCAGGGATCTTGAACCTTGTTGGTCCCCACTCTAACTTGTGACACCTAGAGTGATCAGAACAAGCATAAAGCAAACTTACCCCCCATTTGTATCCTTAGGTAAACACAAAGGATAGAACATGGCCACAACACAAGAGCTTTTTCGCGTTGAAAGCGCTTCCGAGTGGGCTAAGAAAAACGGAATCACGACATGGACAAAGTTTCATTACGGTTCTCAACCAGAGTAGTTAATCTTCACACCACTTGACACATGGGGCCATTCTCTCCGCCAACCTTACTACGGTCCTATCATTGAGTCCAGTCAACAGTATTTTCTCGCCGTCAATTGGGAGACGGAGGAGGAATGGGACAAATACAAATTGTCCCCCGAGCATCGGCAACTAATGGCCAATCTGACAACCAACAACGTGCAGCCGGAGACCAAGATTGTTATATTTACCGGTAACATGTTCGCTATTGGATTCCCATCCAACGTCGAGATTTTCACTGCATACTGGCCGTTGTCTATCACTCGTGAGGCTCAAACGGCCATTCGGAAAACCGAGCAACTTGTGCATACGCCAGAAAGCGGAATGCCCAACCCACTCTGTTACACCAAGAAACCAATGTTTGGATGGATAGATGGCCAAAGAGACTGGAATGGAGAAAGCGCTATTGCAAGTGTTTGGTGCCATAAGTGGAAGAACCCGGAACTGGAACAAAAGTACAAGACGACTGAGAAGAGGCTTGTTTGGGGAAAGGATGGAAGAAGTTCTTATCCGCTCGCCGTAAATGCATTTCAGCATGACTTGGAGTCTCTCGGTGCTATTGGATGGGAGTCAGTCCATGTGGCTTTCGAGCGTGTTCGACTTGTGAAAGAGGATGCTATGGCGCGTGATTCAAGGCTTAGATTAGAAGCCGCGCTTGGGCAGAGGGCCACTTAGCGTGCGTCTGGAGTATCTCAACATCTCATACTCTTCTGCTCGATATATTATGGGGAAGTATCTACCGCAGTTAATCCTACAGAGACTGACTTCCAGCCCTCAAAGACGAAACCAACCCCGAATGAACAGTCATCGATCGGGTCTCCTGATTCTGAAACCGACTCTACTCGCTTCAAAAGTACTGCTTTACCCAGTATCAACAGCCCCGATCCATCCCAGCTCTCTACTGGGAGTACTGTGATAAAGAGTGACACTCTGGAGCCTGCCTTTCCCCCAGCCAGTACAGAGGCATCTATCACTGGTCCAGATACTTCATCTGATGACACTTCTAGAGCTGAAGCCTCTTCAATTATCCCAACTGGACTTCGGACAACCAAAGCTGAGAATTCGGAAGAGACCAACCCTGCCACTGAGACTGTCGTACCTGAGCCATCTGGTGTGAGTACCACCAGCACCGAGCAACCCAGTGGAAGCGCGAACCCTTCTACAGATAACTTGACAAAAATCCCAATCACAAGCGATTTTGGATCTCCTGCGTCTACCGCGAACTCGAATGGGCCAAATATTTCCACGATTTCACCTTCCACAGAACACAATACTTCATCACGAGTTGAGACGAGCGAGCCAAAGTCAGATACAAATGCTGCAACGGGGTCCGGGACTACCAACACAGATCCCTTGCTCCTACCTACATCAGTCTCAGAAACACAAGTCAATGGTGTGACCAGCGTTATATCTGTCAAACCGACAACTCCTTTGGGAGAACACTCAACACGGGGCGATGATGCACCTTCCACTGACACAGGTCACAATACAACTAGTGATGGCGACAACGAGCAGCCCTCGTCAACTAGTACTTACTTTGTCGTACCTGTAACAACATCCGTTACTAAGCCTGAGCCTCGGGATGATGGCTTCGTGGTACCTTGCAACATGTGGTTCTTCAACGCATGTGTTGAGCCCATATCTGGATGGGGAATTTCTCTTCCACCTGGTACCTATCCTCCGTATGGTCTACCTAATCTCTTGTTGCCGTCTCCTCACTAATGCGACCATAGTGGTCCTCCACCAGCCATTTCCGACAACCCAAAAGGCGGTGTTGAGATCAATACGAACCAACCACTTACAGACTGGCCCGGCTTCACGTGGGATTCCAGAACCCTACAACAATGTTCAAGATGCTAACTTTCAATGTAGTGTCGGTCCTGGAAACACTCCTACGTTTTCAAGTGAGCCCACAGTCTGCGAGACCGATTCGGCAGAATTGTGTGTTACGAGGACATCATATGGTGTAAGCATCGATGCCACGGTAACCACTACGTTCGCTAGCAGTGTATTGTCCACTTGTGGCACTGTTTACGGCTGCAAGGTTCGGGGCCACAGCCAGACAATAACGGGCACAGATATAACTACGGCGACGTCGGGAATCCCAACATACAGGTCTCTTCGTGCCATGGAAACTTGGGATGACATGGAACTGAGTGAAGAACAACTTGAAGGTATAGCGGACCACTTGCAGTCAGACCTTGATTCAATGTTTGGCACTGCCACCAAGAGAGCAACAACGACGACAGGAGATGCATCTGAGCCTACAGAATCAGTGTGGACGGGTACCTGTCCAGCCAAGAACGGACCAGACCCAACAGTGGTTGATGGGAAGTTCACCGAGAATATCGGAGAGAAGTGCCTTTGCGAGTGGAATACCTGGATGCAGAACGACAAAAGTCTGCAGCCATACACTGTCGACCAACTGAGAGATGCCATTAACGACTTTTGTAACGGTTCCCACAAACTCAGAAAGCCTACCCCGACAGGACTTCCAGACATTGCTGTGAGTCGGTTCCCAACAAATGGCACGCACGGTATATTTATCTCGGTCGGCTGGGCTACCCCGCCCCTCTGGAACTCCACGGATGAGAGGTGCAAGGCCAATGGTGACCTTTTGTTAGCGGATAGCTGTAAGGCTGCCTTAGAGAGATTTGAATGTCGCGGTGCAAACACAGATGAGCTTTGGGGAGGAACTTACTACGAGGCGCTTGAGGAGGATGGTTGTGTGAAATGGACGCTTACACCTGTCCACTTGTCTGATGGGGGATCCGCTGGGCAGCGAATGAGCGTGGGAATGTAGGGCAATGCCTAGGGTAGAAATCATCTGACGAACTTTGGCAAGGATTAATCAATCCACTCAATGTTTGCCAGTTGTTGGTCGTCTTTCGCAGCGATAACTGCCGCAAAAAGTGGTCATCAAAGCATTGTGAAACTTCTTTTAGACTACAATCGCGCGACAGTCAGTGGGGCTTTATTTCACCTGGCCTTACACCATGGCTGGATGGACATCGTCAAGCCTGCGATATCAGCAGACAAAAACCTTCTCAACTGGACAGACCCGAATTCTGGAAACACTGCACTGCACATTGCGACCGAAAGCGGTCGCATGGATGTGATAAAGACTCTTCTTGATGCTAGAGCGGATCCAAATTTGAAGAATGGAGATGGCTTACTCCCCTTTGCCAAAGCCATGAGATCAAACAATCTGGACATCGTGAGAACACTGCTGGACTCTAGTACTGATATTATAGTGGACGAGCCAGACAGAGCAGGCGTCACTCCTTTCTTGCGAGCATGCCTAGATGGCCAAAAGGCGGTTCCTGTCATACGCGAGTTACTCGATAAGATGAAGGACAAGGTGAATCTGAATGCCATATTGCCTAGGGACGACCAAAACAACGAATGTGGTAGAACCGCTCTTGTCCTAGTACCCTTTGGTAATCCAGAGGAAGAGGGTAGTAATAGCCTCTTTAACCTATTGCTTGAACATGGAGCCGACCCCAACGTACCATGCGCTCAACACGGCAATACACCACTTTCAAAAGCTGCCGCGAAGGAACATGTATGCAGTTTGCCAAGGCCAGTGGCTGATAGAACATATTTGTTACTGCTTCTCCTGGTCGTCACGAACTAATTGAGAGCCTTGAGGCAACACACACTTTCGATTATGCTATATCAACTGTTGTAAACGACACCAATGCCGCTGTTGAGGATCTTGGGAATGGCTCTATTAGTCATGCCCTCGACTCAGTCAGTGTCCATGCTCCTTCCACCGTTTTCGCATAATCCCCAATGTTCAACAAGAGTGGTTTGAAAGGGGATACTACTGCAGAATCATCAGGTAAATGAGCGAGACCAACTGCCATAAATGGAAGTTCGTTATCTACCGTGTGGCACACGTCGATGAGGATATTTGGAATCCTTACCTTCCGAGGGAAGACGTCCGCGAAATGCTGCAGCGTTACTGCCGGGACGGGCTCCTCATGCAGAATGCCCAATTTACCATCATCTACCCTGTCGCTGAAGGCGGCAGCAACACAAACGTGAGCAAGGGCGGCATACGTCAGCATTTTGTTTCGTAGCGTGAGCAGCAGATTGTTGATCGAGGCCTAAGTTCAATGGCTCTTTCTAACACGCCACTCTGACGAATCCCTCGCTTCACCCACTACTTATATGTGGGTCAGGACTTTGTTGAGACGCTCCCCTCACACATCGAGGGCAAGAAAAAGCGCAGAGCCTCTGGGTTCGGGGGAATTCCACCTCTTGTAGACGTCGTCATTGATGACGACTTGTCTTCCGACAGCCATGCCAGCACAGAGTATGTGTCATGAGAGTATTACGGCAGTGTGTATCTACCATTGTTATACGATAAGCTACATGTCGAGCACCTGAGTGCCGCTTCGGGATACGCAAAATCCCGAATGTGGCGCCCTTGAAAATTATTTCCATGGGATCGTTGATGACAAGATAATTCGGTCTGGAACCCAAGACACATGCAAGGTGTTACTTAGTCCACCACTGTAAAGGGGTTCACCCCTTTCGACTTTGCACCCTCCCTAGTTTTCCAAAATTATTTGCTCTCAACCATATCAACCGTAGGACCGTCCTTCTTCTCCACATCACCGTCAATTTCAAAAACCACAACCTCTGTCTTAGAGAACTTGCGAGCATTTGTCTTCTGCTCAAACAACTTCTCCAATTCAGCAGGGGTGCGGCCTTTGGGCTCGGGTAGATAGAAATAAGCCCAAACCAGTTCGCAGAAACAGATGCCGGCCCAGATGAAACCACCCTTACCTCTGAGATTCCAAGCGCTTGGGTTCAGAATGGGAGGGTTCAAGAAGTTTGCACCGATGCTCACCAAAAGGTAGGCATTCCGGGCGATAGCGACAGTCTTGATGCGAAGACGAGTAGAGGGGATCTCAGCAACCAGACAGTAACAGACAGGCCCAATTGTCAAGTCATATGTGATGACGAAGAACATGAGGAAAACGCCAGATGCCCAGCCAAGGCTTGCTTGTGGTGCAGGAATGCCCATGCAGCCGACTATAATGAGGATGGTGAATAGAATGGCGAGACCAGAAACGTAAAGTGTACGACGGCCGACATGGGGAAGGAGAAACCAGGATAAGAAAGTACCGACTATCGCCATAGCACTAGTGCCGAGGCCGAAGTTGAAGGATTTCTCAGAGTCGAAACCAGCTTGCTGGAGGAAGTAGACGACGTTGCTACCAAACCAAATACCGCAAAGTACCTGTCCAGCCCAAACGCAGCAGGAGATGATTGTACGTCTCAGATTGTTACCACGAAAACAATCCATATATGAAGTTCCCTCCTCGTTCGACCTCTCCATCTCGTTGGTATACGCAATCATGGCCAAATTGGCATCGAGGTGGGCGTCACTAACAGAAGCACTGGCGAGCTTTCTCAAAGCCCTGCGAGCATCGACCAGCCGCCCTTTTCGAACCAGCCAAGTTGGACTTTCGGGAGCGAATGCGACACCAATGAGAATAGGGATAGGAAATGCCCATTGGATCGCATAAGGAATACGCCAGGCCCAATCGTCAGGTCTTGAGAGCAGTGCACGAAGAACGCCAGTACCGATGAATTGACCAATAACCCAGCACATATTTGTATACGTCGTCATAATCGGTCGAAGGGCCATGGGCGTAACGTCGGCAGCGTAGGTCGTAGTGAGCGTCTGAAAAGCTCCCCAGGGCAGTCCACATAGCATTCCTGCGGCAAGAAGATATCCGATGTTTTGGGCGAAAAAGAACAAAAAGATAAATGCAATGTTGAGGATCAAGGCATAAATGAACGTCTTCTTGTAACCAAAGCGTTCTGCAAAGATACCCCCAAAGAATAAGCCGATCATCTGACCAATTTGAGTACCATTCTGCAAGCCAGATTGCCAAGTTGATGTTAACTGGTAATCGCCGTTGGCAAGCTGTTCGCCGAAACGCTTTCGGAACTGAGGAAGACCGTAAAAATTGCCGATAAGGGAAGTATCATAGGCTTCCATAACGATGCAAAGTGAGAGAACAAGCGAGAAGCCCACAGCTTTGGGGTATTCCTTGAAAGATTGGTAGACCGAAGTGTTCTTTTGATCTTGCGTAGCTGCACGCGCATCCTCGACGGTATGCTCCATTTGCATCAGACCTTCGATCACTTGACTTTCCACAGCATGCGGGTGGATGTCGTCGCTTTTGGGATCGACTGGAGTCTGCTGCATCGTGATAAGCAATTGAGGAGAATGTGTGGAGGATAAGAAAAAGCCCGGGGAAGTATGGGTAGTGCACTGAACGCTGGGGAATATGGGGTCCTCTAATATATAACTGTCCCAGACTATAACTTGCGATTTGACAAAGATTGTACAATAAAAAGTCTTCCCCCAGAAATCAACCCTAGTACCTAGTGTTCAACACCGCAGACGTTGGATAGCGCGAGTCAGCCCACGCTCAGGCTAGCCGTAGTTGGGTAAGCTGCATGGCCGACGTGGGTCATATGATCGAATAGCCTGGGGAAATTCAGGCGAAGAATTCGAGCGAGGTAATCTAGACCTCATGTTTTTCCACAAACATCTTGGCAGCGTTCAAACCGAGTAAACGCAGCGCATCACAAACTGTCGGTCCGGTATACGTGAAGACCAACTCAGGGCGCTTGATTTCCTCGCTAAAAATCCCCTTGAACCTCTTCCTCCTAGCCTGCGTCTCGTACCACTCCAGGAAATGGTTCTTACACCACCCAGTATCGTCGATATGGGGAAACGAAAGACGCGCATGTCGAAACCTTGTGATGGATGTTCCTTTCGCCGCGTTCGATGCGATGGTGGTGATCCATGCGCAGAGTGCACTAAGCGATGTTTGGAATGCACATACCTGCGAGTCCCAAGGAAGAGGGGCCCAAAGGGGCCGAGAACCAGCACTTCTGAGAGAGTGGTGATGCATCAGAAGCAGATCCAGCACGCTGGACAACATCATTTTGAAGCGTCTGACCACCCTCAGACTTCAAAATCTCCTCAATCAATCGACGATGATAGCCTCACGGACAGACAGTCACCTGCAAGTCTTGACACCACATTGGGAAACTCATTTTTGTCAGTCGTGGACCATCAAACGCCTCATTTACCTTTGAGCCTCTATATTCAGTACCTAGAAAGTTTCCGAAGCTGTCTCATGTCCGTCTGGCCTATCGTTGATGTGGACTCTCTGATAGCGCGACTCATCAGCAATAACCCAGATGACTATGAAGGATACGCTCTGGCCGGCGCGTTATGTGCCACTGTCATAGCCCAGCTTTCCCTTCCTCAGCTCCGGCTATCCAAGCAACATCGCTCAATATCCGATCTAAGTGATGTTGCGGAAACCTTCGCTCGTCATGCGCAGAGCCTACGAGATCGGCACAGCTATCGTGAGAGCGATTCGACTGACTCCTTATTGACGGCATTCTTCCTGCACATCTATTTTGCCAATACAGAACGAATTCGGGCAGGAGCTATGTACCTGCATGAGGCTATTGCTCAGCTATCGCTACAAAAGTTACACAGACCTGAGACATTTGAGGACCTGGGCAATGATCAAAGAGAACTTATGCTGCGTATCTTTTGGTTAGTCTTTATCACAGAAAGGTATTTTAACCATAACAATGCCTGCCAGTTGTACTAAGACCAACCCCACAGAACCTTTTGCGTCCAGAATAGCTTCCCTACTTGCCTCACTCCCCTACCAGTGTGGCCATCGCAGGAACACAACATCCCAGGCCTGGGCGTTCTGGGCCCGTCTTTTCAACTCCTTGCCCAGCTCTTCACGCTACTGGACGATACTCTCCTTATGACTAATGAGTGGCTACTGCCAACTTCGGAGCTGCAAACAGCTGTGTACCGTGGTGTAGCATCAATTGCCCGGTGTGATGTTTCAACTGTCGGCCCGACTCTTCCAGAAATTCAGAGGGTCAACGTCATGGTTACATGGAATTGGATCCATGTTCTTTGGTGGCAATATGCTCTCCGGCATTATCAGATGTCGACGAATCTGACAGACACCATGTTGTCCATAATGCGACCAGCAACGGTTGCTCACGAGACGGTCCGGCTCTTCTCTTCAGTTTCTCATCAGGCGATGCAAACCCACGGCTATGGGCTGGTCAGTACATGGCGATCGAGAACTTTCCGATTTAAGGCGCTGACTCAAGTCTAGGAGCTAAAAGTTTTTCGGATCGCCGACTCGCTCATTGATTTGATTGCTTGCAATATGTACCGTCCGGATTTTCCAGAAACGAGCAGCGGGATGCTTTTTGGGGCAAGAGATACTCTTTATGCGCTGGAGAGCTCTCTACTTCTCATTGGTGGTGATGAGGGATTGCTTTATAAGAAGCTCCAGCTGTTCATGGCCCAAGCTCAGCTCCCGGTACCAAACGTCCGAGAATTGGATGGGGGCGAAAAACAAATGGCAGAAGAAGTTGAGACTTCGGTAACGCTATGAATAAATGTTCCCTCTCATCGATAAACACAAATTCACAATTCCAAGATCGTACTTGATTTGTTTTATCACTTGCTAGTACATTGATGCTTCAAGTCAACTTTGAGATCCCTACCAGCTCAGCCACCGTGGGAACGTCTTGTTATGCCTGGACTGTGTAACATAACCCGCTACAAGGCGAGGCCTGGGGATGAGGGCCCCCACTTGGACACTACAAGGGAGAGAGAGGCCCGAGTGGACACGAGAAAACATGGGTTTAGTGAAACTCAAAATTCTAGAGAGCAGTTTAAGCGAAGAATTCAGCCTAAAGATTGACGGTCTAGAAACCAGCCACTACCTCAGAAGAGCCTTGGCTAACAATTACTAAAACCCTCTTCGTAACATCGTCAGTCGCTCCTCCTTGATTCCTCTATCAAGCAGGCCCTTCTACCAAGCGATCATGTTGAACTACAATTTCAAGACAGATCCAATTCCGGATGTTGATGCTCTTGTCTCCGGGCCAAATTACCGCTTCACCATCATCAATGACTTTGTTTTACGTTTTGAGTGGGCCGAAGATGGAATTTTCGAGGATCGAGCATCCACCTTCGCCATCAATCGCCGGCTTACACGACAGAATAAACATACCGTCAAAGAGACAGACACCCATCTTGAAATTATCACGCCGACGATTCATGTGTCCTATGACAAAAAGAGATTCAGCCCCAGCGGCCTGAAGATAGAAGCGACACATCAGACAAACAAGTGGGAAACTACATGGAGATATGGAGAGACATCAGCATTCAATCTGGGAGGTACTGCCAGGACTTTGGACGGCATTGACGGTCGGTGTGATGTTGGTCCAGGAGTTCTTTCCAGGGCAGGCTTTTCCTTCATCGACGACAGTGATTCTATGCTCTTTGATGAAGGGTTTGTGTCTCCAAGATGTCAAGGAGATCGCACCGATGGTTATTTTTTCTCGTTTGGGAGTAACTTCAAAGGTGCAATGAAAGCATATTTCGATATTTCAGGACATACACCAGTAATTCCTCGGTGGGCTCTTGGCAATTGGTGGAGTCGTTTCCACAAATACACAGGACAGGAATACATTGATCTTATGGATAGGTTCAAGAGAAACGGTATTCCTCTTTCCGTCGCAGTGCTCGACATGGATTGGCATGTTGTTGACGAAGCGCCACACTCGGGATGGACCGGGTACACCTGGAACAAAAAGTTCTTCCCTGATCCTGAAAAGTTCGCAGAGGATTTGCACAAACGAAATCTCAAGATGACATTGAATGATCATCCGCATGCTGGTATCGCTTCACACGAAGAGCAATACGAGGCAATAGCTAAATTTCTCGATCACGGCACTTCCGAAAAGACGCCAATCCTTTTCGACCCAACAGATTTCAAGTTCATGGAAGCCTTTTTCGATATCCTGCACCGTGGACTAGAAAAGAAAGGTTGTGACTTTTGGTGGATCGATTGGCAGCAAGGTTCCCATTCGGCGATCCCTGGTCTGGATCCTCTCTGGTTACTCAACCACTATCACTACCTTGACCAACAGCGGACAGTTGGCGAGAAGCAGGCCCTGATTTTCTCCCGATATGCTGGTCCTGGAAGCCATCGATATCCTATAGGCTTTTCAGGCGACACCATCGTCACTTGGGATTCTTTGCGCTTTCAGCCAGAATTCACAGCCACAGCATCGAATATCGGATATGGATGGTGGTCACATGATGTTGGTGGCCACATGTTTGGGTCTCGAGATGACGAACTCGTCGCTAGATGGGTTCAGTTGGGCGTTTTCTCGCCGATCATGCGACTTCATTCTTGTGACACCCCGTGGGGATCGAAAGAACCCTGGAACTACCGTCATGACGCTCAGCAGGCTATCACTTTCTTCATGCAACTTCGTCACAGACTCATCCCGTATCTTTACACACTCAACGTCAACTTTTCCAAGAACGATGAACCCCTTGTTCAGCCCCTGTACTGGAAATTTCCGGTCACAAAGCAAGCATTCGAGTACCCGAATGTTTACTTCTTTGGCCCCTCGTTGTTGGTCGCTCCTATAACCGAACCGGCGAGTGTGATGACGCGACACGCACCAGTCAAGGCATGGCTTCCGCCGGTGGCTGCTCGATACATCGATATCATGACAGGAACTGTCTATGATGGTGATAGGGAGCTTCAGCTGTGGCGGAGGCTGAGCCACATACCACTACTTGCACCTGAAGGGGCCATTATACCTCTCGATGCGGCACACATTCCAGTCAATGGCGGCAAGAACCCGACCTCCTTGGAGATAATCGTCATAGTCGGCCAGGATGGGAAGTTTGTAATGGCAGAAGATCCTTCCGACGATGAGTCCAATGGCCATGGAGAACCACGTTTCGTTCACATCGCGTGGTCACAGATATCTGGTCAACTATCCATCGACAATCTCAATGGCCAGGACTGGAGCCTCCGTTTCTTAGGACTTTCGAGGCCTGAGAATGCCCAAGTAAGAGTCGGTGGATTGCCAGCTGAAAATGCTGAGTTTCAGGACACATCAGACAGAGGACTTGCTACTGGTTTTGTTGTCAAGTTGCCTCGATCAGCCAGCCGTGGTCAAGCCATCATCTACGTTGGAGAAGACCCTCAGTTAAATATCAACGACTACAAAGAGAGGCTCAGAGGCCTTTTACTAGATTTTCAGATAGAGTTTGCCCTGAAGGACAAGTTATTTGCTATTATAGAGGGAGAACAACCAGCCGTTGTCAAGGTGGCTAACCTTCTCAACGTCACCAGCGATATGAACATCTTGGGTCCATTGATCGATCTTTTGACGGCTGATAGTCGAAATTGATGGCTTTTATGCATAATAAACAATTGGAATTGCAGGTTAATTATCCCCTGTGAAGTTGCCTCCTCCCCTGATATAGTTAGCCCTGGCGGTTTGGACCAAGATCCCTAAAGGACTTCCGTTCCTGACCTGCTTGGTGCTGTCTTCCTAAAGTCTATTAAAGGTTTCTCGAAAAACCTTAAATTTGTCTCTAGTAGCCTTTTTAAGTATATTCAGGATATTATTCTAGGTTACTATAAAGCTATTAATATAGATATATTAATAATATATAATATTAATATTTTTAAGGCTTTAACAATTATATTGCTAACCTGGCTTAAGTTAGTGGCTTTATAGGTAATATTACCCTTATTAAACATTATAGTAATATTGGTATTAACGTTAAAGCTACTATAATTAGGAATATTTAGGCCTCTGTTAATTATAGACCTAGAGATAATAGCTATTTATCAAAGTTTATTGCCCTTACTCTTGCTATAGTTAAGTATATTGACCTTATCCTAAAGGAAAGAGATAGAATTAGGCGCTTTGAGGTGTGCCGTGTTAATGATGAACTTAGAGGTAATGAGAACCTTGACTCCAGCCTTGATAGCGGCATTAATAATGGTAGCGTGTTTATCCATGTATATAAGTGTATTTGATAAAGATGGATGAATGATGGGTTGGGATTCCAAGCCTCGAAAGCATCGATCGTGGGGCCCAATCAGTGACGCAGGTGAGGGTACTCGCACCTTGTCCACACGCTTATCAATTCTCGCCCTTGGTAATTTTGAGGGTTTCTCTTGGTTACCAAGCCATGTAGATCGTATCACTTTGTCTACACTCGAACTATTGCCATTAACTAGGGTTGCCGTACAGGGATCGAGACCTCGCCGATGAGTGTGGCGGGTACCCTGGTGTCACCTTCGCTGACTCCTCTCGGCACTTCCAAGAACAGTCGCAGCGCTCGCATGCGTGGGTCGCTCCTCTCATTCCCAATATCTGCCACGGTTAAGAACGCAAGCAGCAAGAAGCTTTCGTAATGCGGTGCTCTGTTAGCAACAATTTGCTTTTCTCACCATTTAGATGCTTTAATCGCAAGGTATGGTGGCTCTATATGTAGAACTCCGATGATAGAGTTAGGGAGGGACGGCGCTCAAGATATATAACGACCATATTTGGTCTTCAGGTTGTTCTCAAAGAGACACGCTTCGTCGTTAACAGCTGCTTTTGTCCGTACAGTAGAGCGTATATGTCTTGACATCGCCCAAGCTTCTCGAATCTTCTTCTTGTTCCTGTGAACAATGAATCAATCAATGATTTTTTCTCGTCTTTCTCATTCTAGCTTTATTCCTGTTCCTAACACAAGCCAATGTGGCACAACGCCATTTACACACAACAGTACGTCCGATCGGAGCTCACGCAGCTATGAGCTTTGGCCAACAGGAAAAGCTTTACGATCGCGAAAACCACTATATTTCCTGGTGGGAAGGCCAGTCGGCCTGTAGTGTGAAAAGTGCAGTCGAGATGGGATACACGACTGTGAGCCTGTGCTCGACGAAGTTCAAACTGTCTGGCGATAATACTGAATTTTAGTTTTGTATTTGCATGGCTTCATATAATTACTGATATGGACTTAGATCAGGCTGCATACTGCGGCACAGATGACTTTGCTATCTATCGAGGGGATGGATCTCTGTATGGAAAGTGTTCGGGTAAAGACTATGGAAAGAAGATTGGCTGTGGAGCTCTGGACCATGATGTGGTTAAGCATTATGTCTGTGGGTAATAATTATTAATAGTACTATCCTATTAGTAATAAGAAGAGGTTTATATAGAAAACTTATGCATAAAGCTAGGGCTTAGACGCTAACCTGGATTTGTATCAGTGTTTGAATGCTTACTGATAAACTCCGACTTCTCATGCCAACATGTCAAGCTTCCATTTCTTGGCCAAGTTGGGGCATAAACCTGGGTAATCAATCAACTAGTAGACGACCCAGCAACCAGCCATTAAACCCTCTCATTGATTGAATTGACTATATCGCCTGTCGTCCCGTTTGATGAAGATCCTAGTGGGATACTGGTTCGATAACCTGAATCTATCTAGCCACCAGACCATTTGACTTCAGGATCCAAGTCATCGCCCAACTCCGCAGAAACCATAGTGTACCACTTCTTCAAAGAATCGTAAAACACAACGGATATAAATTATTGGGATCAAGAGGGACTCTCTTAAGTGGTTTTCTTATAAAACTCCACTACGTCAACCCTACCGGATGACTGCGATGCATCAACCTCATCAATCAACCTCTGCCACTCTCTAGGTAGACCCTAAATATAGTTAGCCCGTTTCATGCACCTATTGAGAGCACACCTATCATAAAGCAAAAAGTTATCACGTACAGTGAAGTGCCCCGTTGAGCCGTCAAATTTAACCTGAGAAACATGGACAAGATTTTCTGGTACACCCACCACTGGTTTCTTACGTCTTCTCGCGAAGGGTCCGAGTAGCCGTGAAGGTGTCTGAGAATCGTTCGTTAGTGGAGCGCTGTCATCTGCTCCATTCTGCGTCTTTCGCGGTGAGGGAGAAGGCCTGGGAGCCTCAAAACTACCAGGCCTTACCAGAGCGCCTTCCTCACCAAATACATAGCAGTCGCTGTTACTCAAATCATTCGAGTAAACTGGCAAGGCGTAGAAAGAGATGTTGGACACTTGAGAGAGGCTTAGGTTAGAGAAAAGAGACAACGCAGTCGTGTACAAGGCCGTGCTTGTAAGAGATGTCATAGATTGTCTACCGATGGCGCGGTTGTACATTCGAGATGCCTGGAGATCCTGGTCGAATGTGAATTTGATGGCGGAAGCCTGCGTATCGATGAACGAAACAGACTTTGAGCCTCTTGTCTGTCGAAGGGTAAAGACATCGTCCCTCCTCGACTCTGCAATAATTGAGCCCTCTCGCTCAAGCCCTCTGATACGACTAGCAAGATCGTGGTTGCTTTGCAGCAATTCCTCAACAAGGGTGCATAGATGGCGAGTTGAACTTTGAGCTTCTTTCATGGTTTCGCTTCTCACTTAGCACAACCAAAAAGGTGCAGATATGATAGAAGAAAACTCACCACTGCAAAACGGTCAACATCAATGTCAACGACGACTTGTGATTCTGGAGACGCTGCACAATAGCCGCGATATTGGACTCTTGCCGAGCCCATTTCATCTTATCAATAGTCCCCATATCAGGGCTCAGATTCAGCTGGTCCATAAGGCTCTGGAGATCAGAGAAGGTAGTAACGCATCCTGTCAGTGTAGTAAGGACATGTTCCAGCAGAATCAAAGCCCCTCGTTCACTGGGGGCTTGAGCCTGTCCGCAAGCGTAGGCCTGAAGCGATCCAAGTGCGGCTGTGATATCTGCTACTTCAAAGACAAGATGACGTGCAAGTTGAGGGGCGTCTCTGGCGTTGGTCGCGAATGTCCAAAGACACGATGTGATCTTAGCGCCGGCACCTAAAAGTCCTACAACGGACGCTGAGACAGATAAAGGATCCATGGAAGCAAATTCGGCGATACAAATAATAGAAGGAGAAGGATTGAAGTGGGGTGAAGTGTTGTAGAAAGCCGATATCAGCTGTTCGCGGGCATAGCCACAAGTGAATGCTTTTTCAACCTGGGTCTTCCACATACAGAAATATGCAAGGGACTGGAACATCCTCAGCCTTCCCAGTAGCTACCTAAGTGTAGTTGGACAGTCAATTGGGCTTCCGTATCTAATACGTAAAACGGAAGCTAGGATGGTCATCACCCAAGTTATTCTTCTCATCCTCTGGTAGATTGTATCTGTCGTCCCTTTTACCCTCGTCTCTTAGCCTATTCTCCCGTCTGATATAAAGCAAAAAGACAAGCGAGCTCAGTCCACAGAGCCAGACAAGGCCAAGACCAAAGCCGAATCCTAGAGGATAAGTGGGTGCCTGAGTTGTGACAAAGATATTGCTATAGAATGGTTAGCGGCCTCGCCTCGGATTAAAGATCAGGAACCTACCTAGCAATGATTCCGCCGATATTGCCGAAGCCAACCTGCATTGCGGAAGCTACACCCAATTTGTAATGGCCTGCCATGTTGTTGCTCACCCAGACCAAGACAATTGGCTGGGCGATATACCCACCAACGACGATAAAGAAGAGGGCCATGTATCGTATCCCGACGCTGACAGACATCATATTGAGCAGAATGACATATCCAACGGTCGTGAAAAGGCAACCTCCAAGGATAAAGCCCGAACGATGCTTTGTCTTGTCGCTCGCGATAGCAGCAACAAGCGCACACACGGTTGCGAACAGAAAGATTGGGATCGACATGATTTGAGCCCGGATAGACGTCCAGCCAAGCTGTTTGAGGATAGTTGGGGTGAAGAAGGAGCCGGAGTAACTGGTAGTGACGATGCCCATGTACATCAAGATACTGTCGAGGTTAGAAACAAGTCCAATCGTAAGGTTAACAAGTGACTTACCCGAGATAAATCTTGACGTCTGAGAAGATCCTCTTGGCTGTCTTCTTGTCCCATGTGTTCATGTGAGTATCCTTTTTATCCGCAGCAAGACGGTCAACAAGCAGAGCTCGTTCATCGTTGTTGAGAAATTTAGCAGTCTCAGGCCAGTCTGGAATCATCCAGTAGCTCCAGATTGCGATGACAACAGTAGCGGCACCTTCGATGATGAAGATCCATCTCCAGCCACCATAGCCAGCAATTCCATCCATGTGAGCGATAGCATAAGCCAACAGACCACTAAATGCACCAGCGACGATACTGGCCGAGAAGAAGAGGTTGAAACGCCACTGCAACTCGTGTCGGCAATAGTACATGCTGAGAAGATACACACACGCCGGAAAGAAGCCAGCCTCAAGACCACCGATTATGACGCGGCATACGATCAGCCCAGCGAAGGACTGGGTGAGCCCTTGACAGATCGTGACGATGCCCCAGCCTGTCATGATAGCCGAGAGAAACAACGACGGTCGCATATTCTTGAGTAGGATATTGCATGGTACTTCGAGGAGGATGTAAAGAATGAAGAAGGTGAATAGCGAGATGTTGTAGTCTTCGCCCGACATGTTGAGGTCGGCTTCCAAGCCTTGGATTCGAGCATTTCCGATGTTGATTCTGTGAGTCAGATCATGTTAGAGACGATGCCTGACGGTATCTGGTAGAGGTCTTACCGATCTATGAATGCGCAGAGAAAGAGCAAGAAGAGGATGGGGACAAGGTTTCGGTCAACCTTTCGAATGACCTTCTTCTCGAGTATTGGATCGAAGGCGTGTTGTTCGCTCTTGGGGTTTTCATCTTGGCTGATCCTCGGACCGCCAACCTCGTTGATCTTGTCCGACATGGCGGTGATGGTAAAAAGGTAATAAGGAATTCGCTGTCAATGATGGAGAGACGGGCTCGAGATATTGACTTGAACGGTCGAGATGGAGATGCAAAAATGGGGCTAGGATCTGCCATGGCCCATTCTCTTTATAGCAGGGCCAACTCCCTCTTTTCTACTAAGGAACCAGAGAGTCTCGCAACAATCTCCCAGGATCACTTACCCCGCGTCTCGGATTCAACTGGCTGTCCAACCTGCAATACCCGATTCCGGGGTAATCTGGGGTAGCAAGGGATTGAGTGGAATAAGTGTGCGGGGTTTAAAACCAGGACTTGAATAAGCGTAAATGCGATGGGGATTGCACACCATTAGAAGACAGATTAGGTATGGTTTCCTCGGATGATGTCCATCGCTAGCTTTAAAGTAAAGCCAAGACACGAGAAGCCTATCGCGTTGAGGCAACGGATTGAGAGCAACTCGGTTTGATTCCGATTGTCGGAAACTCGGAAATAAACCGACACTGGTTTAACTGAGGTCAAGGATCTTGAGATAACTTCGACTGTTACTAATATTAAACATGAATCTAAGCGGAGAGCAGCCTTCTTCAAATAACAATTCATCCTGAAGCTATTTACTATGGCGCAAGTTGGTTAAGGTCATGTATTTTAGCTGTACCTGTGCTACCAAAGATCGCCTTCTGGAGCAACTTGCAATTGATCCCCGCATCTAATAGAGAGTATTTTATTTAGGTTTTCTCTCCATCTTGGAGATCATTACCATATTAAAATGCAAACCGTGGCTTTCAATAGTCAGTAAACAGCAGTAGTATCCAGTCCTCGCAACCGGTTATGTCGTAGTCGCTGACAGTGCAATGGCTTCCTCTAAACTCTACCAATGGCGATTTAGTCGAGCGAACTTGGTGAGGGCTGAAAGCCGCTAGAGCGTCAAGTCTCGTGTTGTCAAGGTCAATAACCCAGATGCATGCATCTAGTCTCCCAAAAGTACCTCCTTTACTTCAGCACCGGCAACCAAGAAGTCCAGCATTCTAACATATGCTATACCAAGCCTTCTGGTGACAATATCAGAGGAAGTGATCCCCACAACAAGGAGACCAGAGTCTGCTTCCATCTCGCCTGGCCCATCGCTGCGGCTGATCCAGTCTATAGCAGACGAGAATTCCGTCTCTGCTCTTGGCTCGCTTTCATTTCTAGTGGAGACAAGCTGGCTGCTACCATTTAGAGTAGCCTTTGGCTTAAGGACCTGGTGTGGCCGATTCTGGACTAGAACCCAGGGCATCTTTGGCCGGTCCCTTGGGTTGAGGCGCAGAAGGCGAATGTACCGAGTCCCTTCTGGGATTTTAGGCTTACCGTCTCGCTGATCATCAAAAATCATTCCTATATGGAAGGTAATTGAGCCCCGAGCGGTGGAGAAATCAGGGTTGCGCCATACCTCCGATGATGGATCATTTCCTAGACGCCAAGACCACTTCGCGATATCGATGTCCAAGGCCAGTCCGGATAATTTAAGCACTCGTATGTTTTCCATATCGGCAATAGAGTTTAAAGAGGAACTTTCATTGCCGCTGTCCAACGCCGGCGTACTCGTCAATGAGTAGAACTGCCCATTTGGTCCTTGATACCATGCCTTGGAGTCAGGAAGCTTGAGGTCCTTCCTATAGCTTTGGCGGTGACTCCAGAACATGAATGGATCGTAGTCAATTCCCCCAGGGTGGCTGAGCCAGGTCCAGTGAGGCCATTGACGGAGAGTGGATGAAGGGAAGTTGAAGTCGCGTAGTAGAGTAGGATTTATGGAGGAGTGCCTCCAGAGCAAAGCTCTCAGGAAGTCCGCATCGCCAATAGGCATAGCATGGATAAACTTGACTTGATATAGTTTGGACAATCGAGCTTGCAAGCCCTCAAAGGCCCGGAAGCGGTCGCTAGGGAACGTGAGGTTGCGATGGGAGTAAACATTGGCACAACTCTGGTATGTGTGCCTCAAACTGTGTCTTTGTGTCACAGTTGGTAGCGGGAGATCATATTCTGCCCATTCATCATAAGGATCCCAGTCAGGTTCAACAGCGTATACCTCAGTATGGGGCTGGGTCCAACTTTCTTTCGTCGTCATCTCGCCGCAAACGAAAAAGACCTGCTGCTTACCAAAGAACAATGTTCTTCTAGAAAGCAGATGCTCCTGCATCGTCCAAGCTCGAGTTTGCCAGGGAGATTCTTGCATGATGTCCCTGAGGCCCATTAACGAGGTACTTATCTTCAAGCCTCTAGGTAACAGTTCGAAATATTGGTTGACATTTCTTGGGGATTTGTAGCTGGACCCTGGCAACCCTCCCTCGACACCTGACTCGAGCGAAACTATGGTGCACACACTGCTGGAGTAGATCTGATCCATCTGTGAGATTTGCTGTGCCTGAATGTCAGGTTCGTCTTGAGGAATGCACAAAGCGTCAATCCAGACGTATCGCTCTCCCAAGCGCTTCGTGAAGCCGATAGCGTCCTCAAAGGTTTGAGGAAGGTTTCCTTCGAGAAGAGCAATTGGTTGTGTATCCATTGGACATACATCGTCACACAGATGATACGACTCGGATGCCAGGGATTTTTCCTCAAAGGTGCGTGAGGCCGCGTCTCCCCAGACATAGGAGAGAGTGACGAAGGGTACGCAATGCAGCGTTTGAACAATTAGGCGGGACTCAACATCGATCAATCTTAGACATGGCGGTGAAAGCCTATGCAAGTCGCGACTCGACATGGATTGCTGCTCGTTACAAGATTGGTGTGTCTCTCGGCACGTTTCCAACCACCCTTTGATTCTCTGGGGATCTGCATATTTGGGGTGGACGAATTGAATTCCGCCAAAGGAGAAGCGACAATTGACAGTCTGTCCATTGATTCGTGTTGTGATCCAGCCCAGTTGCAACTGCTGCTGCAGCGAGAGCAAAATCCGAAGTTTTTCTTAGGCTGATTTCGAATCCCTCGTCATCGACTGTCCATGCTGGAGGGTGTGGATGACCGACTGGCAACTGGCGCCGCAGTTCTAGTTTCCATCTCTAATAAGCTTCCACAAGAATCGGCAGAAAGGACAAGTGCTCCTAACGGCGAGATCCGTCGTGGAGTCGAACCAGAGAACTCTGCCAGGATGAGGGGGTTCGACAGAAAATTCAAATGGCTTCAACGGGTCGAGGATTTTCGCAGCCTGGCAGTCGTTGCAGAGACTGGTACCAACAGCTTGCTCAACCAAGGCATGCTCCAGTGCATCGTATTCACGTCGATAATCAACATCTAGACTCATGTTTCACGACGGTTCGCGGGTAAATCTGGCTGGCAAGGTCGACAGTAGAGTGTGCAGGGAGAATGGGAGAAATTATGAACGAAATGGAATGAATTTTTGTACAAACGACAATGAGGGTGGAATTGGACAGCGCTTCCCCTACTACCTACTGTGGTGCTATATCCTGACGGCGCTTCAACGGGGCTGGTTACTGGCCAGCCAAGCGCCCACAAACCCCCTGCTAGTAGAGTTTAGAACACTGATAGAACTGTGCGTGATTGTCATAGGTAGATAGTAATAAGAAAAATAGGCCCAGTTTCTTCAGATAATCGATAAGTAGATCTTAAGAGCAGAAAAACTGAGAGATTGCGTAGGATGGGGACTTCGCCTTGAAGGAGAGATGCAGAATATAGTAAAAGAAGCCCATAGAGTTGTCTTCTGTAATGAAGAAGGCTTCAATTAGATTGCAGACCTCGAGATCAGCATTCAGCAATTGACTTTTTGATAAGGTCCCAGTAGCCGAGAGCTCGGGGTCTCTACGGAGTGGATGGTGGGAAAAACATCTCGAGATTTGAAGGCTGCACAAACAGCGTCTACTAAAGCCTATGAATGTGATTGGCCTTTTATCTTAAGGCAGAACTGTATAACCACTAATGAGGCCTGTCGCCAAGCGGGACAAGCGGCATAAATGGCTGCAGGTAGTTCGGCTACCATCGAATGAGAGCTGGCAGCATGCCTGCGGCTGAATGCACGACGAAAACCAACCTTGCTGCCTAACGGAAGAGGAGGCAGACACCGTCAGCTTAAAATGAAACCCCTCTTCTCACGCAGAGAGCTAGCTTTGCAAAGTCTTCTGCAAGCTTTACAAGAGACTTGAATTATTTGTTAAACTCCGTTTCAAAAAGCCGTTCTGCATCATGAACTTTCCCCATCGCCCAGGCGTTGATCCAGATGGTAGGTAGCTCTGTTGACATACCAGTTCAAACGTATTCTTGTACTTAATTGTGTCAACTTAGGTAAAGGTCCACCCAATCCAGATGCCACACGGGCAGCTGGGTCGGGCTCAGCGACTGAGAGTCCAACCATGCTTGGAAACCCCCGGAACCCATCTCGCATACCCGCGTGGCAAATGAGGTTTCCTCACGAACATAGCCAGAGGGATAAGGACGAGCGTCAGCAGAGGGGCCCCGACGACAAGGCTGACCAAGATAGTACCCATAGGGAAGACAGCAAAGCAGGAAAGGCCGCCATCCCTAGATATCCTCTGCCCGAATACATMCCCCGCCAGTCATTCGCATGCCCCTTTGTGAAGTATGATGCAGCTCGATATGGAGATTGTATAGTCTTTCGACTTCAGCGCATATCAGATGTCATTCAGCACATCAAACGGCATCATTTGCTGATAGACTTTGTTACTGAGTCGCGTCACACTACTGTAGCAGACAAAGTACGTCTTTACTGCACATGGTGTCGCGGTTTGTTTTATGGGCCAAGTGCTGAGAGACAGCTCCACGACCATACGGCGGCCTGTCAAGCTAGCAAACGGCCAGCTACTGTTGAGGAAACGGGGGTCTTACTGCCAAAGGAATTTGAAGAGCTCAGGTCAGCGTTGGCGATGGTCATGAGCAATACCGCAAAGTGGAACTTAATATGGGATAAGTGTTTTCCTGCGACACCAGTGCCGTTGCCATATGTCGAAATAGCTGTTTCCAGAGCAGAGGTACAGCGAACACTTAAGCAACTTCTAGCATCGCCTGCCGCCAACCCTTGGTCTTCCGCGGAAATCAAGCAGTCTGTGATCGATAGAGCTTTGTCTGCAATCTTCGCCGGCCCACCGTTTACCGATTTCGAACCCCATATCACCGACGCAAGCACTATCTTTTCCGCCAATCAAAGCACATTTGATGACCCGAATGAAGGGTCGTTCACTGCCCCCGAGTCCGTCGATGACGTAGGCGACATGGAACAATGGACACGTCCTCTCAAGATTGCAATTCTTGATATTGAATATGATAAAGTCCATGATATCTTGAGGAACTCGTTTGATAAAGTCGCTGTTGGAGAGTATTCGTGGCTGTTGGAGCTGAAAGCATTAGGTCTTTCGATGGATGAAATCGCTGATGAACTACTGGAAAGAGCCCAGCATGGGCCATGGATATACTCCAAGATCGACATGCACGATGTTGGATCGTACGTGCACGACTTTCATATCCCAAGATGTCTCCATACAGGCAGGGAGGATGAAACAATGCGGGCAATCTCGTTGCATTCAAGCCAGGGTCTGATGAGCATCGAGACTGACCGCGATAGCTCAATTCGTGAGACTATTGGCTACTTGTGCGGTATTGGAGGGGTAAGTCCTATGCCCGACGGGTCGCACAACCTCCAATTTGGGTCTGTTGTCTTTGAAAACGCCAACTCGACTGCAATCGTCTCTCTGATGACTAGCCAATCAGCCCAAGCTATTCCACATGTTTTGCAGCATCTTCACAAGGCCATCGGTGCCCTTCAGGAGGTCGGCGGTTGTTGCGACTCATTCAGCTTTCTCGCAAGATGGGAGTCCTTTGTTGAACTGGAACGAATCTACCCTGACTTTACGTCGGAACCTGGACCCCTGAAATCACTCACAAACTCAGAAGCCAGTATAGAGAGTTTGAATCAACAGCTGCGGGACTCACTGACGGCCCAGTTCCTTTCTCTCGCCTTTGCTCTTTACGCACAAGGTCATTGCGAGCCTTTTGGGCCTTTCTTTCTGGATACTCCTTTGAAACGTATACTGCTTTTAGGAAACCAGATATGGGGTCCATCTTTTACTGGGCCATGTATCCTTGCGACTCCCGTGAATTTGAGCTGCTTTGGTGAGATGGTTCAGCGTCGAGTCTTTGCCTTTCAGTACTTTGATAATTTCGAAAGGTCAAGGGTGCTTTCAGATTCTGATAAGAAGTTCGACTTGAAGGCATGTCCTGAAGACTTGCTCGATACATGGGGCCCTGGAGATTTCATTATGTCGAAGGACGACACGGAGAACCTTCACGCAATATCCATTGGTGGTGGCCTGATTACTTCCATCTCGACAGAAACAGAAAGCCACCAATTACCGGTTCTACACTGGAGCCCAGTATCAGAAGACAACAAGAAAATCGCTTCAACCTTCCCTCGCCATGCAAAAATGGTCATCGGTTCAAGAGTCTCGATAAACCAAACCTGCAGAATGACGGCTCAAGAACAAGTTCGGAAGTCTATTCCATGGTTGAAGGACCTAGGAACATTCCCAAGCTACTGGGAAGTATCTGAAAGGCAGGTGGGGCTTGGTTTTCAGGGCGGGCAAAGCGCTGTCGGGATATTGAACTTCGCCCAGACGTGGGTGAAGAGACTAGGCCAGACCAAGAAGTCCAACATACTTGCCAAGAGATACCTTTCTGTCGCCGATCTCGAAGGGCCTTCCGCTGTCCAGGTCAGCTTTTGTACTGGCATAGCCCGACGGGTGCGACTACGAGAGCTACTCGCAGATATCCTACCGGCTTATGTTGCAGACCTTGCCACCAAACCCTATCACTGGGAGAGGCTTCAGGGCTCTGACATCCTGGAGATACTACGACATGAAGACTTCAGGGCACATTATCAAAGGCTAGACCGTGAACTACAAGCAGAGTTCGAGACGCTCGCCATCGCCGTCCTGTTTCTATTGCAAGACACAGGTGTAGATAGGAAGGGCGAGAACTTTGTTGTTGGTTGCGTCCCCCAGGGATTAGCAGTACAATGCTTCAAGATCCCCATCGAGAAGGAGAGCTTCTGGGCCCGAATACTTGCCGACTCTGAGGATGTAGCGACTTTCGCTTATGTGGCGACAAGGTGCCTCGAAACGGACCTGGTTAAATGCCGAGGTCCGAAAGAGCAATGGATGAACAAAGCAGCCCTCTTGTCGACGGCTGTATCGCTGTGTCAAGATCGCATGGAGGGAATAATAGCTCAACAGCAAGCAAGTTGGACTCTGAAAGACTCAGAGACGTATCTCATCGGGCGAGTCGACGCACCATTACGCGTACGAGTGCTTCGACCCAATATCCAGGACGAGCCAGAGTTGCTGGTTTCTATAAGCACAATTATACCTCCATTTCTGAGAAGTTGGAGCAGGAAGCAAGGGCATAGAAGGCCGTGGTTGCGAGAAAGCAGAGCGATAGATCATCAGCATCAGATGGCCGAGAGTGTTGTTGTGACTACTAACTTTGAGAGTTCGTAGTGAATCAATGGCAAGATACAATCAGTCTTCATGGTCTTGGCTGATCTTCTTGAAACATTGTTTGGGGGTGACTGCAGGGATGGATATAGAACGGGGATGGTCTGATAGAGCTATGATAAGACGAGGCAGAAATGGCAGTGTATTTCTTGCATCTTGGAGACACCGGAACTTGTGAGAAAGCACTAGAATGATAAATACTCAGGCTGGCCCAGGGAGGTTAACCTGCGAATTGAAATTGCTGGCTGAATAATCCTATACGGACGATGACAATATGTGTAGCTTAACCTTATCCTATCTGCCGAGCCGATCTACCTGCTGGTCACGTGCGAGTCTGATGATGCCCCTCCCTTGCCTCAAGCATCCGATCAATTATATCATCATCGTCAAAAAAGTAGCCCCATCTCATGCCTTATAACATGGTGCTTCCCACATTTCTGTCACGCGTAATTACAAGCCACATTTGTTACCATTATTGAAACCGTTTTATTCTCACCTTATGATTAGATCACCAATTTTCCCTTCCCCGCCTCAGATTGAACTCAAAAAAGCAAAAAGCAAAAAAGCACACCACAACGCGTCATGCCATTGCCAGAACCACGCGAGCTCACTCCTCGAGTCTGCGAGTTGGAAACCTGTAGCGAAGCGGATAAAGATCTTCTGAAACGCTGCTCAAGCTGCAAGGCGGTGTACTACTGCGGAGCATCCCATCAAACGACTGACCGAAGCCATCACAAAAATGCCTGCACCATCATCAAGAAAGCACGCAAAGCGGTAGAGAAGGAGGAGCAAGAGCTTCGTGACCATCCAGGAGATATGTTTACACCGCCGAATATCTTTGAGAACGGCGTTGGGCATTTTTGGGGTATTCATGAGACGCGTGCGTATATGCGTTCGCGATATCATATGGTCGACGTGTTGCTTCAAGTCTTTGGCACGCCTGGTGGTAAGGTTGACGCGGTTCAAGAGGCCTTGGACCATCTGGTTGATATGCTTCGTCTTTGTCGGGGCGACAACATGGGTGTGAGGGATCTTGTGCCGCATTTGTACATTCGGCTCAACAGGGATCAGGAAGCCTACGATTTCGTCAAGTGGTACGCTACCACCGGCTCAGAGTCCAAGTACGATTGGGGCGACATGGACCAGCCGTACCTTGATATCAGGGATGCAGATGTCTTGGAGGAGCCATTGGAGACTTGGTCAAATGGGAAATATCTCAGCTTGGGCCACGTGGCGGCTGTCACGCTGATCAAAGTGAGGATTCTACTTGACTTACAGTCTGCTCAGAACGCCGCACGAGCTCTTAACGGTACCATCCCACCAGAGATCGTGGGACTCATCCGCGGTGAGCTCGTCGGCAGCGCTGTGGCGGGACGCCCAGATATCATTATGGGCAGCACAGAACATTTGTCTAAGCTTATCAAAAAGGTTAAGGGCCAGATTGCGACGCTTTACAGATCTGTGAATGAGTATAACCCTCACTTCTGGCGCTTGATGTTGAGCTGTCCGGTATCGGCAGCTTCACAAAGACCTGGGATGTACTCGCATGAGACGAAGGAGGAAGCTTGTTTGATGATTGGGTACTGTCTTGCTTCTTGGGTTGAGACACCTGGAGCTTTCCAGTTGATGAAGGATTCGAGTCAGACTGTTTAGAAGATTGGATTTTGAGTTCTTTAGGTGTTGTTAAGGCCATCGGGCTGTACAATATGCGATGCGCAATAAGGTAAAATATTATTGCACCGTCAATATAAACAGATAAAGTTACTTAATACCGTGGTAAGTTCAAACTGTATGGCTATAAATGTAAGCCTCTATAATACCATACCAATAACGCTCCCTACAAGTCTTTGTGTGGCCGTTGTCATAGAATCGAACTGCTTATCTAGCACTTCAAGTTTCTCCCTCTTTGCTATCCATTTCTCGCTGTTAGACCAGTTTGCTCTGCAGACCGATCGGTCGCGACAAAATGTTACGATATCATCAGCATATGCGCGCTGGTCTGTCTCTTGGCAATCCTCCACCACAAATTGTATCAACTTATCCTGTAGCCCATAGCTGAGATCAACGTTGGACTTGCGGTACTCAGTAGCTTCAGTGCTTGTTGAGGGTTCACCACTGTTGGTTTCTGCATGAGCTTGGCCGGGCTCAATATAACCTTCCGAAACCCCTTGGTCAGCCTTCTTCAGAGCATCGTAAAAGGTGCCAAAGGCATAGACCATTTCAACTCCATGGTGCGCTATTCCTCGCATAGGCCCACGGAAAGGATTGCCGAATTCGAAGTGGTAATATTGCACACCCACGCGTTTGGGGTCCTGACCACGGAGGAGAGCTTGTTTCCCACGGTGAGCCTTGAAAGATTCGTTTGCGCGATATACTTTGTGCATCATCGTGGCGTCGGATATGAACTGTGAGAATGCCTCCAGAAGATCTGTATCAGAAGATGTAGGCAAAATACCGTAGGCTTGAAGAACCTCCTCGGCCGCTGCTTCTGAGGGATAGCTCGGGGTGAAGAGAGAGCGGAACTTTATGTAATCCCAGTTCGCCATTAGGGCAAAACCTCTAAACTCATCGTCTGTTGCGCTCATCAGGACTTGAATCTTTTCGTCAGAAGGCTCGATTTCATCGCCTAATCCATTGGGCCCGAGATGAACGGAAATGTCACAGCCCAAATCGCTTCTTCGAATGGTTAATCCGTCGATGACTAGCGTGAAAAGGACCCAGTGAAGTTCTGAAACACTGTTGAGAAGATCCTTGGTAGGTATTCTTCTCAACATGTCAATTCGTTCAACTGGGTTATTCGCTTGGACGGACAACAGTCGGCAGAGGTCTGCCCAGCGCCGGTCAGCTTTTTCCATCGACGTCAATTCGAGGCCCCCAACGGGCCCAGACATCAAACCAGCCTTGCGGAATAGCGGTTTCTCCGTGCCAAATTCCGCCTCAAGAAGATGAAGGTGACATGAAATTCCACCAGCGGATTGGCCCATAATTGTAATTTTGGTGTCATCTCCTCCAAAAGCAGCAATGTTGCGCTTTACCCAGATGAGAGCAAGTTTCTGATCGTGCAGACCAAAGTTCAAGCCCTTGAGAGAGGAATCGCTGCCTTGGGCTGCGATCATGTCAGATGAAGCACCGAAGCCAAATATTCCCAGACGATAGTTAATGGAAACCGCGATAAAAGGCGTTTTGTTGGAGAGGGAGCGAAGAACAAGCCGGCAAGGGTCTGTTACAGACTTATGGGTTAGCGGATACCTAATCGAAGTTGACTCGCGAACGTTAGAATACTAACCCGACACTGGATCCGTGCCTGCGCCATCAATGAATCCGCCGCCATGGATCCAAACAAGTACAGGCAGTCGAGTCGTTTCGGCAACGAAATCGTGCTTTACAAGTGCTTCCCTACTTGGGCGCACAACAAAAAGGTTCAAGCACTCGAACTCATCCTGACTGTCGTCCGGGTACGGCAAGTATGATTGAAACCCTCGTGTGTCATGATTTCCCTGCGAAGGACATCGTGGACTAGGGGACGGTCAGAACCATGAGTCTTTCACCAACTCTACAAATATCGCAGGGCGAATTATCTCGGTAGGATTATGGCTTACCCGTTCTTCGTAGCGTCATATATATCACACGGTAAACAGTCTCTCAGGCGCGAGTGTTCCCATCTTCCTGGCACACAGGCGTACGGTATGCCACGAAACTCCTCAATATCATCAGAAATTGGTGACCGCTTACCGACAACGCTCTGGATCCTACTAGGGACCGAAGCCGTGGGCAATTGCACAACTGGAACACATCCTGGCAGCGTTTGGGGTTGCATAGTAATAAATCGGTGGTGTAGATCAGGTCTAAAGTGCTAAACAATAAGATAATCGCCAGGCTTGACTATACCCTTTTTATCATACTATCTTAAGTGCCAATCATTACTTATGTCGGTCATTCTCCCCGGTCGATCCTCTTTTGACTTAGCATCGGCATTCAAGGCGACGAATGTAGGTACCTGCAGGTAGCGATGCGATATTCAACTGGTCTCGGGCTCTTTTAAGGCCCCGAAGACAAGGGATCTTTGGCCTCAATTCAGGTAAGCCTCTCTAATTAGTGACTCACAAGTCTCAGCTATGACGCGTTGCCATCGAAACGTCGCTGTGTAAGTGGTGGAACTCATGGGTGACTCATCCTTCAGTGTGGAGTTTAGTGGGACAGGAGGCGTTTCTTGTCAGTTTTGTCGGCTTGGGAGGCCCATATAGGTTAAGGAGCTAGAGGAAGCATTTGGAGGTGGTCGACATCAAGAAAAGGAGGCATCAATCAAGGCAGGGATCTAATCAGTCTAGCGTCACGATTTCGAAGCCAAAATTGTTGGTGCCTCTATTATGGGTTACTTTAGGTGGAGAAAAATGTACGTTTCATTGGTTAAGCATCGCCGTAATGACTCGAATGAAGCCTCAAAACAGTTGAGGGGATGAACTGATGGGAGAGCTGTCTACAATGCAATAAATTCGATTTCGTCCGGCGACCTATTCTAACCGCAAGGGCACTAGTCGTTAATGACTTGTAACATTTCTGTCTACATTTGCCAATACCCTCTATAAATTCATAAACCCTTCCAGCCCATTTTCAGTTCTCTCTCGCTCTCAACAAATCATCGCAGTGTTCATCATTCAACGACAGCTCTAATCTCAGCCCTGCAACCTCTACCCTTATTTCTGTACGATCGCCTCATATCACCCTCACAATGCCGTTTAAACTCCCCGATACTGCTAAGCCTTTCACCCTCTGCGTCTCCGAAGAAGAGTATTCCCAACTTCGGGAGCTTCTGAGGCTCTCCCGCATAGGGCCGAAGACCTGGGAAAATCAGCATCAGGATGGACGCTACGGTATCCCGCATCAGTGGCTTACCTCAACCAAGGATTATTGGCTGAACAAGTTTGATTGGCGGCGCCAAGAAGCCAGGATCAACTCACTCCCCAATTACAAGATTAGCATCCAGGATGACGGCGGTAAAGGGGACATCGATCTTCACTTCATCGGTATGTTCTCGCAACGGGATGATGCCATCCCTATCGTGCTGCTCCATGGTTGGCCAGGTAGCTTTCTAGAGTTTATACCTGTGTTGGAGCTTCTCCACAAAAAGTATGACTCCTCCTCATTGCCTTATCATGTTATTGTTCCTTCGCTTCCAGGCTATATGCTTAGCTCAGGGCCAAGTCAAGCCGAAGAATGGAACAGCAAGGATGCAGCAAGATTGATCAATAAAGCAGTTACATCCCTCGGTTTCATCCGTTATGCTGTACAAGGAGGTGATGTTGGATCTTTGATTGCTGCGACACTCGCTGCTACGTATGACTCGGTTGCAGCTATCCATCGTAAGTGCATCTTATTTGAATTCAACTGGGGTATTTAGCGCTAACAACGTATAGTTAATCTGCTTCCAAGCCTTGACAGGGTCACCGTTGATGACCCATCGCTCTCCGCTACAGACAAATCAGCCATCAAGCGCGCAGAAGAGCGATTTCTCACCCCAACAACAGGAGCCGCTTTGTTGCAAAGCACAAGGCCAGCCACGATTGGAGCAATGGTTTCCTCCAGTCCCATGGCCCTCCTGTCGTGGTAAGTTTTTAAGTCCACCGCTTTTAGTTAACAATTTTAATATCCGCGTAGGATTGGTGAGAAATTTCTTGAATGGCCCGATGATCCTATTGATATCGATGAGATTTTGACAAACGTCTCGCTCTATTGGTTTACCGACACTATGCCACGATGTACCTATACCTACCGTGGGACCTTCATTAATGATCATCAATATTCTTTTCCATTCTTTAAACAACCATTCGGCTTCTCTTGGTTCTTGCGAGAGCTAGTTCCTACTCCAAAAGAATTAGCCAAGCAAAAAGGGAACCTTGTCTTTTATCAACAGCATGAAAAGGTAGCAGTCCAAAGATAATCCAGCACATAGACCTAAGTTAACAGTTACTATAGGGAGGGCACTTTGCAGCCTTAGAGAGACCTGTTGAATTTCTTCAAGATATTGAAGATTTTTTATTCGTTACCTGGCCTAAAAATAATTAAAGAAGCCCTTGGGGAAATTAGGAGTAAATATGGGTTTCTAAAGCGCACGTTTTCAATCCATGCTTAAAACGCCATTAAATCTCAGATCCAGAGCAAGCCATAAAGCGCATCGTTATTGAGTTCCTAGCAATCAAGCGTCAGGGTTGCGTGGCATCAGTCGTAATAGTGTGATGGGACATTGTATTCCTTTGATCTCTATACCTCAGACTTGTAGCTGGAATTTTAAATCTCCGATGACCAACAAAGGATATGCTCATACGGGGACAGCCATAGCCGCCCCAACAACATTGTTTAGAAAACCTGGTCTAATGTCAGCCCGAATTCTAATGCCCGTGGCGTACTCCCCCCAAGGCCCCTTTATAATCCAAGTACAACCTAGAATGCGGATCGAGTTCGAGCTTCCTATAGTCAGTCAGCATGGGCATTCCAACTCCGCTATAAGCAAGCACCATAGAAAAGGTCAAAGGAAACATACCGAGATTTTCCGTTCAATTTCGGTCACTGTGCGATGCAGATCGCCCGCAATCCGCTCCTTTTTCTCCATAGAGAGTAATCTGAAACGCTCGCACAAATCTCCGTCTATGACGCCCTTTGTCGGCACGTAATAGCTCCGATACATCAGGTGGTCGCGGCTAACAAGTGACGGGTCTTCAGCACGCATCTGCACCTCGAGTTTGTGAAAGAAGTCGGCGTCCTCGCGTGTGACGAAGGGGATAAGCACGCCGATGGTGCCTTGCAAGCCGCTCCAGACGATGAGGTCCTGTCCGCCCACGACGAGGTTGGTCTTGGTGACGCTGGTGGGAATATCTTGTGTGAAGAAATGGGCCACTGAGTCAAATCGAGTTGGTGCGCCGTGCAGATGATCCTGTGCGTTGGCGAAGCGGTTTCCACTCTCGTCTGCCCCTTGGCTCGCCTTCTCGGGGCATCGCACAATCCAGAGGTTACCAAATTTATCTCCACCTATCACCGTTTCATAGTCAATCATGGCCGTACAAGTTGTCCATCGCGCAACTGTGTCATTAACGAAAGGAATCAGTTTTTGATGCCTATGATCGAACGTAACCATCGTCACGCCCTGCTGGAGATCTCCTACTACGATACGGTTCCCTTGGGTATTAAGGGAGACAATCAACTGCGGCGCCACCTCAACATGAACTTTTCGAAGTAATTGCTTTAGTCCTAGATCATAGATCTGTAAAGCTTTGCCAATTCCTGCGGCTAGCCGACCCTGGAAAGCCACAAACGCCATCGGAGGCTCTTCGACTCTGGTCTTATGAATGAACTCAAGTTCTTTCCCGTTTTGTTGGAAGCGGTAGACATGGATATAGCCCTCTGAGAATTGCCTGGGATTGAGGATCATGTCCTTCCCCGTGCCAATGATTAGAAAGCTCTCACCATCTTGGCCAGTGAATGAAACCACCGCAAGGCTCATCGCAGCCTCGTTGCCTTCCAGCTCTATTGTCTGAAGCACCTGTTCTCCGATGGGATCGACTACACTTATGCATGAGGCCCATCGGCCATAACCACGCGGATAGCCAAAGTCTTCGGGTGGGGGGAATCTGGTATCCTCTTGAGTTCGGTTTTCAGTGGCCCCCAAGAGCTGTGTCCGTAGCTCAGGACTCAGTGTATTGTTGTCAGCTTCGATCGTATAGAAGTAGGGCTCATTAGGATGCTTGACAAAATGCCGTGGTGTGTAGGTCAGAGATATCGATTTTCGGACCGTGTTATCAGATATATTATGGATGGAAAATATACTTGAGATTAGGTTAGCAAAGTAGTAAGCAAGACTAGCTGTCGGACACGGCACACGGTTGTGCGTACCTACATCCAGGCTCAGAATGTGTAGGAAGGGAAGACTTACTGGAGGAAATTGGTCCGAACCGCGATGATACCCTCTTCACACTGCTCACTACTAAAGTTACATCCCCACTCCAGCTCATCACAATCCAGAGGCGTCATCATGAATCCTCGTTTCGGGTCTGTATAAGCCAGCCAAGGTTTAGAGCCAAGGGCTAAAACACAAGGTTTCCCGTTGACAGTAATCTGGAAAAGCTTAATAAACCTGAGGCCAAGGAATCTTGTCTGTGTATCTGATAGCTCTCCTGTGATTTCATCCAGCCTAGTTTGCAGATAGACACCAGAGCTCAGCCCGATGTGCAAGTACAGTCCTGAGCTACTGGATGAGGGGTCTTCCATCGCCATGATGCTTAGCGCCGAGGGTGCCGCAGTGAGCGCTTGTATAGACTTGCTCTCAAGCGTGGAATCTGGATCCAGGCTAAGGATTCGAACGGTGCAATCTTCGCATCCCACAGCCAATAAAGGGCTTCGGACACGCCCCTCAGGGACTGGTCCTAAGCTGAGACACATTACGGTGCTAGATATCTCCTTCTTCTCGTCGTACTCATTGAGTGATCCATCACTGTCTACTTCGAAATAGACAATCTCCCCTGAGCCCAAAGCAACTGCAACCTGCTGCTCATTTGTAGCAACAGCTACTATAGATCGATGTTGCGGAGCAGACCATTCGCTGATTTCCCCGCCACGTAGATGTCGGATGCCTCGAGAGTGGATTTGCACTAAACCGTCGTCTGCGATTTGCTGTATGGCGAGGGTGGTCACAGAGGTGAGAAATCCCGAATCGTTCACTTGCTCAGCTTCATCTCCGACACTCATGACTAATGTGTTATCGGACGAGGTCAAGATGATATACGCGTCGTACTTATCGTGTCTCTTTAGCCTCGTGGTCCAGACACCAGAGACTTTCCCCGGTAGCTCTGATTTCGCGACTTCGTTAATCTCTAGCCCGTGCTTGAGAATCCGAAAATGACTCCTTGCGCCGTTGCCGGATACTGAATAGATCTGCGGTGCGCCGTCCCCAGTCAGATCAGCAACCTTGCAGTCCATAAGAGGACTTAAAGAGTCAAGACTTTCCACCCAAGCGATATTCTCTAGAGGACGTGGGTAGAAGTAGACAGGCTGATACCCAGAACGAAGGTCGGGAGGAAAATCGTCGCTGGTAAATGGGGGATCTGAATCGTCGTTGCCAAGCTTCTCGAATTGATAAAAATGATGATCGCCAGATTCAGTAGCGACAAAAAGAAACCCGCTCTTGAGAATACACAGATTGCTAGCAACAGGGAGAGTATCGAAATACTTGATCTTGATGCGCCGCACCTGTCCTGTCAGAGCACCTTCGTCTTCATGTAGGTCAAAAGTCAGCTTGAAAGTGTCGCCATCTTCTGTCTGCAGCAGAAAGAAGAACCCTTCTGGGGTATTCCTGATCTTGTGCATCACACCACAAATAATGGTACGCTTCCGTTGCGGGTCTTCTGTAGGTCCTCTACGCCGTGGAATGGGGACACGGAGAGGGTCTTGATTCGAGTGTCGGTATGTAACGCTCTCCTCTCCACAGACAAGGACGCCGCTTGGGCCATCATTCCCACCAGGGACTTGGAAGAGTAACGATGCCGTGGAGTCAACAGTTTCCGACCATTTACGGACCACGTGGTTGAGGCCTAGATCCAGTTCGTAGTAAACAAGCTCAACGTTGGGCTTCTCTTGGCCAGAGGGATCCTGGTCTGACCCTGAATAGTCCATTTCAAGAGCTGCAAAGATAGTATTTGAATAGCCCACGTCTAGAGCCACCAGAGATAGAACAAGGACTCCATGTTGATGCGCTTCAAGAGGGGAAGAAATGATGAGTGCGGCTTGGGCGTTGCGATTGAGGACGTAGACGAGCTTGTTCTTTTCAATAGACGCAATCATACAGGCTCTGCCTTTTGGATCGACAGCTAGATATTCACCTGGAACAGTTCTACGCACGCCAGACTTGCCAAATGTCTCCAAGGCAATGCGAGAGAAACGGTCTTCAGCTGGTAGATACTCAAGAATAGCGATACGGCCAGAGTCGCTTGACACGATAATGTAATCTAAATAAGTTAGTTTGGTCTTTGCGACTTGAAACTGCCCGGTATTAACAGCTTGGAAATATGTTGCTTACCTTTGGAGCTTCCGGCTAGGCGAAAAGAGACGATCGATCGGATTATGCTGAAGAGGTCATGCGAAAGTAATGGCTGGACTCTACCATGAGTCAGATTAGGATAATATAGGGTCAGGATGGAGCCAGATACGGTCAGAATTTGCTGCTCCTTCATGCTAGAGAAATGGCCGACGATGGCTTGTGAAATGGCTGTCGGAGGCTGGAGGGAAAGCGAGTAGAGAAACATATTCGATGTAGTCGCCATGGTCACTATGGAGTGGAAAATGGGACACAATGAGGAGCTGTCCGTGATTCTCGAGGAGCAAAAGCTGGATGGAATGAGTATTAAGTACTGCCAGCGGTAGGCAATGCTCGCTGGTGCCGTTGCTGCCTTGACATTTGTTGGTAAAGACCGCAATTGGAGAAGGATAAATTCAGTCACGTGGCGGTCAAGGATGAAAGATCACTCGTTCTTGGGATTACTGCGGCGGCAACAATAAGAATACTTTTGTTACATCTAAAATGCCTCTTCTACTTATGAAAGATGAGTAGAGAGTATCGGATCATATTTGTCTCTTCTCCTCATATGAGTTGCGAGGGAGAAATTCTCACGAAAAGTCGCAGTAGGCAACTATAGCGACGATTGACGTAGCTATCTGTTAGGCACCAGCGCCCAACAAGTTCGCCTAAAGCAGAGCACTCATTCAAAACACTTCTCATCAACATCAAAATAAAATATGGATACAGAACTTGAGATGAAAAAAGTCTGGCGCTGCGATATCGCTCTTTGGCAAGTCCATCATACGGAGAATGACTGCGATTTGATCATCCGATCTAATTCTGGCCTCGTATTCTACTGTCATATTTGCCCCAGCCAGTTCATTCGATCTCCGTCCGTCGAAGCGCAATATTTCAAGTGTCTCCAACTCTTGAGATCTGGTGAGGTCGAACTCGACGACTTCTATGAGGAAGACGCATTCGAATGGTTGTTAGGTTGTTTTATGCCTTTCATAACCAATCTCGCATCATCCTCGGGCCTCGAGATCGTTGCAGAACCAACATTGGCCGATTACTTCCTCGCCAAAAGGTCTTTTGTCTGTAGCTTAAAGGCCGTCGATGATGGGTTGTTTCCCCAAGAGCTTGAGACAACGAACCACGGTTGGAGTAGCCCGATCGTCAAGTTCGATACCGATTTCATGGCGAATCTTAATACTTGGACGGAATGCTACACCCCATCGCAGGTTAAGATATGCTACGCTGGACCACACGAGAGTTTGATCAAACCGCCGAAGCGCACCACCATAATTGGCAAAGATGGGGAGTCCATTACTTGCTTCTTCAAGAAGTTTGGACTCTCCTTTGGTCCACGACACGCGAGAAAAGAACTCATGACACTGAAGAAGATCATTGGGGCCCAGATACCCCCACCTCCCGAAGCACATATCTGCCATCTTGCAGGTGTAGTTCGGGAAGGTGATGGATTGCTTGGAATGTTATTCACTTGGATTCCTAACAAGGGCGTATTGTCCAGAGGTCAAGCTGCAGCGAGTCCTCCAGAGTTGAGAAAGCAATGGGCTTCTCAGATCCAGAGATCAGTAGATCTTCTACACCAGAAGGGCATCATATGGGGTGACGCCAAAGCGGAGAATGTTCTCATAGATCAGAATAATGATGCTTGGGTTGTTGATTTTGGAGGAGGTTACACCGCCGGCTGGGTAGATAAGGATAAGGCTGGGACATTCGAAGGTGATAGGCAGGGCCTAGCGAAGATTCTTGATATGTTGGTGTAACTTAGGTACTGGGAAGGAGACCTTCCTTTGTCATTGATAAAACTGGGCTATTTGACAAGGTTTTCAAAAGGCCAGCTTGCAGACTTCTATGAGCACGTAATTTGACTCTTGATTCTTGGCCGAGAGCTCCAGGCCTCCCACCTATTCCTTTCAACAACCTTGATTCCATTCTATATATTCATCACCCGCTTCCTTCCCGAAATCTCCATTTATGTATGCCTACATATCCGGCAATCTGAAAGAAGGGGGTCTGCCAAACGACTAACAATCAGACCTAGGATAGAGCCATTCAAATGGCAAAATTAGATTACCGAATCGTCCTTCCTCTTTTTCCTCCACAAAGGATTTGATCTTTCAAAATCCGTATAACCATCATATAGATAGCGACGCCCATAATCAGTATGCCGATAGCGAAGCCCTGAAGAGTAACGATTTCGGCATGAAGGATCAGAGCAGGTCTCCGGCACACCACAAGGTCCAGCATAAGAATATGACTCTGGGCTGATTGCATGGTACCAAGTGTGTCCCGGAAGGTTGTGTTCTGATGCATTCGGTATCATGTATCGTGTACAGCGAAATACATGACACTCATAGTCTTCCAAGCAATCTTCGACAGAAATTGATGCTCTCTGTCCTGCCATCTTCTCCTCGTGTACCCTCGGGCGCTTCCCCTCAAACTCCTGTGCCATCTGCACCATGCCAACTGGCAGGATATGGTTTCGATGCAGAGATTTGCTGTTTTTACCATCTCCCTGAAAATAGGTTTCATTAAAGTCTTCCCGTGAGTGAAATCCAGATGATAGGCAAAGAACGCAATGGGTTTCGTCCCCTTCAGCCGTTGCGGAAGGTCGCTGTTGATCATCATGGAAAAGGTGGCTAGAATGCTTGCAGACTTTCTTGAACGTGTTGGCAACGCCGTATTCGTAGCCAAGAGATGCTTGCAACTCGTCCCAAGAAAATACTTCATGAGAGCACATACGAACGTAGCCTGTCCTGGCAATGCATACCCGATCTGATCGCTTTAGGATCTCTTCCCTTGAGAAACAGAGGGTTGGATGCTCAACTTCGCAAGCAGAACAGTACATCCAGTCTTGATCAGTCCGCGCTGCAAACTTGCAATCTAGAGAGACGCCTAATCGCCTCCGAGACTCAAACTCGGGCCGGCACGTCTTGCAAATTCTTTCCGACCTGATAAGAACTCCCAGTCCCTCGACGTCCATGCCAGCCTTCCTTATCTTGGTCTCGAAGCAATGGAGGTCGAGGCGCGCCGGTTTGAGCCGTGTCCATTTCCCACGAAATCCCCCAGTGCACCATTCGCAGCAACCACTATCGGAGAAGATATGAGACATGAACATCCTGTCTCTCATTAATCCTCTAAACCTTTGCGACACCTGACTAAGAACGAAGAACGCAAATAGTGAGGGCTTATCGGACCCCTCATAGAGGTGCTTGATAATAAGCAAGAGAATCTCATCCGGGAGGTTCAAAAGGCGACTGTTTTGTTTGTCGGTAGCCTCTCGCGTCTTTCCCAATACCTTTGATATGCCTTGGTCCGTAACGTTTTGAACTATCCCTCTTGTCCAATCCTCGTCGTTTAGTTTGTCAGGTATATCATGAATATTTATTTTTGGATCTCTAGTATTTTTGCAGAACTCCCCGTTCGATTTAGTATCGGCGTGAGGAACAACCCTCTTTGGTGTCGCGTCGATAGTTGTATTTGCTTGATTGAATATTAGCACTAAATCATTCAAGAAGGTGATCAAACGTACTTGAAGAATGACGGTATTGATGGTTTTGACGGCAAAACAATCGGGACAGCCACTGCATCAACATTTCGACGTATTTTAGCATACCCGGCTGCTTTAAAAGTTTGTTACGTGAGGTAGACCATTTGTGCATAGGAGTGGGAGAAAGATCAGAGAGAGGAAGGTGAACAGGCGACTCTTTTATACTCGCCAAGCCAACCCTGAATGATGCTTTTTTGCGAAAGGTTAAACTTCAGTACCTCTTGGTTTCTTGGAGTCTCTGTTACACATAAGGTTAAGCGTTTAGGTGATTGGTACCTGATGGTAAAGTAGATGTCTGGCGAAGAGCTTAACTCCGCACAGCAAACTTAGTTCCTATCACTACCATCAGCCTTGTCTTTACAGTCATCCTGGCTTTCTTCGTCCTTTACGGAGTAATTGATATCCGCTCCAGCGCTTACTAGTACAATATATTATTAATAGCTCTTACCTCAAGTCTTGATGTCTATAGCGAACTTTATGAAGAGGTGGAGCAAGAAGTTCCTAGAAGTCAAACTTGGCCAACCGAAACCAGAGGGTTGTTGGCCTAGTTGCCGCAGGGCTTTCGCAAAACTCATCTCCGGCATTGACTTCATCATGACGCCGTTTCAAGTCACTACAGATGATGAGGAACTCGCCGAAGACAGGCAGATTCAGATCGACCAGCTACGCGCTACCCTTGCCCAGAAGGAGACTATAATCGGCGACTTGAAAGAGACAGTCCAGGAGAAGGATGAAAACATCGAAGAATTAGAGAAAGCGGCCCAGGAGAAGTCGGAGAATGATGCAGACCCTAAATTACATTCATTTTAGACCATATGTCATAAACTACCCTAAGTTTGCCAAATCTTAGGACAAAAACCCTAAGCCTTGTCTAAGTTGTTCTTTACAGGCCACAAAGCCCCCCTCGACAACCTGAGGGCGTGATGTTCCTTACGCTCTCCCCTCTTCGCGGCTAACATCACTCATTACCGGCATTGCCTCCGCCCACTCATCCTCGCTCATCTTCATTACATCATTCATGATCTCTTTGATGCACTCTTCCTATAGCATCGCGTAAGCTTCTCCTTGATCTTGCATCTCTTCTACATTTACTTGCATTTGCATCTCACGCGATAACGACCCTACGCCTTTACTATATCTATATAGCCTTTCAAAAACGCACCAGTGTCACCGCCAAGATGAGAGTCCCAACTACCACCGTTTTCCTCACCGTTATTCTGGCTTTCTTCTCCTTTTACGGAGCGATTGATGTCCGCTCCAGCGCACAAAACCCCAGCATGTCCTCGACAAAGCCTCCATCACTCCCTGTCTCCAGGTCCCTAGCGGACAAGAAGCTGTCACGATCGATGGCCCTCTTCCGATTCAAGCCCCCTTTCCTTCATTAGCTGACCCTGTGGCGATGTCAACAGCTGGACAGTTGATATGGGACCTGGCAATGAAGAAAACGAAACCCTGATCACTTTCTCCCCCCGGTTCTCTTCACCCGCGTGCATGTGCAAATGAAAGGCTAATCAAAGATGGACTAAGTCTATACTAAACTTCCCTAAGTTACCCTAAGTTACCCACCCTAAGTTACCCTAAATCTAATCTAAATACTCTGACCTTAATCTTTACAGTAAAGATACCTCGCATCCTTGTAACCAGGATCCCATTTTTGGGTAGGTAATAATAATATGACATTCCGATGGTTTCACTGGAGGTCAGTTTCTGCAAGGTTGATAAGCCACTGAAGATCAAAATCATATCTGTTTTGTGAAACTATCTCTAGGCCAATGCGTTTCTGTTCAAAGCTTTGTAAACATCTTTTCGTCTTCTCTTAGTATTTCATAAAGCGCAAAAATCTTCCTCTTTATCGCTTAAACGCAAGTGAGATCAGCAGTTTCCTGGTCAAAAGTGCATCGGTCGGTATGGGTAAAGGACAGCTGTATTTATCATCAGTCAAAGTGCTCGTGAGTGTCAAAAATCAACGAATCGCGACTTACGTTGATGAGACCACCATCGCCCTCGGTAAAGAACTGGTTAGGTGCAGCAATGTACATACACTCGTAATCAGTGTTGAGGATGCCAAGTCTGAACTCAACAGAGGACTGTCCATCAATGTTGGCAGGATCGGCAACCGAGAAAGCTTTGTTATAGCAGGCAGCGGCCTGGAACCGCTCCGGGTCAGGGTTATTCGCCATCATGGCTTCGGTGGTCTGAACGGTGAAGGCTTCACGGCCAGCGTCGAAGTTGGAAATGTCACCGATGAAAGAGGCCGCAGCCTTGACGGCCTCGTTGACGATGGCAGTAGCTGCTGCGGTGCCAGCCGCAGTCAGAATAGCAATTGTGACGGGCTCACGCTTGCTGAGGATATTACCAGTGCCCTTGACTGTATCTCGGGTCTGGAGAGTAGTGGTGTGAAGGCCGTTCTCAGCTGGGATGACAGCGCCATTGACTATGGCAGAGCATCCAGCAACGGCAGTGACGAATTTAGTGAAAGAAGGCATTTTGGAGGTTTTAAGTGGTGGGTAAATCACGGACTTGGTAAGAGTTGGGAAGTTAGAGCAAAGAACTTGGAAGAAAGAGATGAGGTTGTAAAGGATGAAACTGCGCAGCAGATTATGAGGAAGCGAACTGAGTTGATGAGTTGAGTTGATTGAAGAATGATATCTCGTGAGACCTCGATACTTTATAGTTTTTTCCTCTCTTCTTGTCTATGTACTTTTAGATGGTATCCTCGTCTTCTGTCATTCTGTACAGCATGACCGAGCTATGAGACAACTGGCTAACAACTCCACCGTCTTGAACCGTGTGTTTGATAAGCTTAAACTTTAATTCAGCAATCCCTGCAAACTAGATGTCAGCTTTCAATTAAGCGATTTGATAGAAGGCACGTCTCATCCGTTTGACCCCAACCCCACAAGTATCACGGGGTCAATAGGGCTGTCAAGTCTTAAACGTGCTATAACAGGGAATTCGAGTCATGAACCTCCCGGGTAAGTAACGGACCCTGGGGATTGTCGGCAAAATCTCGTGCTAGACAAGTTGAGCCAATCATGAACTCTCAAACACGGCTATGCCCCGTTATTCCACCGGCATCCATGTTAACGCTTGGCGTATAGGGTCTTAAGGACCAGGGTAAGCCGAAACCGAGATCAAACAGCCTGGAATATGTCAGTCAGTTCATCCCAAGTAGGCAGTATAGCATCGTTTTAACAGATCTAGATTGGTCTTCGTCTAGCGTCACTCTCAAAAGGGCCAACACTTCGTATATCGCACGCACTGACCACATCCAGGTCCCGTTCCACTAGACTACCGAGTTCGGGAAGGGCAGATTCCGAACATGAGCAAGTCCAGGGTAATAATGCAGTCCCATTCTGGTATTTCCTTTGCTTTCTCGGACAGCTAAAGAATGTAACAGCCTGGTGGAAGCGGTTAACTTCAGAGGAGCTGCTTGGCGGGTAGGCTCCTTGTTTTATGTTCGGAATCATTAGGTAATGTCATAGAACACATTTAGTAATTGGTTCCTTTCCATTGTGGGGGTGCCCTGAAATCTAACGCTCAACAACAATAGCAACTTGCATAATCTTTAATTCCACTAAGGGTTGACATTCTCTTAATTTGGTCAATACGAGTACATGAAATCCTGGCATGCCAACTCAAGCTGAGATAAAGAAGCGCCTAAAGGCGCTCGGCTTCGACTCTCCAGCTGCCTTAATCGATCAAGCTGAGGCTATCCTCAAAACTAAACGAGCAGCATACGAAGAAGCCAAGAAATACGACTCCCCTGGCGAGAAACAGGATGATACCATGCGGCGAAGTGTAAGCATATAGCATTTTTAACATTTTAAAAAGATTTTGCAGTTTTCTGTTAATTTTCTTGAGCCTGAACCTTTCTCATCGCGATACCTAAAACCAGACTTCGGACCCTATCTCACGAAAAGCCAACAAAACATTGAGAGGGGTGGTTTTTGCCCTGCCTTCCCGGAAGTTTGCTTCTTAAGGAGAGGGAAGAGTGAATAGAGCGGCTTGAAGATGTGACGGGGACTTCGATACTAGCCTCTCCAAACCCAAACCTAAATATCGCGTCTCTCAGGCAGAATGCTTGCAACGCGGCGGATACTTAGAGGGACCAGCACGTCGAAGAGGAAGTTTCCCCCGGGTCAGCTGCTGACTTCTACCAAGCCACCTTTGCCGACCTCCAGGACGATTTAAACATGAGTTTCGCCAGTGTGCTGGCAGAGTGAACTACGCGTAAGAATAGTAACTCACGACAGAGATTGGTCACGTATGGGATAGACGAGGATGGGTACTCGAGTTACAGCCTTGAGACTGTTGTGGGGTAAGTTCATCACCCATTTGATATCGACTAGTGTTCTGTTATTCTACAAATATGATACAGTTTAACAACCCGTTTCACGATGTGCTATTGTTCGTGAAACGTCTTGACAAGAAATTACAACTGACTCTCTTTATGATCAGATGGAGATGAGGAATTTCATCCGCCATTGGCATGGAAGGGCTTCTCCTGATTGCATACGTGATGCCGTGGACATACTGTATTAAGAACCCAACTACAGGTATGGTGGCCTGATACACGCAATCTAGACCGGACTGTGCCGCTTCAGCCCATTTACCAGACCAATGAACGGCGCTGCCCAATGCTGAAAGTGACGGACTAACTGCATGAGCTGACGTAACGGAGTGCCCACCTGGACGTTTCTAAGATCGCTGCCTACAGGTCCATTCAGATCCTTCACAAACAGTTTTTGCTGACCACCAATTTCGCAACAAACAGCAACATATAATAATCGAGACGACGATGAGTTTGATTGATAGTGTTCTCGCCATCCTACCAAATGTCCCATTCCTTGTTCCGGGACCTCCAGTGGATACAGCCAAGGATGCAAAGAAACAGAAGAGTCCACTGAACCGTTTCTTGGGAGCATCATCAAAACAACAGAGGGCAGCCATATCACCGGCCTTGGAGAATCGCGGTCGGCCATGATAACTACCTGACACTGTCTACCACGGCTGGCACCAATTGTCGTTCTGAGACAATTAATTGGTAGGTCCAAGGCTTTCCTAGTTAATCGCATGTGTCCACTACTAATAACAGCCATTAAGGTTATCATATGTGACTTTAATTATGTATGAAGAGCGATTCGAAACAATGAAACGGCTGATGGCCAGCCATGGTCGGCGCTTAGAGCCCGAGTGGCGGGTATACACAAGGGGCGCGGCCAGAAAGCATATCCTCGTAGAGATACAGATAAAGCGATAGGCATCAATTCAGGATTTAGGAATCTTTTCTCCAGCTGAGCCAGGTACTGCTTTGGGCTGTGGCCTTGTCCACCGTGGCGTAGAGTTTGGAGAGTGAGGTGTTTGTTGGTCCAGTTTGAAACTGGCCGCGGCCAACATACCCCAGCATTTCCTGACACAGCTGATGGCTAATGTAGCCGTGAACTTTATTCTACACGGTCAGTCTCATCAGCAAATAGCATTCCATCGATTGATACACCAATGCGTTGTACAGGACGTGTAGCCCCCCTCCTGGCCAGAGCAGTCTCTGGTGGCTGTGTAGTTATTAATATCACGAAACGTGAATCCATCAAGCGAGATGTGGCGGTCTTACAGCCGTTCAGTCAGGACTCTGTTGTACCCATTTAGTTATCTTACTGCAAGGAAAAACAAATCATGATGCTACAAACGGCTGCCTACCAATGTGCTGACTAGTTGTTTTCAGATATCGTCACTTCCGTCAATAATAATCCACATACATATAGCCTAAAGCATAAATACATAGCTACCTGCCAATGTCTGTCGTTACAATAAACCCTGCCCACGAACTAAGCTATCATGTTGATCTTCCAAATCGCGTTGACACCATCGCCTTCTCCAGCACGATCGTTTCAGTAGGATACTCGCTCGATATCTTGCTCAAGCCGCCAAATAAACAAGCGTCAATCTCCTTCGTCCCCACAGAACCTCTTCCTAAATTACATCTCAATTCTTGAGCCACGTCCTCATAGTCAGCCAGAGGCACGTCATCCTTGACGATGAAAACCTGGAATGTATCTGCAGCCCGTCGCATCAGGATACCAAGCTCCTCGGCCTTTTCGCAGAGCTCTCTGAGCTTCTTTCTCCCCCTTGTCTTTGCCCGTATGTTATCTGTCTCGGCTGGCTTGAAGAATTGCTCAAGATAAATTGCGTACGAGTCTGGCTCATCAGATTCATCTTCCAAAAGATCAATGCAATCGAAGCTGGCACGGCTCCAGTTTGCCAATTCCTTCTTCCCAGTTCCTAAAGACATAGACATAATAATTAGCGGCGGTAATACCTGGTATACCTGAGTGCGAAGCCATACCGTCAGTCCAATTGTCCCTGCTAGCTTCCGTCAACTGTAGTTCTGCTCTTACGAGTTTCGCGTAAAGAGTTGGGAAATATTTTCCGATGTTGGATTCTCTAAGCTTGTTCGGAAAGAATTGTCGTCGGATGAGAAGGAAAAGATGGGTATGAATGGCATCTTGTCTACGCTCTGGATCGAAACCCTCGATCTCCTTGAAAAATGCTTTGCTAGCATTAGCCGTGGGCTTCTCGTGTGTGTCGGGATTAGTATAGAGTCTGCGAGCAACGTATTGCGTCGTCGCGCGAACTTCAGAGAACAAGCCCTCTATCTCGCTATCAAGCACAAAGTCCTCGTTATCGGGGATTATCATACTGCGGAGCTGGTCTGCTCGTAGTTGGGTTGCTTTCAGTTGGTTTTTTAAACCTGCCAGCTCCACGTCGGCCATCTCCAGTTTCCGGGTCAGCTGTTCGACTTGCGCACTATCATCAGAGTCAGGAGTCATTAATCGCGAGTGAGTCGTGAGACTCTGAGTTGACTCAAGTGCGTTATACTTCTTTTGCAATTGAGACTTCGGCTGGTTCTTCGTAAACCACTCCTCCATCGCGGTCCGAACAGTCTCCTTGATGTTGTCCGAAGTGGCTTGTTGACATTGCTGATGTTCTGCGCTCATCTTACGGATGCATGACGAGAGGTCCCGCCCCCAGTCCGCTCTCAAGTCGTGATTTAGTTGACTGATGACCTGATTCATGCTGGCTGGGGCCTGTAGGCTCTGCCAGTTCATTGCATCACTCCCCTTGTCAATGTACAACGGCATACCTTTCTGAGGTGATGGTTGATGAACGTTAGGGAGTTGCGAACAGGAATGTTGTCTTTTGAGACTCCCAGTAAGAGGAGAGAAAATCGCCATCTTAGAGTGACAAATTTAAAGCGGTAGGGAGAGCTTTGTTAAGAAGTGTTGCTTTTGATTGTAGATACAATCAGCTTTGTTATGCGTGGGCGCGGATAATTATAAGCAGACTGCGAGCTGGTAATTCTCGTCTTTATGCGGGACTTTCGGCGACTAAAGAGTCAGTTCGTGTGTTGGGCGAAGCTTGAGACCCTCGTGAAGGGGAGATAAAATGGTGTGGTGAAAGAGTATCAGGTGTGGCCGACTCTTGGCCGCTTGTCTGCGCTGAGCGCTTATGCAGGGGACACGGCAGAGACAGCCGCGAGGATGCTTCACAAGGCGGACTGTGAGATTCAATATCCTCAGGCAGATAAATGAAGCGCCTGGTCAAAAGCTGTTGGGCGATACTGAAACTTTGCACAGTACAGTCATTGGTTGAAACAATCATCGATGCCGGCCAGCGAAGGACGGCTCAGCGGTCAGCCTACACAGCCTCACACACTGTTTGAAGTTGTTAAATAGTGAAACATTCCTCTGCAACATGTCTTTTTGTTTGTATTTGTCCAATCTGTGATTATCTTGAATCATTCTCACACCTGAGATTCTATATCATCACTGGTAGCCCATCGCTTACACAGACCGCAAAAACAATATTCGATGACTCAAGTGATTGAGAACCATATTGACTCGATATGGCATTTCGGTTCGCTCCACTCTCTAACCCCTCCAGCAAGAGGACATATACTACTGAGGATGCTTCCGCCAGTTTAGGCGCTATGGGCCTCGATAACCGAGACAGAGTCATCATCGCGCTTGACTTTGGAACTACATACTCGGGTGTTGCATACTGCTTTTGCAACCCCTCTAGCAAACCTGAAGTCAGACCGATCATTGACTGGGTTGGTCAGTTGACCCATCAGGATGATATTCTCAGCCGTCATCAATACTGATCTACTGTATAGGGCTCGAGGGCCGCACCCAGCCCAAAGTTCCCACTGCTATCTTATATGACCCACGGGATAGCAGGAACTTTAAATGGGGAGGTCAACTCACTTGGCGTGACGATCATGTCCAAGGCGTCAAGCTTTTGCTGGACCCCAAACAAACCAGGCCATCTTACCTTCCATCGAGCAGTGCGAATCGCGAGAAGAGGAGGCTTCCCAAGGACGTGGTTGATGTTGTAGCAGACTTCATGAAGGCCATGTATGAGCATGCATTGGAGAAGATTGCATCCAAGGTGCCTCGAGATTACTTGGATCTTTGTGAAAAGTCTTTCGTTCTCACCGTCCCAGCCGTGTGGTCTGATAAAGCAAAGGAGAAGACCATTCAGGTATGTTCTGCCTCTCTTTCATGCCTATATTGCATTTTCTCTTGTCACTCTGTTATTGTCTCTGACATCCTCGAGGCCGCCAAAAAGGCAGGTGTTTATCCTGTTACTCTTGTCAAAGAGCCTGAAGCTGCAGCTCTTTACACTTTTATGACTCAAGAACGAGCACTAACCGTAAGTCACGTAACTCCTGTACCAAGGGCCTCGGTGTTAATGCAACAAGACGGGCGACTGTTTCGTCGTCTGTGATGCCGGAGGCGGGACTGTTGATCTCATCTCATATGAGGTCGTCTCAACAGAGCCAAGTCTTGAGCTCGCAGAACTAGTCCCCGGAAAAGGTGAGTTTGTGCCTTTTATTATTACCGAATCAGACTCAAAGATGCCACAGGTAACATGTCCGGATCGCTGGGCCTGAACAAGCGCTTCGCAGAGGCTGTTCGAGACCTGATTGGAGACGAGGAATGGCTTCGACTGAAGGACCTTAGTGCCTGGGCGCTAGCCGAACGCCAATTTGATCAAGAGATAAAAACATCGTTCACGGGAGATTCGGATGATGATTTTATTATCAATTTCCCAGGTGCTCGGCTCGAAGACAATGTCAATGAGGGTCTGGAGAGAGACTCTTGGTTCATGTCTGGGTAAGTTGCCTCTACCAAGCAACTGGAAAAGACTGACGTGGGCGACTTAAAGAGAAGAGGTACATGATATCTTTGAGCCCTTGATCTCAGATATTGTTGGTCTGGTCAACGATCAAGTTGAGGCTGCTACGGAAGAAAGACCTGATAATCCCATTATTGTTAGTTTACAGTCCTTCCTTTACTTCATGCTGATCGTTTTGAACAGTGCATCTTTCTCGTGGGGGGGTTCGGTTCTAGTCAGTACCTCAAGAGCCGAATTGAGGATGAGAACCCCGATATTCAGGTATAAGACTAAACCAAAGCGGGAAATTTCAACAGCTGACAACGTTAGGTTATTCAACCCGAGGACGCATGGGCAGCTATCGTGAAGTAGGTTGTCTTTATGTAGCTTATCATTCGATTTAACTTTAGTTTTGGGGAGCAGCCCTCAGCCGGCTTTCTTACACAAACGTCGTATCAACCAAGGCGACTTGTCATTATGGAGTACGTTCGTGGTCCAGCTACGAACCTGCAGTTGATAAAGGTCGGCCAACAGCTATCAACCCGGTAACCGGCCGGCTCAGAACAGAAAAAGTAAGTTTATATTGATTCTCAAAGATCCTGAATCTAATGATGATGCCAGATGACTTGGTATATCATCATGGGTGAGACTTTGAGACGTGACCGTAACGAACGATATACATTTCATCGGCACATCTCCAAGTCTTACTCTGAGAATGACCTCCATTTCCGTGATCAAATGTGGATGTCGAACACTCAGGTACAGCCTCAATATCCTACCAAGGACGTCAAGTCGAACTGCATTTTGAAGAGTGATTTGACTACAGTGGACAGATCGCGGTTCAAGGAAGTCGTGGGTTTCGATGGAAAGGAATGGTTGAAGGTTCAGTACGATCTTGTTATCTCTACTAAGGAAGCTGCCATGAAGTTTTGGTTGGAGTTTGATGGCAAGGAAGCAGGCTCTGTTCTCGCGCAGTATGCATAGTTGGTTCATATTCGTATCTAGCAATTTGCTGTCATGATTCACAGCTTTATACCTTGCCAATATTTGTCTTTATTAGCGGTATGCACTGGTTTCTTTCCAACTCATCAAAACTGCCTTCATCTGATATGCAACCTCAATCGAATAAAGCTGCTCCTGCCCAGTTCTCACTATGCTCCATATGAACCTTCACATCACCCCATACCTCTTCACCCTGGAGCATTTTCTTGATATCAGCGATAACCTCATGCCATCCCGTCTCGTCCGAGTCATAGTCTACCGAAACATAAACTGTATTTGGGTTGGCTTCGAGAGCTGGAAGCACCCCATGCCGAAAGAGACCAATGGTGCTCATGTGACCTCTGGTCGCTTGAAAGGACTCGAGGCACTCATAAACCTTGGGACGGACAGAGTCCCAGGTTGCACTAAGATGCGGATCGTCGATGCCAGTGTAGTAAATCGTCTGAGTAAGTTCCGGAGCGATGATTTCGACGGCGATATCACCGTCACGGATAGACGATGCCTTTTTCAGCTCCGTCAAGCTCGTGACCATTTCTTCCAAGGCTGCTTCCCAGATTGGTGTCTTTTCGGAGGACCAGGGCGCAACAATCAGGAGGGTTGGCCTCCAACTTCGCCTCTCAAAGTGAATTCCATCCTTCATGTCTTCGAAGGATGAGAAGAGGTGATGCTTTTGGGCGGTTTCATGCCCGATCTTGAGAACATCTTCGGAGATCTGTTGCATAGGGGCGGGTAGGCTGGCAGCTGACTTCTCTAGAGGCAGTGTACGAAGTATTGGCCAAGCGACTCGCTTCCAACCGGTAATGACATGCGACTCAGTGCTGTCTGATGCGGAATCCGTGGACGCCATGGTGGAAACTTCGGAAAGGGTTGATTCGCTCATCTTGTGAGAGGCAAATTTAAAAAGAAAAAGATGCAGGAAAATATAGCAATAGTTATGTCGCGGGCATTTTATACTCATAGTGCAACAACAAGGTTTAGCACACTTGTGATACTTCAGGAGTCTGAAGTTTAAGTACAGTTGCTTTCACGTCGTGGAGTCACACCTGAAGATAGTGAGTAACACGGTGATACAGGATTTGGTGGAATGAAGGGTTGGAAGAAGTCTAAAGCCGTGGAAATGGCCAACGAGCACATTTCGCCATCGAGAGAGAATTTACTCAGGCCACTGGGAGCAAGGGACTCTTTAACTTTAAACTGAAGTACCAATACTAGTTCGACTACAGCTTACAAAGTTTCATCAAATTCATTTCAGCCAATTTTTCATTTGTTCAAGATCTCAAGTCTTCATGCGTGCATCGCAGCCAAAAGCACCTCGCCACTCGTCTCAGCGCCGCCACAATACAAACTTCTGGTCCTCCACCCGGATGCTATGAGCACCACCGGGTACAAGGAGGGTTGAGCTTATTCCATTTCTCTAACTCCCTCGTGGTGATTGTTGCATAGAATCTATGAAATCTCTGGCTTCAATCAACAACTGGCATAACAGAGAACGGCAATACACAAAGCGGCCTTGTTTATTCCCGATCTAACTTTAGCGATCAACCTAGATTGTGGGGTAGATGATCTCCCCCACAGAATCTATAACAAGGGACGGAGAATCGTGGGGTATCTTCCGTTCGGGGCATTTAACTCGCATTGCTGCCTTAGCCTGTTTCAAATCTATGTTTCCGCGTATAACAAACTATAAAACTTCCATAACAAGGCCTAATTAAGCATTTGGATAGCTTACGTTACCTCCGCACAGCCAATTTAGGACTTCGACGTGGATACCACCTATGCCGAGTTGCCGAGCTCGGCATATGAGGCGGTCGCTCCGGATTCTAATTTTCCCACCTCTCTCCAGCTTTGTGTAGAGCAGTAAAGCTGTGATCCTTGCCTCGTTGAAAGAAGTTCAAAAGGACGATGATGTTCGCAATAAATAAACGGTTGGTTCTCATATAAACCTTTTTTAGTCGTCTACGGATACAACATGCGCTTCTCAACCATCCTCGCCTCAGTATTGCTTGCAGCGCCTATCCAGGCAGCAAAGCTATTAATCTGTTCTGATAGCACTACGGCAAACTATGCCACTGGAAATGCCCTACAGGGGTAAGTAACCCCATCCAAGTATAGGAACATTCGTCCTTACTCATTTATCATAATAGTTGGGGCTTTTATATCCAAGACTACACCACCTTGACGGTCTCGAACCTCGCCAAAAACGGCCGCTCGACTAGATCCTTTATCAACGAAGGTCTATGGAGTGATCTGTTGTCAAAGACAGCTTCAGGGGACTTTGTTGTTATTGAGATGGGTCACAACGACGACGGTGATCCCACTACATCTGACCGAGCTACCCTCCCAGGCACCGGCGAAGAAACCGTCACCGTCACCACCACCACAGGCAGCAAAGAAGTCGTGCACACGTTCGGCTGGTATCTGCGCAAGATGATCGCCGACGTCAAGGCCAAGGGTGCAACACCTGTCATCTCCGGTATGGTTAATCGCAATTACTGGACTGGCAACACGCTGCAGTCGAAGTGGCCTTTCGCGGACTATGCTGAGGCCGTGGCTAAAGCGGCTGGAGTCGAATACATTAACCATACAAAGTACTCTGTGGCATTGTTCCAGGCGATTGGTCCTACGAAGGCCAAGACTTATTATCCTAATGATAATACGCATACTAACTGGGATGGTGCAAAGTTGAACACACAGACTTTTGTTCAGGCTGTCAAGTACAAATGCGGCGGGACTAGTGTGCTTAAGAAGTATCTGAATGCAGCTGGCAATGCTATCAGTAGCCCGGCTCAACAGTCATGCTAGTGTAATTGACAGGGAAATGTCGAGGAGGGGATGTCACATGTGGACTTGATATTGCTCTATTTACATCGCTCGCATGGAGTCGGCCATCACTCATGCTGGAGCAAGCTGTCAGGCGTTGTGCTATAACATCCAAATTGTGAGCTAGGGGTCGTATATGCAGTCAAGGCCTATGATTGAGATCTTATGTACCCCAGATTGAACTTATTTGGGGCATCAACATCTATATCAAGACATCTTCTACAACTGGTTCTTCACTCTTCTCCTCTTGACTCCACCAGAGCCTTCTGTTCCAGCAGCCTCCTCAAGCTCTCGGGACTTTTCCATCCTCCTGTTGTCATTCCAGTAGTAAAATATCATCCCAGCAACAAGTACAATGCTAGCCGCGTAGAGGCACAAAATCTTGAGAAAGCCGTTCCGGTAGTACGGCGCGTCACTTTTCACAAAGATGTTCTGTCCAGCTAATCCTCCAACGTTAGACCCCGCAACGGCCAGCGCGAGACCGATGCACCGGACCTGCGGATCCTCAGTGTTGATACTGAACCACGCATCGTTGAGACTCTGAGATACCGCAACTCCTGAGCCCAGAAGTGTTAGGATAGCGTACTTCATCCAGACATCGGAGCTCCCGACAACAGCGAACTGAACTCCCGAGAAAACGAGTGAATACACGCCGCACAGCAGGCAAAGTGGTCCTCGATACAATGTCTTGTCGCTGACCCACGACACGAGAATTGCCAAGATGCAGACGCCAAAGTTACTGACGGCTGCCAGGAAACTCGCGGTAGATGCCCCGAAACCGAGGTTCTTGATAATCGTAGGCGTGTAGAAAACCAATCCTCCTTTGGGCGTGATGGAAATGACGTTAATGCCGAAATGGCCCCACATTGGGAAGCTGGTCAAGAGGATGCGTAGTGCAGTCTTGGGGCTGATGCCAGAAAGCTTCACGTGCTTGCGCGGATCATCGATAATGACGCGCTTGGCCAAGATGTCCCTCTCTTCGGCGTTGAACAGGTCGAACCACTTGACGCCCGCCAGCGGAAGCGTATTGGTTGTCGAACGAGGCATAATCAAGATGAAAACGAAGCCAACGGCCAGCGTGAAGAGACCATCGATGATGAAAAGCCACTGCCATTTCTTCAACCCGCTCGTCTCTGGAATTCTGAAAATCAGACCCGCGAGAAGTCCGCTTACACCCGCAGAGCAGTAATTCCCAACATACACCAACGTAGCCCTCATCGCCATTTCCTTCCTCGTATAAAAAGAAGCAAGGATCGTCAGTGCAGCAGCTAGGTATCCAGCCTCCCACATCCCCAACAAGAAGCGCGTGGCGTAGAAGCCGGGCTTGTTGTGCACAGCTGCTTGTGCCGTTGCGATCGTTCCCCACGCCAAGATCTGGATGATGAGCCATAGCGCAGGCCCGATTTTGGATAGAACCATGTTGAAGGGTATCTCGAAGATCACGACGGCTGCGAGCATGAGCTGGTTTCCCGTGTTGACATTGTCGTTGTTTATGCCGAGATCTTCAGTGAAGCTTGTTGTCATGGCGTAGCCGACGTTTCCTCTGTCGAGTTGCAGGGCGAACAGGCCGAGCATGAGCATTGGCAAGATTGTTAAGTCGATTCTGGTTGAAAGTGTTAGATATCCGACACGCGATATGGGGGGGAAATTGACGTACTTTCTTCGTAGCTTGACTTCAGCCTTTTCAGTCCAGTCGCAGATAGGTAGTTCACTCTGTGACTCCTCTACCCTAGTTTTTGCAGTAGAGGTGTCCGCTTGTGACTCATGTTGGGGCGCCATGGTAGCCATGGTAAGACACTGGAAGAGAATCGATTGGGGTAAAAGATACAGGTTTTCTGGGGGACATTTGTGATTTATAACCCACTGCATCAGGGTCAAGTTGAGTACGGGTGGCTAGCTGAATTCCCCGCTCCACTGACGTGGTGAATATCCATTTACCTGCCTTGAAATTGAGATGGCTGTTGAGGATCTGCACCATTGCAGTAATAAATGCACTGAATTGGGTTCAGTACTTTATCTGATCGCCGGCTTGCGGCCCGGGCTAACTACTGTGAGCCGGTTGTTCCAAGTTTGGTATAGTGGTTCACATCAGCTAATCACGACCCTGAAAGAGAGTGGAACTTGATGAGCTGCGGGGCTCGGTGATCAATGATCATCGCTTCAGAGATCAATTTTCGGATACTCTACACGTGAGCATCTTCGAGCCTGTGAGGTCCTATCAAAGCATGAAAGACTTCGCTTAAAGAATATGCCAGTCTCTTCCCGTTCATAGTGAAATAGAACCAATTTAAAATTCTTCCTGTACTCTGTTCGGGCACCCTCCCCTCAGGGCTTCCAACGAACCGCGTGCTGCCTAAACTACCAGTGTTGTGAGCAACGCTTAATAGAACAAAAGGCTGCGAATTGTCTGAAGCATTAGGTATTCTTGTACATAAACCTATATGATATCCTGCATCACAGCCAGCCATTCCGGTCGAAAATGGCCAGCAATCGTAGCATTGCAAAACTCCCAGTACTCTGGATACCATCCTGAGATCTCCCAGTCTATGATTACGACCTCATATCTCAAAAGCTCATCAGATCCAGTCTTCTTGACAAGAATATTTTTGGGCTGCAGATCCCCGTGGGTGAATTTGACTTGATGCTTGCATAATGTCGCACTCATGAGTGTCCGTAAGAGTTTGAGGTGTGCCTGAGGCGCAGTTTCCGCTAGCCGCTTGAGAATACCTTCATTGAGTTCCTCTTCTGTGTTGAAAGGACCCGAGGTGGCTGAGTTCTGGTCTGGGGTCCAGAAGACTCCATCTGTGAGGGGTCGCCAGTTGAGAGAGCCCAGATAAGAGGGCGGCTCAAGGTTGCGTAAGTCTTGTAAAGCTGCACGAAGTTGGTTGGTAATTTCAAGCTTATCGGGCGCTGCGAGCGACGGTCAGAGATCTGCCAGGCTCTTGTCGTTGATGTACTCCATTACGATGAAGTTGATCTCGGTCTCTGGCTCCACCATCGACGCATAAACTTCTGGTACAGGAACCTTGCTGTTGGATGACAGGAATTTGAGGGCTTCGGCTTCGTCGGGGGAGACTGTATGGCCGAACTTGACCGCGAACTTTTCCCCAACTTTGACAACAGTAGCTGAGGCGTCAGGGGTACTGAGGACTTCGGTGGATGCGCGTATTTCCGCGATCGTAGGAATTAGAGGTGCCATTCCGTCTTATGGCGGGACAGGTAGATGGAGGAGATTGAGAGATGAAGGCTTGAAAGAGAAGAGGCGGAGCGGGAAATCAGTGGAGAGGCGTTCCCCTATATTGACCAATCAGATGACTGTTATCCTAACCATAAATCTCAACTGCAAATAACACATCTAGCTAACAACTTGGACTTTATGCCATAGTGTCTGAACAATTGCTACAGCACATAGCTAAGGACCCATGAATTCATGACAAGTGAGCTGTGGCGTTGATGCCAACTGACAGAGGAGGGCCAAGACCCAGGAACCGGTCGGGAAGCCGCAACACTAGAGAAGTAGGCACGAAACTGCCAATAGCAGAAGCACGAGGACTCTGAATCACTGATGCGAAATACAATAAGGCACCTACCTAGTCAAAGACTTTACTAAACCTATCCTATAGTATCCTAAAGTATCCTAAGATGTCCTAAGATTTCCTAAATTTATCTAAATATTTCCTGATTTTATGGTTCTAGTTCTTTTACTATACTCGCCTCAAGCCGTGGCCTGCATCGTGCAAAGAATCGCTTCGCCGTTGAAGGGTCGACTCTACTTCAATGTCCTGCTCCCGCCTCTGTTACGCGAGGCATTAACTCCTACACCGATGAAGATGGCAACATGGATGAGATGATGACTGAGTTGCTGGAGATTTTCTTTCGCGTTAAGCAACTGCTTGTCAAAATCCTGGCAGTTTGGGATAAGATATCTAGGATTGTTAATAAGATCGCCAAGTCTGTCAAACCACCATTCCCTGGCTCAGGCGTCCTACTTGCTCCTCTCGCCATTGTTACAATCTCCAAGTCACGCCTCAAGACCTGCTTCAACTATATGGTCAAACGATCTGAGATGATACTGAACGAACCCGAACATGAACAGCTCCAGAACTAGTGGCCTTGGTGCTCCTTCGCAAATGGTGTTTCTTACGTCGAGTTCGTCACAACGCCCTCCCAACCTTATTCTGATGCTGAAGCACTTGTCAAAGTAAAGAAATATCGATGAACTGAATGCCAAGCTTGTCCTACTGTGACGGAAGTTGGAACAGTCCAAGGTAGCCTTTTTAGTGTTATGTACTGATCTAATTATTTACATGTTGTCCCCCTCTTAAACCTGTCGATCTTCCTAAAATGGAAGATATCGAGGGTCTGCTTTACGAGGCTCATAGCTAAATGCCTGCCAAAGTATGGTGCATCCCATCGGCTCCCAGTCGACTAGCCATGTCTTCCTTAACAAGCAGTGGCGGAGGAATTCCTGTTGCTCAGCCCAGCCATTCACCCATTTCTACCCCGCGCAGTAATAACCAATATTATGCAGGCAACGGTATTTCAAGGCTCTAATTGGACCACGTATACCGCAATCCGAGTTATTACATTTACAATACAGCCTCATTATGCAGTCATACTGCACTGCCACTGCTGCTGTATCACCAACTGGCCGGAGCCCAACTTGGAACTTGGGCAGCATACCGTCTTTAAACGAGGCTCTGTGCCCTTTCACCAAAACTCGACAACTTCCTCGGTATTTCCCACAACAACCATCCCGAAACTTATCCTGAGTCCCATTGCCAACATGGCCGAAGCTTTCGGGATTGCCGGCAGCGCCTTCGGAACGGTTTCTCTAGGACTTCAGCTATTCACCGAGATATCTAAATATCTCAACAGCATTGAAGGCCGGGATGAAGATCTTGAGCGCGCAAAGAACTATGCCCGAGACTTTCAGTCATCCCTAATCGCGCTGGAAACCTGGGCTTCCAACACGAGAATCAGTGACGCCGACCTTGAAAGAGCGATCAGCCAAGGACAGGCCAATTGTGTGGCCGCCATCAACGATTTGTCGAAAACAGTTTCGGACTTGAAAGGCCAGGATCCTATACCCAACAGTCGCACTTCAAAGGCCCGGTTTCTTTATGTCAAACTAAAATATCCATTCAAAAAGCAAAACTTGGAGAACTTGGAGAAACAACTATTCAATACCATCAGCATTCTACAGTTTGCCCTAGTTATTTTGCAAGCGTAAGAGAACTGCTACCAGCCTTACTTTGGATGAATGCTAAGTCCAACGATCAGAAGAAGCATCCATGTTACCCAAATGTCCATCCAAGATATACAACAGATGCTTGGCAATATATTCACTCGACCTTCCGAGACTTATCAAGCAAATTTCAACAATTCACCGCTGCATGTGGTTGAGAATATCGTTGAAACGGCTGTCGACAGCGCCATTTGTTTGCAAGATCCAACGTCCAACACACCGGTGTCCGAAATTCAGTCAACGAGATATCAAAATGGGAATGTTTGGACGATTAATTCCCTCTGCGTCTGCCCGAAGAGCTATAAACGGCGCGAACGGCGACAGTGGGGTCCTTTCATCGTCGAAAACGAAATGAGCTTCACTGACTATCACTCACCTGGGTGCCCACTTTCAACGCAGGAACCCCTGAAAGAACAAACAAAGCGTACATTAAAAGTTCCTCTGCCTTTTACTGAAGGACGCTGGAGAAACACCACCCAATTTTCGCTAATTTTTACTGCGGGTACCAGAGGGATAAGTTTCGGTCAGAATCTTACCTATGTTGCAACCGTCGACAGCGACCAGTCCCCTTCCTTTAAGATTGTAGAAGTAGCGACTAGGGGTCTAGATTTCCTTCAAGTTATCGACCGCGAAACATTCTTATTGTCATGTTATAGGCGACTCAAGTGGTGTTTTACCAACAGAAGAGCATCAATTACTGATGTGGACGAGTATGGTTGTTCGATTGTCGATCGCCTACCGTCCCTTGTATGTTATATATGCTCCTAACGGGACTAATGCTGACTTTGCCGCCACTAGATTCGTGATTCTGGTAAACTTTATTTCACCAATGAAACTCTCCAGGCCTTTTATATGCTGGCCCCTTTTATTAATCCCGCCACACATACGCTGCGACGAAAAAGGTATGTCCTTATCAAATAAAAAATATATAGGTATTTGGTGGAATTTATTCTACAGAAATAGGATCGTTAATCTCAAAAGCCTCATAGTTCACCACTTCTAGCTCAACTTTGCCAAAATGTCATAACTCCTGATTCCGAAATGTCTGGCGAAATGATCAGTTCTCTTCTGTTCAGGTCTGGTGACTCTGCTGGTCAAGATTGCAAGTCTCTCTTCTCTTCCAATAGTCTTCTGGAAGAGTTTCACTTAGCAAGAGACTTCCCAGAAATATCAAATTGTGAGTAATCTACCCTCAGATCCTCGTGGCCAACCTTGATTCTTAGGTAATTGCTAACCTTGATAGACCTCGAATTTGGTCAGCTTAGTAGGCTCGTTCTCATGGAAGATCAAGACGGGCTCAAAGAATTTCTGGAGAAGTATCCGTCATCTATCAATGAGATCAATCATCTTGGTCAGACCCCAATACATATCGCGGTTCAGACTCAGAATGCGAGGATCTTGAGCATGCTTGTCAACCATGCAGATGGCAAGGTGCTAAACACTAGAGATAATAACGGCCATTACGCAATCGACCATGCGATCGACGCATTATGTCATGTCCGGAAGTCTGGAAAAGAATCAGGATCGACAGTATGTAATGGCTGCGAAGTCCTCAACGTACTGCTCCGCGCTGAGTCGGCGATTTTCACAAATTCTGTCCAACTAGCCATGAAGCTACCGCGGGACCACGACACCCGCGTCTGCATAGAAGGCCAAAAGAACATCGTCCGGAGTCTCGCCTCCCGAAGGAAAGAGCTGAAAACATTAGCACAACGAGAGCTCACTCCAGCAGAAAGCCAAAAATTGAAATTATACCAAGCCGGTCTTCTGGATAAGAACGCGGCCCCAACCCAGCGGCTCTTGGAGGCAAAGAAATTCAATGTTCCAGTTCATCTCAAGGCGTGCGACAATGAGAATCCGAATGATTCCAGATCAATCTACCTGCTTATCTCCCATGGCGATGTTGCTGAGTCTGCAAAACAAAGTGGCTTCCTTATGCCAAAGACTTTATTTCATGACGTCTTTCGCTTACTAGCAGAACAGCTAAACTCTAGTCAACCCATCTATCGTCAACAAGACTTCTTGTTTGCATCTTTTATCTGTTGGCTGGTTGATCGTGGGGGAGACCTCTACTCCTTTGTCCCGACTCTATGGGGCCGTACAACAGCAGCGCACTACTTCATGGCCTACCTCGGCACGAGCCAACTGTCTTTTGATCGTGGACATCGCGTCCCTCTATCTACAAAAGTCTCAAGCACCATTTTTGAAGAACATAATGTAGACGACTGCCGATGCCAATGTTCCCCGAAAGGATGCACGCCTTTGACCAAATTCCTAGCTTTCATAACTTGGCAACAAGATTGGGTTCTTAAGCTCGGGATTGCCAAGACCATAAGTTTTGTCCTTGAGCACTTGGAGTATATGTGTGATCTGCTACGCCATATTGGCTACGACCTAACCAAGGAACATTGGTTTGACAGCGCGGCTGTGCGCAACGCCACATTTTTTATTCTTGATCTTCGCCATACTTGTTGCTGCTTAGGTGATGGTTTTCGTAATCACGCCTCTGGTCCATTATCGACAGCAGATCGCCGCGAGATTGAAGAGGAAGACAGCCCGCGACTGGAGCAATTTGAAAAGCTCGTGATGGATTTTGGAAGAGAGCGTAGTAACTATTCTGAGCTTTTATCCTTTGCACGAGAGTATTGGGCTCCTAAGATGCAGGCTGTTCATCAAGAAAATGATTCATATGTCCTGACCGAGACTCAAGTACAATCAGCTGAGGCAGTGGGAGTCGTATGGGAATGTAATGGCCCACAGCTTCCACCGTCTACTGATATCCTACCGGGTGATCAAGAGACGGAAGAGGAGATAAGTGAACTGGAGAAGCTTCTTACGGAGCTAGATAAAATTGCTACAGATCCTGAAAGACCAAGTCTTGTATGAAAAGGGTTAGTATTTAGTAGTGATGTTAATTATTGTGGAATTGATTTTTTGGCTTTGCTGTATAGTGATTGAAACTCAGATTGATTATTCAGTTAAATCATGACACATCCAGAGGAGCTCCATGTGGTGGCATTGAAGGATTTTGCAAAGATCCATAATAGTGACATGCTCAACGCAGCTTTGGGTGATTATCAAGGAGCACCCTCCGGGTTGTCTAGGGCCCTTCGGTACTAGTAGGAGGTCTTTTCCTGTCGAACTTACAGTCTTTCTCATCAACTTCGGGTATTTGGTTGGGCTCAATAAGCAAGCTAGGGAAAAGAAACTCAAGACCTTGATCTTAAACCATGAAAAGACTTTGGTAAATTAGTATATGCTGAGGCCCAATTTTGGATACCTTTTGCTGAGTTGAGATAAATGAAAGAGTGAACATATCTCCCATACTGGCCCAAGCATCCCTTGCCTGTGCTTGGCACTGCCAGCTGGAAATCTATCACCGCATGACAGCGTCATCTCACCCTGAATCTTAGGATCACGTGAGCCCTCCTTTCAAGAAACTTCATTTCTTCTCGGTATCTCAGGCAAAGCGCCTCCAGTCTTCACTTCTCCGCAGCAACCAGTACAACATCGCCCTCAGCTCTTACGCCTTATAACACCGCGACCACCTCGGAACTGTTGGCGACACTGATACTGTGATAGCCTGAAACCCAAGGACATTCTTTCAACTTGTTCTCTTGTTACATTTCAACGAGCGCCTGCTCAGTGGTAAGTTGTGTTCACTCCTCTCACATCTCCGCGCTAACTAACGTCGCTCATCAGTAGCACCGCTATCATGCCTCGAGAGCCGCCTCCATGGAGAGGTGCGCGCACTATCATCGAAGGGAAGAAGGCCGCTCTCGTGAGTGAAGAAGGTATAGTCATCGCAAAGACGGTCGGAAATCTTCACGGTGGAGGTTACTTTGATGAGGACCGACATCCCAAAGGCGAATGGATCACAACCAGCGTCCTGAACCGCGGAACTCTCATTTGGGACAGAGACCGTTTTCATCCTCTCGATCCTCTAACTCGATCGATGTATGCGTACCAGTCTGAAGAATCTTGCGATGTTTCGATTCCAGTACGACTATTGGTCGGTTATTCTGCGTACACGCTGGATCCCGTTCTTGCGAGCGCGCCTATCAGGGATCTTAACGTATACCCGGATACCAATGATCTGTGTGGTTTGGAACTCGAAGTTCGTTCTGAAGGGACTCTTTGCCAATCTGAGGTCATTCTCCATCATGCTCTCACCGTACCCGGGAATCTTCGCGCGGTGAAGCACCTTTTGATTGAGGAGGACTGGGAGAAAGCGTTTGCCGATGGAGACATCACTGTCGAGCACGCGAAGGGTCTGGCTTTTGAGTCAGCTCGGTCCCTTCACGATGGACAAACTCCGATCGTCGTGGCTCGTATTCAGCCACCAACAACCATGCAAGTTCCTCATCGAATCTCACCCAATCTCCAACAATGCGTCGATTCTGGCCGGCTCCATGGGCCCAAAAATCGCCGCTATCACGAGATACTTCCTTCCATTTCGCAGCATCACTACATCAACTGTAAGCCTGCGACATTTCTCTACCGCGCCCCTTACGTTTCCAATATGAGATACCCCGCTAGGCTTTACTCGGATCTGGCTGCTTTCGCCAAAGCTCATACTAGAGACAAATTCAACGCCACCGCCATGCTCTTCGCTACTGAGCTCTGGGTCACTATTTCTGAGAGCCCCACCAGACGTAGAGAGCCATATGCTAAAGAGCCAGTTCCTGAAGTTTCTCTGGCAGTCTTCCTGGTTTATTTTGAACACTGGTTGAAGATTCATGAACATCTTCAGTGTATTGCTTTTGCTCACCCTTTCCGGATCATACAGCTCATGTACACCAACGATATGCTGACAGAGGGTGGTATTGCATTTCTCGTTGATGAGTCCGCTATTGATTCTGACCGAGTGCGCAATCTTATATACGAGGCTGAGGTGATTGATCCTAACGTTATTGTTGACGAACGTGTGGATATTTTCCCATTCATGGTCAATGGTACCAAGATGGTCCTCCCCCAAGACTACTCCGGCACGTTTCGTCTATCTCCGACTGAACAGGCGTTGCTTGGGATGCCCGATCTACGAATTCTGAGTCACCCATCACTACCGACCACGGACGGCGTCGAGATCGAAATCGCCATTCCCGAAGCTATTGTCCAGATCACCTTTTGCAACCCCAACACGAGCGACTTCCCCTACACGAACTACTTCTTCGATACAACCAAGGATGGTCCGACATCTCTGTTCGGAAGCAGCCTGAAGTCCGGCACTATTTGGACACACGAGTTTCAGATGTATACACGCCCGTCAGATCTCCCGACTGAAGCATACTTCAAAGAGAATATGTCTGACGCCTGGTCTCAACTTCTCAATCGGCGCATGGCCTGACTTTAGACGCTTGGTGTGCTAGGCAAAGTTCGTGTTCGAGTCGGTGAAGATGGTTTACCTGGCTATCACGGCATGCCATCGGAGGACGAAAGCCGCAGGATTGATGATGCAGCTATGGAAAAGATGGCGGAACGCGCGCTGGAGGATCCGAGGAATAGGCTTGTTGACGAAGCCAAAGGGTATGGAGGATGGTGCCAAGAATCGAGCGGTTCTTCAGATGATGAATGAGGAGCTCAAGGTGAAATGGTACATGATATTGTTATTCAGCAGTGTTGTTTGTATTTTGGCTGTATGGAAGGGCATTTTTTTAGGCTCGCCGGGAACCACGAGGCATGTGACGGTCGAAAACGCTGGAAGGAAATGATCGAAGAGAACCGTGGTTGTGCGACTTGTGGATGCAACAGGGAATGAATACCGGCATGTTGATTGAGGCTGGCAATCTGGTAATGATCTCGGTATGTACTACAATCTAGCTATCAAAATGAATGAGATACAATGCGTTAAGGTTATGCCATGTTCACACCGTAACTCTAAGTGTGTGGATGGCCAACGGAGTGTCACGGTCAAATAGTAAACGGAATGATTTCGAGCCGGTAGCTAATCCAACCCTATGCATCAGTGTTTTGGAAATAAGATGAACAATGAAAAGTCAATTTACTCTCTATGGAGCTTGGATCAGAAGATGGAGTTATCTCCACATGAGAAAACACCCCCAATGCCATCCTTGTTGCTGGCAAAGAGATCTAGCAGCTCAGTGATAGCCGCCCATAATCCACCCGCATTCATGAACAGTGTCAGTGCAATCATGACAACATTTCCCACAGTAAGCAGCCCTTTCTGCCACGTTGAGAAATAAAGTCCCTTGTTAAGATGCAGCCAGAAAATCGCTGCAAAGCCATATGTAAACCACGGGATCGTCGTAGCAGCCGTAATCGACAGAATTGAGTCAAAGATAGGGATGACGTTTGAGATGACAAAGATCAGAACCCAAAATCCAGTCACGGACAAGATCCAAGTGACCCAGGACTTGACGCTGTTATCGGTGACTTGGTTGGTCGCACGCATTTGACGCATCGCGGTAACGTAGACGTATTTGCAGCCTGTATGACCGATTGAGAGGGCTGTTGCTACGACGGCTGGGAGGATGATTCCGTAGGCGACTTTGGCGGGAATGGAGGATGCGGCTGAGAGGACGGGGGATGTGGTGAGATCGCCAGCGAGACAGTAGAGAGCCACGGCCATAGCGATGTAGAAGAGGGTGCTAACGATCTCGAGGACTGCGAGGGCGAAACGGAAGTCTTTTGCGGGATCTCGCATTTCGGCCATGTATGAGCTGTCTAGTGTCAGTTTGGTTCAACCGATATTGAAGGAGGAAACTTACGGGAATGTGAAAGTGCCAGCGTATGAGAATACAACACGCAAACAAGCATTGAGACCATCGCGAAACGTGGGGTTTCCGACGACCTTGATCTCCTTATGCCAACCTTCCGGCGCAGTCGCAGGTCCCGAAACAGCCAAGCTGATCAAAACGATCAAACAAGCCGCCACGACACTAACAGCATTGGGAATTCCCGCCTTTGACACAAACTTCATCGTTCTTGGTATCGACAAGATATAACACGCGATACACGCCACAAGAATCCAGATGACAGTACACGTCGCATGACTACTAAGCGTGTTCAGCGCCACGGATAGCGTGACTGTAGCTGAAGCGACGATGAAGACAACTTGGATCATCATGACGAAGCCGGCGAAGGACTCAAACCATGGGCCGCCGACGATGCGGGTCATTTCGACGATGCTGACGACGTTGGGGTGTTTGCGGTAGAATTGGAGGAGTTCGTACGCTGCGTACCATGATAATGCGCCGATGCCGAGGATTGCGATTATGCCGGGTACGATTCCGAGGGTTTTTATCGTTGAGGGGAGAGACAAGATTCCAAGACCGAGTTGGTTTGTGAAGAGAATCAGGACGGTATCCCATCGTCCAAGGGTTCTGTAATTCTTCCCGCCTTGATCAAAGATATTGCCCTTTTCCTCAGTACCAGCAGGAACAGCCTGGAAATCGGCCTCATCTTTTGGTGGTTCTGTGTCTGAGGCGCTGGACTCGGGAGGATGAGATGTCAGTGGTGAAGGCTCGACAGGCTTTTTTGAAAACTTCATGATGCCCATTGTGAGGTGCTACGGTCCTGCGTAGCAGACGACGTTGAAGGGGGAGAATGAATTGGGAAAGGAGGTAGAAGGTGAAAAGGGAAAGTCAATGGAAGGGTCGTGGGCAGACTTGACGTTATTAGCGGCCCGTCGTTCTCCATATTATCACCCTTTTATGTTATACCCCAGGCCGAAGAGACCTCCGATCGGAGGTTGTAGCGGGAGCTATGATGTACATTTTTGGTGGTTCGATGGGGAAGAGTGAGCTCCGGGGTCCAATTACAGGTGTAGCATTACAAGAGATGGAATTACTCAAGAGGATAGCTTGTCGTAGAGACCCCGTGGGGGAAGTGAAGCTGTTCAGTTCATTACGTTATGAACTTGTCTGTAACACAAGATAGGAAGGTCCCTTGACGAGAACTCAAAGGTAGGTAATCTCAGAAGATGCTGATGTTTTGTAGATACATCCCCGCCGATTGGTCCTCGGCCACCCCGGCAGCTCCGCCGGATGGAGCACCGGAACAGTGGGGCCTTTGCCTCCGTCAACCTTTCAATTTTGCAGCCAGTGGAGCATTACGTATGTCCGAGTATCCGGCCCTGACTCCGTACGGCACTTAATCCCAATCATCTCGCCACTATTGACTTTTTTCCCGCTTCTGTTAGCATACCGGTTTCACTGGAATAGAGTTTTTAAGGTTATGTCAGCCTTGACTTTCACAACATCTGACAGTGGACCCCCCTCGTGTTTTGTGGTTATTTCTTTTACGTAGAAAATGGAGTCGAAAAGCTGGGCATTTACATACGCGAAATCCACATTCGCGTTCCGATCGGAGGTTGACGGTGGAGTTGGCTGACATGATGAAAACTAGGATGGAAGAAAAAAATTGCTTCTACGAAATGTTCTACGGGCCGCGTGAAGATCCTTGCGTAACGCGACAGGACTGCTTTGAGCTAGAGGGCGGATTGAGATGAGGCGGGTTTGTGGTTATTTCTGGAATTTAAATGTCCGAGACCGTTGGAGCTTAGGCTGGAGGGGGAAGGTAAGCCGCAAAGAGCGAGATCCGTGGTCAGCGCCCTTTTACTGCCAAGCTTGTCAAGTTGCTGTGAGGCGAGCGGTGGTCCGATGTTGCCTTGGCGATTTCAGCGACGGTTTCTTTCGCGCAGTATGGACGGGTGACTAATCATCATGTAATTCTCAACTGTCATCACCGTACACATGTTTCATTGCCGGATGTCGCGAGTTGGCAATACTGGAGTGGGAGCGGAATTTGGGTGTCTGCAAGGTAGTCTGTGACACTGGCGATCGAGTCTGTTGATCTGATAACCTTATTTCTCATCCTTGTGGCGTTTCATACACTGCAGAAGGGAGATGTTACCATGTTAGAAACATTTTTGACGATGCAACGTTCTTGCATACGCGAATGATCTATGTTTCGGGGATGTTGTCGTTGGTCAGTGGAATTGAACCTTGTTTGAGTCAGTACTGCTCACTCCCGGAAGATCTAAACATTTCTTCTCCCTCGCATGGCTCTAGGATGTATCCAAAATTCATCAGTTGCGAGTAGTTTCTTATGTCGTAACAGCGTTCTCGGTGAGCATCGGGGCATCAACTCAATTGGTCAATGTCATCATATCCCTACTGGACAAATATCATATGGCTCATATGGCACCACCTTGGACAGCGAACTTTTTCCTACCATTCGTATTGTCCCTTTTCATCTGAACTTGACCCAATCCCGACACTCAATCCCTTGAATCTCGGCCCAAGCCACATGTCAATTTAGAGCTTCCAACATCCGAGAGCGACTACTCGACAGTCCCACGGCCAATAGCAATGAGCCTCGACAGCTAAAAGTTGCTTACGTGTCGCATCAGATATGGTGCTTAATATGACGAGTCTGTAATGAGAAGAGCTTCCCCAAGTCGATTCTAAGAAGTCAGCACCAGCATATAGAAGATGGGTTACATCAAGAAGAATTTCCTGTCCTATCATCTACTAAGCTTATACCATATGTGTTCCTTAGGACATTCCCGTCAGCCATAATTGGATCTCTTGAAAGGTGGCTGCCACACGATCTGAGCCGAGTGCGAATATCTTCCCGACTCCGTCAATTTCTCACGTCAGCGAATCGCACACTACGAAAGAGTTCTGAGCGGCAAGAAAACTTAGAATCTCTATCCCAAATGACAAAAGTATTTAGGCAAGTTTAGTATAGTTTTAGCTGCCTATTGTCTAATTCTTTTTAGCACCCAAGCTCAGGGTCAGATGCTTTCTGGCTCCCTGAGCGGAACTCCGTTGGGCTCATAGATGCACCGCAGACTTGCTATAAGTAACCATATCCCACCAGATAAAATAATGACATACCATCACCATCAGAACTCACATCAAAATGTCTGAACTTCCGACATACGCCAAACAACAAGAATGGAGAGATATCCAATCTTTCCTCCCTGAACGTCTACACTTCACACCCGATCACTCTCCCACCGAGGAAGTATGGCATCACCGCGGCCACGCTCTCCATCTCGACAGATGGCGCAATTCCTCCGCCAGCGTCAGACTCATAATGCATCACGGTATGGGAACCAACGGACGCATGATGTCAATGCTTCTCGGCGTGCCCCTCCACAAAGCAGGGTTTGAACTCGTCGCCATCGACATGCCAGGCTATGGCTGCACAGTTCCGAAAAAGGGCCATGTTTGGGATTTTGCGGAGTGGGTCAATATTGCGAGTGAATTTGTGGCCCATGAGTATGAGAGTGATAATCGGCCTATTGTGCTCTATGGATTGAGTGCTGGGGGTGGTCTGACGTTTCATGTTGCGGGGATGAATGAGCGTGTTAGGGGGATTGTGGGCATGTGTTTCATGGATATGAGGATCCAGAGTGTTGCTGACGCTGCGTGTCGGAATCTCTTCATGAGTCGTATCGGTGCGCCAATGGGGAGAGTGATGCACGCTCTCGGTCTAGGATGGATGTCGATGCCAATGTACATCACCGGTCGAATGTCAACACTCGTCAACAATCCCCAAGCACTCGCAGCTTGTATGCGCGACAACAGCTCGGCAAACGCATGGGTATCGATGGGCTTTTTATCTTCGTTCACAACGTATAAACCAGCCAAGGAACCGAAGGACTTTGATACGTGTCCGATTTTGTTGACGCAGCCTGCGGAAGATAGGTGGACGCCTCTTTGGGTGTCGGAAGCTTTTTTGAAGGATGCTGATAAGGTCAAGGTCAAGACTGTTATGTTAGAGGGGGCGGGACATTACCCGCTTGAGGATCCAGGGTTGGGGCAGATGGTAGAGGCGATTGTTGCGTTTTTGAAGGATATTGAGCAAGCAGCGTAAGCCGCCGTGATGATATTGAGGGGTCAACTGGAGATCAAGACCCAGCACGAAAACTTAACATATAAGGGATGTATTCTTTGTTCTCGCCTGATAACTACCTTTTAGTCGGAAGACTGAGTGGAGGAGATATTGGGAGATTCTGCTTGGTCTTGTCTTTCGTTACAGTATTGTACATCCCCGTCCGATCTCGGTATCTACGTCATTATCTCCTGAACCACCCTCAAACCCTTCTTCACTTGATAACAGCAATCTTACTTTCCTCTGATTGTTCTTATCAATATCATCGAACCCCCTCCTGACCATTTTGACATCAGAAAAGTAATTCAGACCTGGGAAATCAGTCTGATACTCCACGAGCAACTCCTCAACTTCTTCGCGTCTGTAATCATCTAACGCAGCCAACGACAGCGCGAGAGGCGAAGCCACCGCAGAAGCTGCAATCGGGCGATTATAACTAGCAGCTCGGCCTAATACAATACTCTCATCAACATAGCGCCTAGCATCCGCTACAAGAACAGGATCGCCATCGTAGGACCGTAAAATACGGTTCAGAATAGTAGCCATCGACAGTATCACGGCGATCGCTGTATGGAAACGCATCCCCATTCTTCTCTGAAGAAACGTTGATCCAGATGCTTTTGCTTTAGCGACTGCTTCTTCAGCTGCTCTGATAAGCCTCGGATGTTCTGTCTGGATAAGAGCATATGTGCACTGGATTTGGTAGAGGTATCGATCAGGATCACGGATGAAGCAGGACATTTCACCCATCGTTCCGATATTGAGGCTTGCGAAAGAGGTGCCGTCTCCTGATTTGAGAGGGCGTGCTGCATCGCCAAGGATAGAGAGAGCTTGCCAGAACCATGGGCCGAGTTGGATATTCAGGTTGGTGAAACTCTCGAGGACCTGATACTTGTGAGGACATGGTGAGAAGTAGGGGGATGGGACTTACCACAATGGAGAATATGGTTTGCATGAGCGGCTTATCGGAGGGGTCAAATTGAGACTTGAGGGTGGCGTTCTGAAGCAAGTAGGCGAGCACTTCATGGTGCTTCGAATTGACACTGCCCGGACCAGTGACACCACTCCCACCACTACCAAGCCATTCCTATGAATATCCTAATTAGAATTTGCGTGCCGCACAGAGTAGAATACATACCTGGCAGATCGATATCAAGTAGATCGAGCACATATTATCCGCCGAAAACGCCTGCTTAGGATCCTGCATCGACTCCCTCAACACCCTCAACGCAAAAACATACTTATCCAACGCATCAACCTTTGAAGCACTCCTATCCTTCAACGGTCCAAAACCCGTTACAAACGCCGCGATAGCTGCATCGAGCGGTTTACTCGACCCGACGTGGCGCGGCAAGTCTTTGACGAACCAGCCATACGTTGAGATGTCATAGCCTGGGTTATCGAACTCGAGGATATGCACCAAGTTACCCGCCACTAATGTCTTGTCATTACTCAGCGCCGAAGACGGCCCAGCTACTGCTTTGGTGTGTTTCTTGGCAGCTTGGTTGTTCTCGGACTTGAAGAGGAAGCGCTTTACACCGATGCCTGTGCATTGGAGCTTGAGGCGTGTGCATCGCGCACAAGCGGGTTTAGCCTGATCGCACTGATTTCATCAGCACCGTCATGCATCCATATGTTGTCATGGCGTACCTTTTTCTTCTGCTTACGGCACGCGTCGCAACCTTGAGCTTTAGGAACGCCGGCCATCGCAGGGTTTTACCTCAATTGAACGGGTTTGATGCTTTGTGCAGGTACAATTATCCCCCGCTTACTCTCGCCAAGCAGCTAAACTGTTTGAGACGCGCGGCTTAATAATGATTTGCACGACATGACAATGATATCCTGCGGCTTCTACGTAGTTCTATCGCTGAGAATCAATACTATTGTATCACTGAGAAATACACCTGGATAACAATGGCTGCGATATCGACTCTCTCCAAAGAAAGAATAAATAAGACTCTCAACCCAATCTCTCGCTTCAGAAAGCCAAGACTCGCCTTAACAAATCATGACGACGAATAAGATGAATCGCAGCGTACACTGCCCCATACTAACCGCTTCTGGCCTCATAGCGCGCTGATCCCAGCGAATACCTTATTAAGCTTGAATTAGCCTCCTGATCGAATTCCTTGGCTTCAACACAAACTTTGAATTACGCGTTTCTCCCTGCATAAGAATTGAGAAAACACCGCGGAGAAATGGGAACCACGAGATTCTTCGGTACCTCGGCAGTTTCCTATTCTGAACCTCGTGTTGGTCGTTTCAGAGAATGTCAAACCAACAGCTTAACTGCGGATGATCGGCACAGCCTGACTCCCGTCCAATAGAATCGTCGGAAATCGTCATGATACGAGATGAACACCCCGGCATTTGCACTAAAGTGACGACGTAGAATGGACACAGCCACAAAGGATTCTCCTACTGTCACATTTCACTGTTGGACCAACAGCATAGTTATGCAGGTGCCTGGTCGTTCAATTCGTCCGGGCAATTTTCACCGTGGGCGCCAAGATGTTTTTAGCAGCATGCCAAGCTCGCTTGGCTTGTTGAGGGGGGACGGGGGAGTCTTTAAGGAGGGTTTTGCTGTTCACATTCTGTATTGTTTTCCCTTGAAATTACTGGCAGACGCTCTCTTGAGGTTTACTTTGTTCCTGATCTCAGCTGAGCCTGTTAATCCCTCAGCTTTGCCTTGCCAGTTAGATCCCTTCATGTTTCGCAGGTGACGCTATTCACAATGGGCATGGCGCCCCTTAACGCTGTTGACCACGTGGTGGGTTCTGCTACAGCCGCTGTTGTTTTCACGACGGTATCACAATATGTCCCCTCAAGACGGCTGGAGCTGTGCTCTGAGATTGTCTGTTGGGTACTTCTGCCTTTTCTTATAAAGCATACTGCTTTACCAAACATCCGGCCGTCTTCGCCGTTACTGAATGATCCGCAAAAACAGCGTCATTCGTCTTTGTCGCAATGGCTTGTTGCCTTGGGTATCGCAGCTGCGGCTTTTTACAGGGCTGAGAGTATGACCATTGGTTTCTACGTAAGTTATACGGGTTACTAATCCGGTGAAAACATGCTGACTCACTGGAGCCTCTCTTGACGCCTCTTCTCCTTACACTACAGGCGTACTTTCAATCAAGCATATCATCTGATCCAATCCCTACCTCACCCCTCATCAGTACCATCAAAGGAACCACACTAGTCGCTATCCTTTCGGCATTCTCACTTTCAAATGGGGATCTCTTCGGCTCCCTCATATCGATCATATTAGTGGCTTCTCTCTTTATTGTCTACAGCGTCATCAGTCCTGGCTTCAAAGTGAAAATATTATCGCTTTCATCAGTTGACATCGAGACAAATATCAAGGCCATCGCAGGCCGAACGATAGTCCTCCTTTTCGTTGCGGTGGCTTTCCAATCGTTTATCCTCGGACCTCCAAACAGCAATGTCATTCTCGTGCTCTTTACGGGATCAGTTAAGGCCTTGTCTTGGTTCTTTACCATTCGGGTGGTACGTAGACCTGTCGGCCATTTTGTACACAGACACTAACAAACCCAGGCACGACAAACCTCTTGGTGCATAGCTACCACGATAGGAACATTCGCTCTCGCATGCGCCAGAAACCCCTTCTCACAAACCTCTCAACTTCAAGCCCTGTCTCACGTCGCAGTCTCGGCACTCACCCTTCATCAAACTACTCAACTCCTCCCTAACCAATCCAAAGGCAAGGCTCTCCTGTGGTCCTGCTTGTTAGCATCCATTATTCCCTATCTCTACAGCGAATACATGATCCACGACGCAACATCCTCATCATCCACCACATTCATCTCCCAATCTCACCCCATCAAATTATTAACTCAAGAAGCAACCCCAATCTTCGAAAGGAAACTTAAAAACCAATCTCGAACATACCCAGCAGCAGTGAAGCAGTACAAACAGCGATACGGTCTTGATCCACCACCTGGTTTCGAAGCATGGTTCCAATATGCCCTGAAGCATAATTCACCCATCATTGATGAGTTTGACACGATTCAAGGTGCCATATCGCCATTTCTGAAACTCAGTGGGAAAGAAGTTTCTGAAATAATTGGAAGGGTATATAATACCCCGCGTAGTGAGGTTTGGCTCTGTGAGTTTTCGGGTAAGACTGCGAAGACAAAGTGTCGGCATCCGAGTCGTTCTTATGATCGGCACTATAGCTATATTTTTGATAAGTTGTTGTGGAACCTTCCAGGAGTTTTGCCGGATGTCAAGTTTCTGATCAACCATTTTGATGAACCGAGGGTCATCATACCATCACAAGAAGGCAGTGTTGACAAAGCTATCCGACTGAATGACATGTCGATGAAGCCCACTTGGGATGCTTTGACACGGTCTTGCCCATCACATAAGACCTATAGGGACGACCAATCTATAGTCGAGACATTCGGGCTCCCTTTTGTTGAAGACCACCTCTCCGGTTCAGATTTGTGCAAACATCCCGAGTACAAAGATATGCACGGCGCATTCATCAGCCCAAAGACCTTTCGTCTTATTGAAGGTCTAGCACCAGTCTTGTCAACAGGTGCATTCTCAACAATGGGCGATATCCTCTTTCCAAGTCCAGCATACGTCGAAGAAGAGTTTCAGTACGACAAGACCCGAGACATTCCATGGTCAGAGAAGAAGAACAACTTGTACTGGACTGGCTCGACTACAGGAGGTTACGCGCTCGATGATCAGTGGCGGAACCACCAACGGCAGAGATTCGTGACTTTGGCGCAGAACCTTGGGCAGCAAGAGCACACATACCTTAGGGAGAAAAACGGCGTGATCAGTACCGTCAAGTCATGGTTTCTAAACGGAAGATTATACGACGTCGGCTTCACAAGAATCTTCCAATGCGACCGCAAATTCTGCCGCGATCAAAAAACGTTCTTCAACGTAAAATCATGGGCCGACAAAGACGCAGCACTCCACTCAAAACTCGCATTCGACCTCGACGGCAACGGTATAAGCGGGCGCTACTACAAGCTCCTGTCTTCAAACACACTCCCCCTCAAACAGGCTCTTCTTCGAGAGTGGCATGACGAGCGGTTGGTCCCGTGGGTGCATTACATACCCGTCAGCCAAAGCTTGAAGGAACTACCTGAGCTGGTGAATTACTTGACGTTGAACGAGGCGGGACAGAAGGTGGCGGAGAAGGTGGCGAGACAGGGGAGTGAGTGGATGGGCAGGGCTGTGAGGGAGGTTGATATGACGATTTATACTTGGAGGTTGTTGTTGGAGCTTGCGAGGCTGCAGGATCCGACGAGAAGAGGGGGAGACTGATCTCGTCTACCTTAGGAAGGGAAATTTGCCACATTTAATAAACTTATTAATGACCAAAGTCTTGTTCTTATTTAGAGCGCAGGTCTCGAGTTTTGTTACCCCCCCTTTCTTCGTCCTTGCTCTTCAACCGTCGCCTCCTCTGCCATGTGTCGTGGTTACAGACTAGGCATCAGCTCGTTGAAATTGTAACTTGCCCGAAAGAAGGATGCGTGAGGAGTCGTCGGGGAGCAAGAAGACGCCGGACCTTAATATAATGTATTGACATAAAATCAGCAAAAGGTATCCTAAATCTAGCAAAGAGTCTCCTAAATCTACGTAAATTTACCTAAATCATTTTGTCATTTAGGATCAAGGTGGTGGGTTTCCTTTCCTCTCTTGGGGAATTGCTTTCTCTAAGGGTCAGGCACAGATGAAGAACGAACAAGAGGAATGCGTTTCGTGATACACTTTTCTTCCTCAAGCGTCCCGTTGATGGTTGGTTAAAGCTTATGATGTCTCAGCGAAACATATTCAGCTAATATACTCAAGGTTCAAGGTTAACTTCAGTTCTTGGAAGGTAATATATATGAATAAATCTCCTGATTGAACATATGAATATACACTTTTGTGGGATTTCAATCAGTAACCTTGTTCGCAGCTGCCTGGGTTATAAGAAGCCCTCTCAACACCTGCTCCTTCGCTCTTCATCACTCACCAGAATCCATCATCAAAACAGCCCGTTTTGTCATCAGCATCATCCCCATCAACCATTTCATTTCTACAACATCTTTGCCCGCTCCAAACATTCTACATTATCAATCATGGCCGAACGCCCCCGACGTCCCCTTATCCAGCTCCAAGGCGGAGGCAGCAGATCGTGCATCATCCCCGGCTTGATGGATCATTGGAAGCAGTTACTCGAGCGCCGCCTCGCATGGATCCGCCACCATCGCGACAATCCGAACATCAACCCTGACGTCGACACAAGCAAGTTGATCACCGGCTTCGATGGACTGCCTACCTGCGAGAACCTCCCCCCCGAGCCTGAAGCCTTCAGGCCCATTCCGTACTCTGAAAAAGACACCAACGGCATCGAGATGAGATTGCTCTTTGAGCCTGTGAACCGTGCCTGGGCCAGGGAGCACGTCGCCCCTAAGCACTTCATCGACAACGTCACGCACATCCTGAAGGGCAGATCGGTAGCAACACACTTCGCCTGGGCCCATCTCTTCGACTGGCTTTACACCATGGATGTGCACAGAGTCATCAAGACTCTTGATCTGATGGAACGCATCATAGAGGCAAGGAAGATGTACGTCCGGGACATCGAACAACTTAAGCACTTCGCCGAGAACCCCCATACTATCACGCAGCGACGCGACTCCTTATGCATTCAGACCATGTGCCGTATCATCGGACTCGACGTCGATGACAATTTCGATTGGTTGTATCAGCAGCCGTTCCAACATATGCAGCTCAAGTGTCGTGAGGAATGGATTAGCAAGGTTATTCAGCCCGCGCACGAAGCTCTTGCTGCACACAAGCCTGATCCCAGAGCCAGAATAGCCCTCTTTGATTGTGTCAAGTCACTACAAAACTCAGACGCCAACGTGAGGCTGTATGCACTACTTGACCACGAGATGGTCGAGATGATGCAAGAGGTGCGCGCGGGTATACCTCCACTTTAAGTGTTACAATGAACTTGGCAAAAGAAATCCTAAACTTAATAAAGATATATCCTAAATTCACATAAGTTTACCTCTGCTGAACCTGAATGCGGAATCCATTGCTCCTTGTGTAGGGTAATCATGATATCAGTTTTCAACAATTCCGAACCAGGGGAGTAAGAAACTCGGGACGATGATTTCAAGTGGCATAAATTAATTCTTAGACCACGTTAGGTTAAACTTGGGCATCTTTAGTATAACTTGGACGAATTGTGACCAGTTCTTTATCGCACCTTGAAAGATAGCATCATCCTAGGCACCCGCGGACAGGCGAGATTTGTGACATTTTATCTCAAGAACAAACAAACTTGTCCAAACTTGGTATGGTAAGTTCGTAAACGTGTAGATTGGTCCCCAGGCCATCATCCGATGAATTTAACAAGTCTAGCCACACCGTCAAGCTAGAGATCACCACTTTAGTCCATCATCAAAGCTCTGTCATCCAGGGGTTTATCCGCTGTCAACGGTAGAACCGGTGGGCGATTAGCACGCGCCGGACAAAAAGACTAGCAGGATTTGGCATCTTTGACGTGCGTGAACGCTCTCGCTTACGCTTTGTCGATCATTACGGACAACGATTGCATTGACCAAATACCGACCTGGTGGCGACTTCTCTTTAAATCGGTGGCCAAGGCTTTTCCGCATTCCTCGGGACGTCGGCCAACTTCGTCATTTGATGGTGTCACTGCCAAGTGAAGAAGAAAAAGACTTGTGGGCTGGTAGCTACCGCGATTCTTCGGTAGTGGCGGAGTCTGGGTTGTTTGGTCAATAGCGCGGAGGGCGCCGGGGTCTGGACTTTGAAAGTGGATGTGAGATGATATTGCGATGCCTTGTAATTCTACGAGATTGTGTTTGTGAGAGATGGGTATTGAGATCGGGTGATGTGAGAAGTGATAGGGCTGATGTCTGTACCTTGCATAAAGCTATCTATCTTGCTGTCAGCTAAATGCTGTGTTTGCTGCGTAAGTGGCATAGATGATGAGGCAAACATTTACACGATACATAAGGTAGCTCAGCAGTTTGAAGGCTTCACATGTGAATTAACCCGTCGGTATTTAACAATACCTACCCTGTGACAAATGAGCGAGTTTTCCCCGTAAATGAAGCACATGTATCGCTCCGACAAATACAAACAATAGTAATCGCAATTTCCAACTTCCTCTTCGGAGCAAGAACTGAGATTCACTTTTACTTCTAACTAGCGCCAATGGAAGATTCCGATTGAGTAGACCCAATCCTGCCAATCAACGTAGCTCGATCTTCAGGTACGCGACGACACACACTTTGCCTAGCCTCGTCTTCATTCCCCTGTTTTGTTCTAGCCGACACCACCAACACTTCAATATACGCATCATCTCATGTTGTTAATCTTCCAGGCGCAGGCTTACCCTAGATCCGTGTGGACACAATGAGTCGGAAGGATCTAGATGTGAAACCGCGATCTACCAGCAACGGTCCTGGTGATAGTAAAAGGAAGAGATTTTTCATTAGGCGTTTTAGATTGAGATATTGTTGTCGCATCATGGTATTCTCATTGATGGACCGTTTCACGCCTAAATGTGGATAGAGTACTTACGACTACGACCCAAGCACTCGGGTGCCAATGACAGTGGCCAGCGGAATTACTCCGAAGCATAGTAGCGTCGTCCGAAACGAAACGGTAATTTGCATCTCCGTATCCCTCGAGCCAATTGCATGTGTCCATTCGATTGATCTATTACGCGACGCCTGTTTTATTCCCCAATTAATTGCCACTGCCAAACCCAATCTCCTGGGCTCGGACTGATTTTGGCATTTTCCCGAGTCCCCATCACTCTCGTGTGCTGTCCCGGTCTGTTGGGACTAGACGGGGTCTGTGGCTGGCTGGTAGTGCGCAGCTAGTGCAGAGACTACTGTGTACTGGGTGGGTGAAGAGTGCTAGAGTGCACGCGGGGATAAAATCAACGGCTTGCGAAGAGGGCCAGATCTAAAAAAATCGTGGCGTCATGTCCGAGCATTGCTTCTGGCACTGACCAATGCGGGAGGGAACTGCCCGCGAGTGTGCCGTGCCACTTCTGTTGGTGTCGATTACAATACTCCCAAGAGTGTTGGTGAGGAACAAGACGTCTAGATGGTTCTGATTGCAGCGCTAATTACAACAGAGTTCATCGACAATACCCTCTGTTCAACAACAACGCAAGCCACCTTCGCTCCCCTCCAATGTAAATTACCCAGCCGCGAAATGCGAAAGCCACTTCCAGTGCGGGCAGATTAACAGCCCCCCCTGTATGTAAACGCCACGAAAATACCTGGAGATGGGTGCTCAGATACGGGAGGCTCTACGCGGCCGATGCGCACTGATACTAAGCACAGTTGGTGGTGGCTACGAATTGCCTTTTTGCTAGCAGATAAGGTGTGCATGCACAATGGAGACAATAGAGAGCGCGAACACAGTTTATCTCATTGTGTGAGATTGCCTTTCCGTCCCGAGCCGTCGCCCATCGGGCGTCCAGCGTTACATCAGTCAGCTTTTTTTGTCTTTCGTGTGAGACGTCAGATTTGCAGAAATACGGGATGTGACATGTTCAATTGTGTTTGCTTCCCTTGCTTCCTGTGGAGTAATCTTGCTCAAACGGGGGTTTGGTATTGTTCGATTGGATGGTTAGGTTTCTTTTCTTGCGGGCGGGATTGAGTCTGGCGTCATTCCAGCTGCGAGGGCGATTACTTTCTTTTTTTTTTTACGAGGTGTGCAAGTCTCGGGCTTGAAAACGTGACGGCCGAGGAGGAAAAAGCAAAAGAGTCTCAGCTGCACATGCGCAACGGTCGCATAATGGTACGATACATCATCACTTTGTCTTTTGTAAAAGCTCCCTTACATTGAATCCTTCGAGATATTTACAGCACCGCAGCGATGTTGGGTTAAGCAGCACAGCAGTGGAGGTCTAGGCAGGGAGATGATCACGAAAAACTACAGATCAGTTTTGGAACGAGAGGCAAACAAGAACCAGTTTATTGACTTGATCTCCCCAACTTAACTTAACTTAAAAAGCACCAGGAACCTGGAATGCGGCACAGCCTCGCGTAAAGCTTAAGATATCTCGAGTGCCGTTTGCGAAAAAGGCAAGCAAGCATATTTAGACAGAGTTGTGAAGCCCAAAACAAAACCCACTTGGCTTCAAAGCCTCCAAAGTAAAAAAAAGGTAGTGCAGAACGGGTCCCGGCTCTGTGGAACTCTGCCCGGAATTGATTCATCGCATTTAATTGACTTGCATATTATGGGGAAAAAAGCAATTATATGCAAGGCTTCATCATCGGGCTAGAAGCTCGTTTACGACTCGTCTCCTCCCAGTGGTTCACGTCAAGCTGCACCGCATCACAAGGGATGAAAAAAAAAAGGAAACAAGAAAAGGTTCAGCGGGCCCCTTTTCTTTTTTTAGGGGAGAGCTACGGAGTAGAGCGTGTCTCGATCCGGATCAGAGTTGAGATGATGGAGGGAGACATACTTCTGGGCTTGCTTGTTCCGGGTCTAGACTTTGGCAAACCAACTCGGGTATGTGTTTCCCCCCTGCATTACGCACCTCTCCACGTGGCATTTGAGATTGTATTTTGTTTGTACAGTATATCAGAGCATCTACAGTGTTTGTCGCCTGTATCTTGAGCTGGGCTGAGCTCGTGATGGGACCCTGTATATATTGCTACGAGGTATATTAAGCAGGGATGGCTGCTTACTGGCATGTTTTACCGTACCATGCAAATTGTCATTCATGCTTAAGAAAAGGTGGTATTGACGTGGCTGGAGACTGGCATTCGAGTTTCCCAATTGATCATCCAGTCAATTCTCTTATTCGGCTATCTCACGATCCATCCATATCTCACAGTGGTAGGAGGAGTTTATCGTCTGGTGGAGAGAAGGCCAGGGGTCCGAGACATCAGCGCACTCAAGAAGTAGGGAGCCTTTTTTTTTCTTCTTCTTTCTTTCTTTCGTATCGTGACTCAAATGCAAGGGAAGAGCCAAGAAATGCGTACATATACGACACTTTCCTCTCCTTTCTTTTTTTTGCATCATTTCCTTCTCTCTCTCTGTTCGCGATTTAAGCGATGTCAAATAATCTCTCAAATCCATGTCCCTGTTCCGCGTTTGGCGTCAGGAACGCTCTCTGTATTCCCGTGGTTTAGGCTGCTCTACTCTAGCGCCAGAGTCTGTCGCCATGGAGGCTTACAGCGGCTGTTCAGTGGTGGTGGCTCGCAAACTAGACTTCCCCCATTGAGCAGATCTTTCCTATAAAGCAACCCTTGCGTTTAAAATGTTTCAGGCGAAAGAGTCACGACTGAGTGATGACCAAGAGAAATGTCCATTTTCTGCAGGCTCTCATTTTGCAACCATTGAACCTCACAGGCTTTAATCCCGACTCGAACTTGTGATCGTGATGACCCCGCTGTGCTTCACGCTACTGTGCACCCTGTGCGCTAGCTGGAGACGCTAACAACAGATAGATCTGGACACAGTGTAGCCTCGGCCAAACAGGACCAGCTGAACAATTCGCGTTGCACTGTGAAATGTGTGACACGGACCCTGTGAAATTTGCTGACGATTGGGGATAAGCCCGGGACTCTCTAGACTTCTCCCCTGCATCCCTGCAAAGCTTAATGTGCAGCAGGCCCTGCCCCTCGGGTGACGATGTGATTTGTCCCCGGGCTGTGCCTCTGTTACTCTACAGCACCTACAGAGTAAACACTCAACATTTGGGTGACTAGCTTCCTCAGTGCTGAGATTTGAGTGTGCTCAGTTATCGTGGTTGCATGCGCTTCGTCCGAGCGTACATGTCTCTATTGCCTGCGTGCACTACGCTTTAGTTTCATGTTTACGGTATCTGATGCATCCATCTCTCCCTACCGCTTTATTCCCACTCGTTTCTCCATATCGGATCGTTATCTTTCCTTGCAGCTCATGCCTTGGAATGGATATCGTACTTGACCCAGGC